GATCCCCAGACACGGAACGCAGACGCATCGCCAACCTTCCCCGTCCACAGCAAAGCTGGGGAGGTCTCCGGCATGGAGACCCTGGGGTGAAGGTTGATCTGATGCGCCGCGTACCGAACCGCAAACGGCCACAGAAAATGGGGGGCAGCCGCATGCATCATGGACGTACGGGCGACGTCCATGACCATGCCAATGCGGCGCTCAGCAATCCCATTTTGCTGTGGAGAGTCCGGAAGCGTGAAGGTCTGGCGGATGCCTCGTGCACGACAGTAGGCTCGCAGAAGGCCAGAGGAGAACTCTCCACCTCTGTCAGAGTGCAGACGCAGAACAGGAAAGTCCGAGCCGAAGCTCTGCCTGAGCTGGAGACGAGCTGCACGGATCCAGTCGATCAACACCTCAGTGACATCACCCTTGCTGCGCAAGGGGAATACTGTGGTGTAACGCGAGTAGTCGTCAACCACCAGCAGGAAGTAGTGCTCGTGACCCTGTCCACGGACGCGGGCCGGGCCCCACACGTCCATGTGAAGCGTCTGCAGCGGGGCCTCTGTCGGAGGAAACTGGGAGGAGTGAGGGGCAGCCCGCTGCCGCCCCTCGACACAATGGACGCAGGTAGGGCCTGGCCCCGGAGGAAGGGGAGGGAGGGACCGGGGAAGATCAGAGACAAGGACACGGGAGGCCATGCCTCGGAGACGAAGCAGGGAGGGGTGACCAAGGCGGTGGTGCCAGAGGAGAGTCTCGTGCGACAGGAGGCGACACGAACAGGGGGCAGACTCAAGACCAGACCTGGACGCTGCAGCAAACACCTGACCCGACGCAGCTACCTGACCAGACGCAGTGACTGGAGGAGACGCAGTGGTCAGTGTGTACAGGCTCGACCCCGGCCGACGTGTAAACGTGGCCAGGTGTCGGCCTGTCCGAGCGTCCGTGCAGTGGGTCACCCGCTGACTCGCAGGAGTGAACTGGTGAACCCCCGCATCCTGTAGGTCAGCACCACTCACCAAGTTCGTAGAGAACGAGGGGAGGTAAAGACCAGACAGGGTGCCAGAGGGGGCCGCCGGACACGGGAGGACAGTGGAGAAGTGAGCAAGGACAGGACCCCCAGAGGGGTCTGCCAGAGAGACTGCAACTGGCCGGCCAAGCGGCGTGAGTGTGGTGCGGTCTCGAAAGAAGGAGCGAGAAGCCCCCGAGTCAAGGGTGAAGGTGTGGGAGGCCGAAGCCGACGCAGTACCTGAGAGAGCAGACTCACCAGCACCTGAGGGAGCAGACACACGAGCACCTAGAGCAGCAGCCTCGCTAGCACCTAGAGCAGCAGCCTCACCAGTACCTAGAGCAGCAGTCTCAATGCCCGGGTCGGGCGGAAAACACCGGTAACAGTCACCCTCATCACTAATAGTCACAGCATACATGGCAGCAAGAATAGCATCAAAGTCAAGGTCAAAGACAGCTACACCCGCCCTAGACAGCTCGCCCCAGCGGGGGATCTCAGTGGCCTCAGGGAACTGGTGACACCAAGCGTCCGTCAGGCGGCCAAAGCAGCGCTGGGTGGAGTGCGCACCCCCGCACTGCTCACCCGCGCGGTCGCCGGTGCGTAGGACGTAGGTGCACGGACCAGTACCCCCACCCCGCTGGCGTGCAGCGTACCACTCACGGAGCTGCTGAGGGGGGGGGATGTCACGAGTGCGCTGCTGCCGCTGCTGCTGCTGCTACTGGCGCTGACCACCACCAGAGCCGACCCTCTGCGCAGCGCCACCCCGACCAGCTCCACCTCCTCCGCCGCCGCCTCCTCCACCGCCGCCACCTCCGCCACCTCCGCTCCCACCGCCACCGCCGCCGCCGCCTCCGCCTCCACTGCCGCCACCGACACCTCCACCCCCGCCACCACTCCCACCACCACCCCCACCCCCTCCACTGCCTCCACCGCCACCTCCGCCACCCCCGCCAACCCCTCCAGCACCCTTGCCCCCCTTGCCCTTGCCGGTGCGGCGTCTCCCGCTCGGGGCAGACGCAGCGCCGACCGACTCGAAACCAACGAGGTCGGCCGCAGCAGCAGAGGCAACAGAGGGCAAAAGGGGGGAGGGGGAACACCCCTCAAAGACGGGGGTGCGAGGGTCACCACGAGAGGCTCCTACAGCGACTATGCTCTTCTCTGCTGCTAGGAGGGCCTTCTCGAGGAGGTCAACGGTGAGAGTGGTGGGGCAAACTGAGAGGAAGTGGTCCCTGACTACGCGAAGGGAGTCAGGGAGCCGGGTGACTATGTAGTAGAGGGTGATGTACATGGGGGGGGGGTTCTTGGCGCAGAATTCAGCAAGAAGCGCAGCGCGGTAGCGAGTGTCACTAGTGCGGAGGTGCGTAATGAGGTCAGCGACTGTGGGAAAGGCAGCAAGGTCAGGGAAGAGGTACGGTAGCATGAGGCGGCTCAGTGCAGCAGTGGCAGGGGACGAGTAGCGCGCAACTACAGCGTCGTGCAAGGTGTGAGCACTCTTGTACTGGCTAAAGTGCGCACGCTCAGAGGTAGGCAGGTGGCGACGCACAGCAAGACATGCAGCAGCATCGCGTGTGGCCCACTGTGAGCGAACAGTGGCGTCGGCATCAGCAGCAGGGGCAGGAGAGGCACCAGAGGTGAGGTCAAAGAGGGAGAGACCGTCTGCCCTATCGCACTGTAGGAAAAGCTGCAGGTCATCTACCCAGACGTCAAAGTGAATGGCCCGACCCTCAGCGTCAAAAGCGAGGACAGTAGGGGTAGCCATGACAGCAGTGGACTAGCAGCGCGAACAGTAGGGTAAGGGCAGTGCAGTGACAGAGGCGCTGCTCTTACCGGACAGGGCGGCTCGGGCGGCTCGGCGGCTCGGCGGGTCGGCAACTCGGCGGCTCGGGCGGCTCGGGCGGCTCGGCGGTACGGCGGCTCGGCAGCAACTGCGGCTCGGCGACTCGGCGACTCGGGCGGCTCGGGCGGCTCGGCGGTACGGCGGTTCGGCAGCAACTGCAGCTCGGCGGCTCGGCGACCCGGTGGCTCGGGCGGCTCAGGTGGCGCGGCGGCTCGGGCGGCTTGGGTGGATCGGGCGGCTCGGCAGTAGCTCGGCGGCGCCGGCGGCTCGGTGGTGACGGCGGGGCCGCGTGGGGACGGCGGCGGGGCCGGGTGGAGCGGCGGCGAGGCCGGGTGGAGCGGCGTCGGGGCCGGGTGGAGCGGCGTCGGGGCCAGTAGAGGCGGCGCCGGGGCCGGGAAGGACAGCTCCGGGGCCGCAGGGGTAGGCGACGGGGCCAGCAGAGGCGGCGCCGAGGCAGGGAAGGGCGGCGCCGGGGCCGCAGGGGTAGGCGACGGGGCCGCGAGGGCGGCTAGGAGGGGGGGGGGGGGGTCGCGAGGGCGGCTTGAAGAGGCCGCGAGGGCGGCTAGAAAGGGCCGCGAGGGCGGCTAGAAAGGGCCGCGAGGGCGGCGTGAAAGGGCCGCGAGGGCGGCGCGACACGAAGGAGCCGCGAGGGCGGCGGATCGGGGCCGCGAGGGCGGCGCGACGCGGCCGCTAGGGCGGCGCGACGTGAAGGGGCCGCGAGGGCGACGCGACGGGGCCGCAAGCGCGACGCGACGGGGCCGCTAAGGCGGCACGACAGGGTCGAGAGAGGGGAGCGCGACTCGGGCAGTGGAGAGCGCGCTCCGGGCAGGAAAAAAAATGTGGTGGGCCCTAGGAACAGTTCCCACAGGGGAACCTGCTCGATACCATGAGAAACTGAACGAGAAATGAATTGACTAAGGGAAAGTTGGGTACAAAATGCAAACCCTAGAAAACTGTACCCCATATGTGTTACCCCACTATAGCCTACAGTAGCTATGTCATATAAATCTGACAGACCAGCATCTCCTGCCTGGCCGCCGCACAGACATCACGTGCCGCGACATTAGCTCTGGTACCACCTGGGCCTTGGATGTTTCTGTTGCTGATCCACAAAAGGGGTTTCCGCACTCCAACACAGCTACGGTGATTGGTTCAGCAGCAGCCACTCGTGAAAGTGAGAAGACCACCCACTATGCTACAGCACTTCATGACCGTCCAGACATCAAACTGTTTCCCCTTGTCATCGAAACCTTCGGTTGCTTCGGCTCTTCGTTCAACAACTTCCTTCGCCAATGTAGCCGCAAAGGGGCGTCACAACTCCGCGACTTGAGTGGTGCTACAGATTCTCTTCCCCTGCTGTTTGAGACCAACTTCTACAAACGGATTTCTCTGGTCCACCAACGTGAGCAGGCTCGCACTGTTTGTCGTCGTGCACAAATTCGTTTTACCGAGGGCGTCAACCACGCACCACCCGAGGTGACTTCTCTTTCTGCAGCTGACTTTGCCTACTTGGGAGAGGACCACTGAGACATCTCAGAGGCCTATTTGTAGGCCTCACAATAGGATTAGCCTGCATGTCTTTCCATGCACTAGGTGTCTGGATTTGCCTTGTATACATTGTACATTTACTTTAGTGTCAATAAAGAGGTAGAATAGCACCCTGCCATGTGCCCGGTGCAGACCCGGGTTCGATTCCCGGCTGGCACAGCCGTTTTGCTCTTTCCCAATTGTTTTTTTTGCACACACACCCACACAATCCACCCACCTGCTTGGATCTTCAGGAGTAATCTTCACATGAGGATGACCTGGAAACTCAAATTAGGCTGTCATACACACTGGCAATCTCCTGATTCCCTTGCCTCATCTCATCCAGTCATGCATCCAAGCGCAGCTTCGTGTATGATACGATACGCGGCGCATGATATGGTAACATCACACGTCTTACCTTACCAGTACCTGCCGGATCCAACTGGTCCCGACATTACAGTCACAAGTGGACTCTACCTGCTCTACCTGCTCTACCTGCGCTACCTACAAGCGCCCTCCACCTCCGCCACCTCCCGTAAGCTCCCGTCACACATAAGCGCCGGTTCGTGATTTCATTTTTGTTCTGGACTGGACACGCTTTCCAATGGAAGTTCTCCTCCCCGTGAAGCAAAGCCGACATCTGTGGTATCAGAGCACGAGCTTGTCTTCATCGGGTGAGGGGAGCACCCCAGCAACAACCCCAGTGATCTCTTGCAGCGTGAGCAGCACTGAGTGCGCGTACTTGGCTTGCCTGGGGAGGGGAAGAGGTGGTGGGCGGTGTGTGCGGGGGGCAAAGCAAGAAGGGGAGAGGGGCTGCTTAACGCCCCAGCAGCACTCCCTGTGGCTCCTGTGGAGTGAGCAGCACTGAGCGCGTGCACTTGGCTTGTCTGGGGGCTGGGGGGATGGGTGGGGGGTTGGAGGGAAAGGGGGGGGACGAGTCCCTTAAACGTCCACCAGCAACACTTCTTGTGATCTCCAGTAGTGTGAAGTGGACCGAGTGTGCGTACTTGGCTTGCCTAGGGATTGGACGATGGGAACAGAGCGATGGAGGAGAAGGGGAAGAAGGTGCCTTAAAGCCTGAGAGGGGAGGAGGGTCCGCTTAAAGCCCCAGCAGCACTCTCTGACAGGGTGAGAAAGGAATGGTGAGTTGATATACATGGCTACAAGGTGACCTTTGAGTTGACTCAAAGATCACGGTGCAGGGTGAGTGAGCAAGCCGTGCGAAGTGTATGTACGTACGTGGCTGCATCTGTCTCATTCCATACCTCTTCTCCGTCAGCTTGGGGCTGGGCCGATAGTACTTGAGATACCCATCCCACGGCACCTTCTTGATGCCCGCCCTCCGCGCAATCAGCTCCCGCACCCTGCCATAAGCGCACATGGGAGAGGAAGAGGTGAGAGGAGGAGACAAGAGGAGGAGACGAGAGGGGGAGACGAGAGGAGGAGAGGTACTGCAGATTGAGGCATAAGCCACACGTTGTACACCACGGCCTAAAGTTGAGTTGACTCTACACACACCACTGGCCAGTGTGACGTCAGCACAGACATCACATAATGGTCCCTCACCTTTCAGAGAAGTCGATTGCTGATTCCACTGGTTGGATGTACTGGGGTTCCATGAACCACACACCACACACCACCGCTGCGTTCATTCATACACATCTTGGCTAACTGTGATGAGTCTATTTTTGAGTTGACTAAAAAATAGACCACGCGCCACACACCACGGCTGCGTTGATTCATACACATCTTGGCAAACTGTTTCAGCTCACAAGTCATGCTACTGTTTCTCACCTTTCAGAGAAGTCGATTGCCAGTTCCCCTGGTTGGATGTACTGCGGTTCCATGAACCACACGTCACACACCACCACTGAGCTGACCCACACACATCATCACTGACTGTCTCTCAGCTCATAAGTCACGCCATGATCTCTCACCTTTCAGAGAATTCAATTGCCGACTCCCCTGGTTGGATGTACTGGGGTTCCATTCCATGAACCACACACCATGCACCACCAGATAGTGCTGCATTCACTCACACACAGCACTGCCCATTCTTTTGAGACGACTCAAAAGCCACACGACTGCCTCTCACCTTTCAGAAAACTCAATTGCCGACTCCCCTGGCTGGATATATTGGGGTTCCATGAACCACACGTCACACACCACCGCCCATGACGTCATCAGACGCACGAGGTGCATGGTGAAAGATTGCCTGGGGGTGTGACGAGAGGGGGAGGAGGGAGGGCGAGGAAGCAAGGAAGAGGCAGGGGTTGAGGGATCAGTCATTTGACCCTAGCTTGGAATCGCAGGATAGAAACATGTTCGATTGGAGGCAGGGCGGTGTAAAACAGCAACTGCAATTGGCAAAACAAAGGAGAAGTGGCAATGAGGGTGTGACAGGGCCTAACACGAGGTTGGGGAAAACACAAGCGTGCAGATAACCCAAGGGTGGGACGTAGGGCCATGGGGACATGAAGGCATGGAAAGGCATGGGAACATGTGGGGAGGAAGCAAGGGGGCACGGGTTAAGAGAGCAAGGGGGGGAGAGGGGCAGGGGGCAGGGGGCAGGGGGGCAGGGAGGAATGGTGGGTGGTGGGAGGGCCGTACTGGCGGCTGTTCCAGAAGGCATCGACGAAAGTCTTGTTGTACTTGATGGCGATGGGGCACACTGCACAGTCCAACTCGAATGCTCCCTGCGTGCATGAGAGGGTGTGAAGGAGGGAGGGTATGGGGAAGGGGAGAAGACGGTGAATGGACGGACGAAGGTCTTGTTGTACTTGATGGCGATGGGGCGCACTGCACAGTCCCGCTCAAACGCTCCCTGCATGCCCGCATTAGAGGGAGGGAGGAAGAAAGGGTGGATGGTGAGTGTATGGAAGATGGGTGCTCAACACAAGAGATAACGATGGCGCACACGGCACAATCCAACTCAAAAGAGAGAGGTTGATACACCCATGTAACAGCCACGTGGAAGCTACCTTTGATGTTTACACCAATCTCAAAACTTACAACTATGTTTTCGGTCTCCCTTGCATCGTATAAGATGCGTGACGCTCAGCGCTAAAATGACTGTTGTGTTCTACCGTCATTACATGTATGAGCACTGGATAGCGCTGATGACTTGTATTTTCGTGCCGGACAACTTCATGGATGGGTTGATACGGCTGCACTAACAGCAACACCAAGCTTCTGCAGCTAGCTCCACCAGCTCGAGTTGTTCTTAATAGAGGGTACTCGCACAGAGCGCGTGGAGCAGGATAGAGCAACAGAGAGGTGGCGTTTTGGAGGCCCCTCCCTACCTCTATCCTGCTCCACTCGTTCTGTGCAAGCACCCTCTCCTCTCCCTTCCAAATATGCACACCTTTTTTCTATCAAGCAAACTCGAGCCGGTGCTACATAAGCTTCTTGTATTGCTGTTGCTGCAGCCATATCAACCCATCCATGAAGTCGTTCGGCGCAGAAATACAAGTCATCAGCGCTCTCCAGTTCTCATCCATGTAATAGCGGCAAAACACAACAGTCATTTAAGCGCTGAGCGTCGCGCATATTTTCTGATGCAGGGGGCACAGAAAAACAAAGTTGAAGTGTACGATATTTAAAGGACTTCCACCCGGCGGTTACGCAAATCCATCAACCTCTCCAATGAACGCATATCTCTCTCTATTCCCTTGATGAGTGCACGGACGGTAAAGGGAGGGAGGGGGGAGGGAGGGAGTGATGGATACATGTTACATGTACGGTGGATGGAAGGCCAACAGATGGTGAATGAGGAACCGAGGGGAGTGCTGCCATGCCAAGTTGCAATGAACTTGAACACATACTTGTACCTGTTCTCCCAATGGATTCTAGCAAAGTCAACAACATTGTTACATGCACATATCTGTGTACTCGTTATCAGGACGCACCTTCTTGAACATGACCTGGTACTCGTTATTAACACGCACCTTCTTGAACATGACCGTGTACTCGTTATTAACACATGTGCCCTCGGGGAATATAAGCAACGGGTTGGCATCCGCCCTAGCAACATGCTGTTTGAGCCTGTTTTGGGTCAACGGGCATTTCGCAGGATAAACAAAGATTACAGAAACATGATACAAGATCACTTTTGAGGCGCCTCAAAAGTCATTACAGAAACATGATACAAGATCAACGCACAATTCAACTAGAGAATAGAGATTCAAGTGAATGGAGAATTTCCAGGCAAAAAAAGGATGACGATTATTGAGGATAGAGTCACAACTCTCCTGTAGTGTGAACAGCTAAATACCTACTTGTTCGTGACAATGGCTCGGTCCTTGGCCTCTGTGCGGTTGAACCAGATGCACCCCACGCAACGCTCAGAGGTGAACACATGAGCATGCTGCCCCTATACTCACGATGCAGCACCTGCTCTTGCCATTGCCAAACACCTACTTGTTTGTCACAATGGCTCGGTCCTTGGCCTCTGTACAGTTGAGCCAGATGCACCCCACGCAACGCTCAGAGGTGAACACATGAGCATGCTGCCCCTATACTCACGATGCAGCACCTGCTCTTGCCATTGCCAAACACCTACTTGTTTGTCACAATGGCTCGGTCCTTGGCCTCTGTGCGGTTGAACCAGATGCACCCCACACTCTCTAACACTGTCTTCTGCAGCAGCCCTGCTCACAGAGGAGAAAGAGAGGTGCATGGCGGTTCAGAGGGGTGGAGGAATTGCACTACACCACACCTGCACCACCATATATCTTAACATTCATGACCCATCACTCATTAGCCATGACCCATCAACCATGGCCCATGACCCATGACCCATACACACACCATCACTCATGACTCAAAACCCCCCAAGCACCCCACCCCACATGCACCAAACCCATACCTCATAACCCCCCTGCCTCCCCTTTCACCCCACCCCGCACGCACCGACCCAGCCCTGGGGTTTCTGCATGATGACAGCAAACGCGGTGAGCTGCTCCAGAATGATATATGATGATGCATGAACCAATACGCCCATAGCACTTGTGAGCCATACCTCATACCATACGCCCCCCCCCACCCCACACGCACCGACCCAGCCCTGGTGCTTCTGCATGATGACAGCAAAGGCTGTGAGTTGCTCCAGAATGATGAAGTCGATCATTGATGTGTGGTTCGCCACGTACACCTGTTATGGATGGAAGCACACGCATGACAGAGAACAAGAGGGAGGGGACAAGACAGAGAGTATGAGCGCCAGTTATTGGAATGTGGTTTGATTCAAAGGCTCAGATGGAAACGCAGTGAGGTGCTCTAGAATGATGAAGCCGATCATTGATGTATGGTTTGCCACATACACCTGCCATGCACAGAGTCGAATGACGAGCATTCGAGGCAAGAGAGCGGGTTTGAGCACCAGTCATAAGCGTGTGATTTGACTCAAAGGCTGTTAAAATATATACTGTGTAGCATGCCAACACATGTGACTGTACACCAATTGTGGTGTACAGTTGGGTTGGGACTACACCCAACTTTGGGTGTAGTCTTGCACTTTGGGGTGCCAATCCACCCAATTGTGGTGGAGCCCCCAAATGCGACCCACTTGACTTATGGGTGCCTCACTTCCCACAAGTGAGGTCACCTCAAACCAAGTGGGCCTAGGGTTGCCTCACTTCTACAAAGTGTGGGCAACCCAACCCACTTGACCTATGGTTGCCTCACTCCCCCAAGTGAGGTCAACCCAACCTATGGTCACCTTCACCCCTTCTCTACCAAGCCTCTCTTCCAACTATGTATGCTAGGTTTCTCCTCTAATCAAGTTACTTGTTCAATTTACAATCTTCACAATGGCTTGGTTGCAAAGGCGGTGAGCTGCTCTAGAATGATGAAGTGCGGTCGCCCACATACATCTGTTATGGGCGAAAGCAGGCAATATGGAAATCTCTTGACAAGAATGAAGGATTTGCTCCTACTCATAACGAGGATAGTGCATGGTGTGTGTCGTTTATTGTCCATTCATCCATGATCTTCGTCACTTACTGCTGCCACTCCCACTCATGCCGTGACTCACCTGGTGGTCACAACAGCAGCCACCACCACACATCCATTTCCACACACACGAGAGCCCACCCCACCCTGTTGGCCCAACGCACGGGCCTAGGCCCATGGCACTTGATGACGCCCATCCATGGTCTGAGCCAATGACCCACCTACTGCTGCCGCACCCACACATGCAGTGACCCACCTGGAGGGTGGCACCACACATGCCATTGCACGCACGAGAGCCCAGCCACCTGATTGGCGCGGCGCACAGGCCTAGGCCCATGGTACTTGATGACGCCTGTCCATGGTGTGAATCACCTGCTGATGCCACACCCACTCATGCCGCGACTCACTTGGTGGGCAACACCTGGTGCCGCACATGCAAAATGCCCTTCATGCCATGTGCCACTCGTCCCCACCTGGTTGGCTCAGCGCATGGGCCTAGGCCCATGGTATGGTACTTGATGACGCCCATCCATGCCGTGAACCACCTACTGCTGCCACACCCACGCTATGACTCACTTCCCACAGCACATGCCATGACATGAGAGCCAAGCCCACCTGGTTGGCCCGACGCACAGGCCTAGGCCCATGGTACTTGATGACGCCCATCCATGATGCCACGAATCACCTACTGCTGCCACTCCCACACATGCCACGACTCGCCTCTAACACACATGCCATGACATGAGAACCCAATGTACCTGGTTGGCGCGGCGCACAGGCCTCGGCCCGTGGTACTTGATGACGCCCGTCCATGATGTGAGTCGCCGACTGTCACACCCGTACATGAACTAGGCCCATGATACGTGATGATGCCATGAGAACCCACCATACCTGGTTGGCCCGGCGCACTGGCCTAGGCCCGTGATACTTGATGACGCCTGTCCATGACGCCACGAACACGCCACACATGAACTCCACTAGCCCTCGCTGTCATGGGGAAGGGAAGGGAGGAGGATGGGAAGCGGTGAGAGTTGGGAGCGAGAAGAGCATGGGAGTAAAGATCAATATTAAGGACCGTTAGAAGATGAGAGGGCGCCACAAACACTCCACACATGAACTCCACTAACCCTCGCTGCGATGGGGTGAGGATGGGATGTGAGGAGGGTGGGGAAGGGAGGGAGAGTGAAAATGGGTGGAAGAGTGAAAGCTAAAAAGCACGCACGCACACACACACACACACACACACACACACACACACACACACACACGCACCCAAAAAAAAAAAAAAAAAAAAAAACTCACCTAACCTTACTTCTAGGCTATGGCAAAGCTTGTCGTATCCGGCGAAGATGAAGTGGATGGGGATGTGTCGACGTGCCGTGTGCCATTGTTGCAAGGTGAACTTGCAATTCCTATGCCTGGCATTACCTCAAGGCTGCGGCGTAGCTTATCGTATTCGGCGACGATAAAGTGGATGGGGATGAAGAGGAAGAGGAAGATAAAGTGGATGGGTTTGTGTTCGCCTATTGTGTAGCAATCTAACAAGGTGATTGCTGAATCGCTCAAAAGGCAATCTACCTCTAGGCTGCGGCGCAGCTTGTCGTATCCGGCAAAGATGAAGTGGATGGGGATGAAGAGCGAGAGGAAGATGACCCAGCCCAGCAGCAGCAGCACCAGCCTGGCGTGTGTGTGGGGGGGGGGGGGGGGGGGGAAGTATAAATGGAGGGGAGGGGATGAGATGATGGGACGGGAATGAGATGAAGTGGATGGGGATGAAGAACAAGAGGAAAATGACCCACACCAGCAGCAGCAGCAGCACCAGTCTGGCGTGTGGAAGGGGAAGGGATGGGGATGGGCATGGCCGCTGAATGTCATGCTGGCAGAGGATGACGAGATACAGGGGCAACGGCTATTTTTAGGGGAATCAGAAGACTTTTGAGTCGACTCAAAAGTCACCTCTTTGCTGGCAGAAGATGACGAGATACAGGGGCAACGGCTTTTTTTAGAATGGACACGGGTTGATGTTTCATGTGTGTAATGTTGGGAAGGACGGGCAGAGAGGGAAGAGTACGAGACAATAGCAAGAGCAGGCGAGAGCATGTGGTAGTGTAGCTTATGAGGACAATAGCAAGAGCAGGCGAGAGCATGTGGTAGTGTAGCTTATGAGGGGAGCCTGCTGACACCAAGATCTTCCTCATGTACCTTGTGGTGGTGCACCACAGGATGCCACGTGATCTCACCGGATGGGGAAGAGGATGGCATAGCGGAAGAGCACGCCGAGGCACCAGAGGGGGAAGAGGTAGAGGTTCCAGTTCCATGGCTCGGGCTCGTTGGACTTGAAGCAGCGCCAGAAGGAGTCCTGCGGCCAAGTAACGGGTGGAGCGGGTGCGAAGTTGAGAGACGGGAGGGGAGAGGAGGGAGGGGAGGAAGGGAGGGGAGGGTGGGAAGAGGTAGAGATTCCTGTTCCATGGCTCGGGCTCGTTGGACTTGAAGCAGCGCCAAAAGGAGTCCTGCGGCCAAGTAACGGGTGGAGCGGGTGCGAAGTTGAGAGACGGGAGGGGAGAGGAGGGAGGGGAGGAAGGGAGGGGAGGGTGGGAAGAGGTAGAGATTCCAGTTCCATGGCTCGGGCTCGTTGGACTTGAAGCAGCGCCAAAAGGAGTCCTGCGGCCAAGTAACGGGTGGAGCGGGTGCGAAGTTGAGAGACGGGAGGGGAGAGGAGGGAGGGGAGGAAGGGAGGGGAGGGTGGGAAGAGGTAGAGATTCCAGTTCCATGGCTTGGGCTCGTTGGACTTGAAGCAGCGCCAAAAGGAGTCCTGCGGCCAAGTAACGGGTGGAGCGGGTGCGAAGTTGAGAGACGGGAGGGGAGAGGAGGGAGGGGAGGAAGGGAGGGGAGGGTGGGAAGAGGTAGAGATTCCAGTTCCATGGCTTGGGCTCGTTGGACTTGAAGCAGCGCCAGAAGGAGTCCTGTGGGACCGATGAGAGGAGTGAGGGGGAAGCGAGGGGAAAAGGGGGGTGGGGAACGAGAGAGGGAAGGGAAGAGGCACCAGAGGGTGGGAAGAGGTAGAGGTTCCAGTTCCAGGGCTCAGGCTTGTTTGACTTGAAACAGCGCCATAAGGAATCCTGCAAGTTTGACAGATGAAAGAGGAGGGGGCGGGCATGGGGAGAAGGGGAGATGGGGGAGGAGGAAGGGGGTGGGGTGGGCGAGTTCATGGTCTCTAAGTTGAGAGTGTGGACTTGAGGGTGAAATGGTTTGACGCTAATTCAGATTTGATTTGATGCTTATTTTCAGATTCACCATCGCACTCTAACTTGTTGTGTGCTATAGCAGGGCAATCTGATTCTGTAACCCTCTCACACTCACATCGACTATGGCCCCGGCGGCTTCGTTGAGAGGTGCTGAGATGTCCAGAATCTCGTTCCTGAGGGGAGCGCAGGCAGGAGCAGGGCGATAACGGGAGCAGGAGCAGGGCGATAACAGGAGCAACAGGCAACTTTTAAGGTGTCCGAACTCCAGCAAGAGTTGGCAGCACCAACACTCCAGGGAGTGTAAGCACCGACACTCGAATCTGAGATGTTCAGACGCTCGTTGCTGAGGGCAAGCGCAGGCAGACAAGACCAGGGGCAGAAACTAAGAGCCAGCGACACGAAAACCAGAAGAATGGTGGTTAGACGTTTATGATGCGGGGTTCACCGCAGAAAAGGAATAGAGGAACGAGGTAGACGCGTGATGGAAGAGGAAAACAAAAGAGGAAGCGAGCGAGGGAAGAGAGGAACAGGGGGAAGCGCGGGAGAGAAGGGGTACGGCTCACAGCAGCAGTTTGCTGCAGCGGTTGGAGGGGCAGGGCGAGGCGGTGGTTTCCACGAGGTGTGGCGTGGTTATCAGTCAACTCAAAACACAAGCAGGGAGAGGGCGGGGAAGGGGCATGGGAAGCGTCACTCACAGCAGCAGTTTGCTGGAGCGGTGGGCGGAGGGGCAGGGCGAGGCGGTGGTTTCCACCAGCAGGTCCTCCACGTCGCGCTGATACCGAGGGAGCTCCGCCGCCGTGGGGCCGAAGAGAGGGCTCTCGCTGCCCTTCCTGGTGGGGGGGGAGGGTGGGGAAGGGGGTAACGGGGTGCTTGAAGAGGGGTTGTTGGAAGCAGGGGTCGGGCAGAGGAGGAGACTCATAAGAGCTCCGCTGCCGTGGGGCCGAACACGAGGCTTTTGCTGCCCTTCCTGGTGGGCGGAAACGTGGGGGAAGGGGGTAGAGGTGAGGGGGGGACAGGCAGACGAGGAGCCAGCAGTCGTTTCCCAACAGTTGCTTGCAGTCAATCGCAATCGTCAGACACAAGTAGCAGTATATGCTATCTTTTAGTAAGGAATCGCGTACCATCTTTGCTGCGTGGCGTCTCGATAAAGGGCCATCCGATATCTATAATCGTGGCGCTTGAAGGAACTATAATCCCGGTCGACGAGCGATGCCTGTTGCAAATCGGGTTCCGACTTCGACGCTGGACGTCGGGAAGACAAAGCTTCTAAGTGACAGCAGAAGCAGGAACGGAGATTAAGGCTAGAGACCCCAGGCAATGTCTGGCACGAATTACACACGGCTTGGCCAATCAGATGGCGTTCTAGGTACCGCACCAGCTCCCGGAAAAAATCGTCCTAGTAGGCTTGAGTGTCAAGCCGCGAGAAACTTCCGCCTTCTCAAGACCAGGAACCCTAACTAATCAGGATGCTCTAACGGTCACAAAGCATGATCTATTTGAATTCAAGGAAAAGAAGCAACTCCCGACTCCAGTTCATGAGGAGGATCTAGATTCTAGAATCTTGACTCGTCGTGGCCCCTTCCCTGGGAACCGTCGAATCGGCGAAATCGAGGGAAAACCAGCCAACGAGCCACTTCTTTCACAGGCAAGTGACTTGTGACCAGGGAGGGACTCATCAATTCATCAGCCAGTGATCCGCTAAAGGAAATGTTTGCCTGAAAGTTTCGTCGGAGGTGTTAAAAGTACCCCTCCAGGCCAGGAAGTGTATAGCTACCCAGAAAATATATAATCGCGTTTGTAGGGAAACGCTGCCACTTTGTTAAACGTCGGTTTCCGAATCATTAGGCGAACTACCCAAGTAATCATTCCACCCTCCGTGTGCAGTTCGGTTGCACAGATTCTCGGATAGACCCAAGTAACAAGCTGATATGCAAGCGCATCTGACGGCAGCATAAGTAGTAGTATTCTGTCCCGTTCTCCCAGTTCCACATCCATCTTCTCTCCGCCTCGCCTCCACATCACCACCTCGCCCCCACCTCGCGTTTCACTCTGATTCTTTCCACTCCAGATCGACCATATTTTCGCCACGCGAGTACAGGTATCTTTTCGTCGCGAGTCGTATTCACGCCACGCGGCGACCGACGAGCGACGAGATGAGGGCTCACAGGGGAGCGATCTCGGCGGTATCGCGTGTCGCGTCCTCTCTGGTTCGTAGCCACGTCAGCAACCGCTTGCACACCTTCGCACTGTCGCGCAAATTTTAACTTGTACACCCTCCTTCTCCTCCCGCTCCTCGTTCCTTCCGCTCCTCCCGCTCCTCCCCCCCTCCCCCTCCTCCGCAACCCTTTCAGGCGCGGTTCGCCGTTCAGCCCTCCCCCGATGCTGTCACCATCAGCGCCGCATGCGCGCGGCATTGCGCTCAAAGCGCCGCCTCCCCCGCCTCCGCGTCCGCCTTCCGCCTCTCGTTTGCGCGCGGAGTGCGCACTCGCCCGAAACTGCGCGTCGTGCTCACAGCGGTAAGATCTGACCCGTTGATTCTGAACAAGGTCGCCTTCCCCGTCTTTCCCCCCGCCCCCGTTGATCCCCCCTTCCCCTGTTCCCCCTTCCTCCTTTCCCCTTACGCGCATCAGGAGGTGGAGGGGCTCGGGTACGCGGGTGACGTGATGAACGTCCCAGCTGGCTTCGCGCGCAACAAGCTCATCCCCCACAAGGCCGCCCTGCCCCCCAACCGCATTAACCCCCTCCCCATCCCCCTGCCGCCACCCTTCCTCAGGAGGTGGAAGGGCTCGGATACGCGGGCGATCAAGTGAACGTGCCTGCTGCCCGCAACAGGCTCATCCCCCAGAAGGCCGCCCTCCCCCTTTCCCCGCTTACCCCCTTCCCCCCTCTTCCGCTTCCGATGTCACCCCTATTATTCAGGAGGTGGAAGGGCTCGGATACGCGGGCGATCAAGTGAACGTGCCAGCTGGCTTTGCGCGCAACATGCTCATCCCCCAGAAGGCCGCCCTGCCCGCCATCCCCAAGTTCCTGCGCCAGGTGCGCCTGGCCATGGAGGCGCAGGGGGAGGCGCAGGGGCAGACGGGGGGGGAGGCGCGGGGGGAGGCGCGGAGGGAGGCGCGGGGGGAGGCCGGGGGGGAGGCACGAGGGGAGGCGCAAGGGGCAGGGGGGGATGGGGGGAGAGTGGGCGAGGAGGGGGGTGAGGTGGTGACAATGGAGGAGAGGGTGAAACAGGCCGAGGAGATTGCAAGACGTCTCAACAGCCAACGATTGGTCTGTTACCCCTCCCCCACTCCGCTCCTATCCTCTCCCTTCTTTTTCTCCTCTCCCTTTCTCTTCTCTCCCCACGCTCTCCTGTCTCCTCTCTCCTCCCTCTCTCGAATAATGGCCCTCATCAGCAACTTCTCTCGCTTCTTACTTTCACCCTCGCAGCTCTCATTCTTCTCTCAGCCACGGCCCCCTCCCCTTGCATTCTCTCGTCGCCCTTTCCGCTCCCTCTCAGTCCCTCTTCCCTCTCACTCCCTCTTCCCTCTCACACCCTCTTCCCTCTCGCTCTCTTCCCTCTGTCTCTCTTCCCTCTCACTCTCTTCCCTCTCACTCTCTCTCCTCTCGCTCTCTCCCCTCTCACTCCCTTGCATCTCATTCTCTCCCCTCTCACTCCCTTGCATCTCATTCTCTCCCCTCTCACTCCCTTGCATCTCATTCTCTTCCCTCCCACTCTCTCCCTCAACCACCTCTCGCAGTCCATCCGAGCCGTCACACCCAAGCGATCCTCCGAGCTGCGGCAACCAATCACGCAGCGCCACATCATCAGCGAGGTTCGGCGTCAGTTCGGCATCCAGCTATCCGAGGCAAACGTGCCTCTGTCCGCACCTCTTTCAACCATCGGGGATTTTGAAGTGCCGCTGAGGTTCCCTCGCTCTGTTCCGCTGCCGGGGGAGCGAGAACAGGTTCAGCTGGACGTGCGTGTCAGGAGATGTTGATTGTTTGACAGCAGATGTCAGGAGAAGGGGATAAGGGGGTTCCCTCGCTCAGATCCGCTGCCGTGGGAGAGAGAGCAGGTTCAACTGGACATGTGTGTCAGGAGGTGTTGACTGGTTGATGGCGGAAGTCAGAATAGGGGGGCAACTGTTTTGAAGTGTTTCTCATGTGGTTTCAGTATTGTCCTCACAGTACGCCTTAGAGGTATCAAGGAATGAAAGAGATCGATGCTATATTAAATGGATATAACATAATCTATAACATTTTCTGACATGGTACTAAGCTAGCTGCCTTGATTGGCACCACGATTCTAGTGCCTGCCTTGGGTGGCAGTCAAACCGGATTCAAGCGGCACAAGTAATGAGAAGAGGGAAGGCCCTGGCAGTGACACCACAGCATCAGTCAGAAAGACGATGGTCTCACAGATGTGTCATGTGGAATGTTGTTTCCCCCATCTCTAGTTGAAAATGTCATGAATGCGTCAACTTTTGTTGTTGAGCAGTCCTCCTACCAGTATCCCCATTTACTCCACTCCTCCATCCACGTGGAAGCCTTCTAGTGGTCGCCAGTCCAGCAATTTCAGCACCTGAATCTCCATCCCCACCAGCGAATCCGCCGTGATTCGCGCTACAGCCGCCAATTGGCTTGCTCGAGGCACCGCGTCTTGGCTCTCCTGACCCTTAATCGCCACCCACAGACACGTGGCAAGCACCACCCGGAGCGCGTCTGCTGCCACGTCAGTCGGCCGAAGCTTCCGCAAGATGCGCTGAAGCATGTGGAAGGCCAACGCTTCCGCGCTGCTCGACGCGAGATGGAGCCGCGTGCACCATGAATGAAGCACCCGTTTCAGTCGAGCCGCGGCGGTTTGGCCGAGAGCAGGGCCATCTGACGTTGGCGCTGGTTGCAGCTGACGTGGCTGCGACGGCTGCTGCTGCTGCAATTCAGGCAGCGACCTTTTTCGGTCGACTCGCAGAGATGTTGCGTTAGTATCAGCCCCCGTTGTAGCTGCCCCGTGTACGTTCACATTCGCGGCTTCAGCGGCTTCGCCGCGCGTAACGCAACACTCAAATCCGTTATCCGTCCGTCTACGTTTGAATGACGGTTCTTGGGCCGCGTCAGCGACACGTGGCGCCTCTGACGTTCCGTTTCCGCGAAGCCCCGCGACTTCCGGGATTTGTGGAAAGAGCTGCAGAACCGTTGCACCTTCTTGTTTCAACGGCTCAGATTGAGTTTCCGGCTGATGCTGTGGATGCGGAGGGCTCTGATGTTGCTGACTGGCGAAATGGATCACGGGCTGATGCAGAATGGTTGACCATTGCAGCTGCGAAAGCTGCTCGCGAAACACCGACTGCATGTCGTGACTGTTACCCCTGGCAACACCCAGAGTCTCGCAACACTCCGTGGTGACTCCACTCGCGGGGGACGCGCCGTCAGGCCCGCCGCTATCCCCGCTGCAGTGTGATCCGATACGATGCATCCCGAGACCCAGTTGGCTATGATATTCATGAGAATCTCGAGCCACTACACTCCATCCTCGACCACCGTCAACCAGCTCGGCAGGACAGAATCCAGCATGGCAAACGTCGAGGAAACGCGCACCGGCCACGTGGCTAAGCGACACGTCAGCTGCTGCAGATCCCACCGTCACGTGGGTTGGAAGACCAGCAACGGCAAACCCCGTGGAACGGCAGCCATGGCATAAAACTAAGGGGAGCGTGAGAGCGGTAGGAAATCCGAGGAACTGCACATGCGTGGGTTGGTTGCAGGAGCAGCAGAGAAGCGCGCGCGGGTGTTTCATGACGAGAGCGTTCGCCAAGTGGACTGCTTGGTCGCACGCGACGCACAGGTGTGCGCCGTCCGCGGCGCAATGCACGGCGGCGGGGGAGGGGCAGAGGGCGCAAGGGGTTGAAGTGAAGAGGAGCGGTAGCGGCGGCATCGCGTGCGACTGGGGAGGGTAATCTGAGAGTGCCTGAGCTGTGAACCATTGCGCACTGTGGACATCCATGGCTTAGCTTGCTATGTCGGTGAGTGCTTATACCAATAATGTTAAGGAGTATTCGAGTCGCGTGGTTGATTCACGAACTAAGGGAGAGTGAAACGGGTCACGAGGAAGACCACATGCGATAGTAGTTTAGATTATGACCTGATGAAAATATAAGGTCGGTGACGATAGAAGGCGTCTACGTCGACGAGACGTGAAGGTCCTCGAGAAACAATAAGGTAGGTAATCTACTAAACTAAATCTACTTAGAAAAGACGAGTCGTGCGAGAATTGACTTGTGGTGGCAAGTGACATGCATCCACGACCACAGAGCGACAACCTGTATGGAAAAACTGTTCATTACGGTTCACGGATTCGAAGTTCATCACAGAAGCATTGCTCTCTCTCAATCTTTACCACGACTTGCGTGATGGGCAGGCATCCTGCGTCTCGATTTATTTCGTGGCTGCTCCACCGTTTGGAGCCTTTGTCGCGTCATGGAAAAACATGGTGCAAAATGATCCGTCGTATTTACGCGGTACTGGAAGAAGTTGCTTCTTCTGCTGAACCATGGGGAAAGAAATGTCTCTGGTTTAGAAATTATAACCCAAGATACGTGCAAACACTGCTCGGCTCGAGGGCCGCGCCGCAGGAATGTTCTTTTGCGCTTGTGGAGTGAGTTGCTTCTTGAACAAGTTGATTGCGTTCTGCTCGATCAGGCGCGCACCAAGTAAAGCACGACACGTGTACAGTAATCATCAGGCAAGTGATCGTGGTCGGGCGACCGGTGGGCGGAGCAGGACGAACAAATGGCGGCAAATGGATGGAGGGATACGAGTTGACGGGTGGCTGGCAGCTTCAGGAAGGCTGACCGACAAACCTGGCTGGGAGCCGCGTCCGACGATGTGTTCCGTCTTCGAATCAAGCGTGTGGTTTGGATAGATATGTGGTTGGTACTGCTCCCATTTCTTAGTTCCCGGATTACACGTCATCCACGTATAGGTGTACACGTGTATGATTTGAAAATGGAAGCAATGCTATCCATCCTGTGGTTACCCGATATCCATACTCAAGGAAGACTCGAATCAACGGTTGCCAGCATGTTTGCACAAACCGGAGATAAGGTGTTGTCTTGATTTTCCCTGACCCCCCTGACCCTGGAGGCCCTGCCACCATTCATTCGCCCAACGAAGATTTATTTGGGCCCCCACCTGATTTGGGTTTCCCTCAGCCGCAGCTCGCGCGCCTCGGTTGCTGCGAGAAGAATCGGTTTACGCGACGCCATCCCTGCCTCGACCACCCTGCTTTCTGTCCCTTCGACCGTGAATCGAGGAGCGAATGCTATGCTGGCTTGCTTTGGCCTGGAGGCATGCCGACAGCTCATCACGGGCCCCGATCGGTGGAGGGTGACGTGGCTGGGAAATATGAGATGACGTCACCTCCGTTTGTGGTTGGGTGGTTGGCGCAAACTTGTCGCGAAAGCATGATGCGGCTGGCGCAGGATGCGTTAATTCCCATATAACTAGCCATACAGTGTGTCCTTACTTTGTGCTAGCTCATATCGCATATGTGGCAAGTGCAACTCTTCGCATCTAGTGAACAGCTCGCTTACAGGGAATATTGGTGTGCTTGTTTTGACCTGACTGGCAAGTGTCTGCCATATACGTATAATATACGAAGTAGTACATGAAAGCTTCGGATTGCCGTATGGTGCTTATTGTGTCCACACTATATGTCTTCCATGATCTTCTTCATTTGCTCTAGCGTGACAAAGAGGATGAGCGAGAAGGGGCCTTGCCGGACAATGGTTGGAATAAGGCCCTGGAAGGGAGAGCAAAAGCAAGCAGTTTAGAGGGTGAGGGGGGGCAACCGACAGGTAATGGGGGAAGAAAACAATAATAAAATATCATAAGGCAACAGCCCTGCAACGCATGCAATCAGGAATGGCATCGTCATCCATCCCTGGCAGGGCATCCCAACCATGACATGGTATCAGCAATGCAATTGCTACTTGCACACGTTACCATGAAGTGGTATCAGCAGCGCAACTTGCGCCACCAGCCAACCTTACACAATGTGCGCGGGCCTTCGAGCTTGCTGACATGAGTACGGTGCTGCCCCCCTCCTCTCGTGTCAACCATACACCCCGTGCGTTCCTTGTGGTTCCTGGAATCAGCAACGCACCCAGTGCCTTCTCTCCCCACTATTTCATCCTCACCGTACCTTGTACAGTGCAAGCGGGCCTTCCAGCTTGATGGTCTTCATGGCACAATCAAGCGGGCTCGAGTATGGTGCCGGCCCGCCTCCTTCCGGCTTGCGCATGTTCATGAGGCGAGTCTTCACCACGTCAAAGGGGTTCGAGGCGAGGGAAGCGAAGATGGCTGCTGTGAATGCTGCCACTGTGTGCGCGCCAAGACCCTCCTTCATGTAACCTCCCGCGATGAGACTCTCCTTGGCTTGATCGTATGTCGCAAGCTGGTGAGATTGGGCAGAGGGAGGGAGTTGGGAAAGATGGCAGCTGTGAATGCTGCCACTGTGTGTGCGCCGAGCCCCTCCTTCATGTAACCGCGTGCTATAAGGGTATCTTTGGCTTGATCGTATGTTGCAAGCTGGTGAGGTAAGGGCGGAGGGAGAGGGAGAGAGTTGGAAGAAAGTTGTGAGAGGGGGAGGAACAGGGAGAGCTGGAAAGGAGCAAGGAGAGCTACAGAGTGCGCGCCAAGGCCTTCCTTCATGTAACCCCCGGGCTATGCGGCCCTCCTTGCCTTGATCGTACGTTGAAAGCTGGAGAGATGGAATGGAGGGAGAAAATGGCTGGATGGTAATTGAGAGAGGTGGAAGAAGTCAGAAGCAAGAATGGGATAAGACTGAGCAGACATGGAGTACAAGCAGACATGGAGTGCAAGCAGACATGGAGTGCAAGCAGACATGGAGTGCAAGCAGACATGGAGTGTAAGCAGACATGGAGTGCAAGCAGCTCCCTTATCATGGAGAATTGCGGGATGGTAGAAAGTTGGTTCTTGAACACAACGGGAGTCAACCACAGTCAACGGGGGTCAACCACAGTCAACGGGGGTCAACCACAGGCAACGGGAGTCAACGCACCTGGCCAGCAGTGACAGCCATGGCGCGGTAGACAGTGGGACCACACCCCCGCCACAGCGCTGCAGAGCCCTCCTCCCGGCGGATGCGCGCAATGGCGTCCAGCGCGCCCTTGTAGTTGCGCCTCTGCTCCAGGGGTAGTCGGCCGTCCGCCTGCAGACAGGACGGAAGAGGGAGGGAGAGGGAAGGGGGAGCATCGTGGGATTGTGACTCTCCTGCAGCTCTCGGCGGATGCGAGAAATGGCGTCCAGCGCGCCCTTGTAGTTGCGCCTCTGCTCTAATGGCAGTCGGCCGTCCGCCTGGGGGAAGACGAGGGAGCGGCGTGGGAGGGGAAGGGAGGGGGAGGGGCGAAGGGAGTGAAGGAGGGAGGAGGGATGCGCGCAATGGCGTCCAGCGCGCCCTTGTGATTGCGCCTCTGCTCTATCAGCAGTCGCCCGTCCGCCTGGGAATGAAAGGACAGGGAGCGGAGGCGCGACGAGGGAACATGATGCGAGAAGAGTCAGAAGATATGGGCAGGCGAGGACAGAACAGAGCCACCTAGGTTTCCCATTTCATCTCACGGTTATCACTCCTCGATATGACACGACAGCACACACGCGCGCACCTGCATGCGAACCATGGCCATATCAGCAGGGCAGCGCCGATGGCGCCAGAGAGCACCTTTTTGTACATGGGCAGCCCGCCGGCACCCAACACGAGAACCTGTCAGCGCGCACCTGCATGCGAACCATGGCCATGTCAGCGGGGTTCCCGACGGCGGCGCCAATGGCGCCGGAGAGCAGCCCCGCGCCGACCTTCTTGTACATGGGCAGCCCGCGCCGGACAAGGTAACGCCTGCACACCTGCATGCGGACGCACCTGCATGCGAACCATTGCCATGTCAGCAGGATTGCCAACAGCCGCGCCAATGGCGCCGGAGAGCAGCCCCGCGCCGACCTTCTTGTACATGGGCAGGCCGCCCGGCGCCATGTGCGGCTGCTCCTCCATCTTGTGCTTCAAGATGTCGTAGATGCCCATTCGCGTCGCGCTGTAGAGAATCTGATGAGGGAGGCGAAGGTCGGCAGGGGCATTGTACGCAAAATTACTCTCAACTCTGAAGTTTCTGTTTCGTTTATAATTTCGAATAGAACCCCCATTCCTCATGTTGTGAATTAAATGTTCCACGCGGTTATCAAGCTCGTCTGCCTGTCGCCCACCTGTCGAACATCGCCCACCTGTCGCATCATGGTCGCAGAGACGCCGGTGAAGAGCCCCTTCACGCCGTTCTCCCGCACCACCTCCGCCGCCACTCGCAGCGCCCCGCCCGGCGTCCCCGTCGCTCCCGCCGCCGCTTTCGCGGAACCTTCGCCTAAAAGCTGAAGGCGAGAGAAGAACGAGCGGTGTAGTGGATTAAGATTAGGGGAGAGGGGGAGAGGAGGATGGAGAAAGGGAAGTGGGGGCAGAAGATGGGGGTGTAGCAGGGGCGAGAATGAGTCGTGCGAATGGAGGATTTGGGGATTGAGTGTGCATCTGCTTTTAACGAGGATAGTGCGACCATCCTTCCTCAAGTCAGGTTTGCGGCCACGGTTGCCACGGACCTGCATGCGACGGACCGGCATGCGACCGTGCGTGCGTGCGACGGATGTGCGTGCGACGCACCTGCATGCGAACTTTGAGGAGGTCCAGCGGATGCGTGGCGACGCCGGCGATCATGGACGCGACGCCGCCCTCCACGAACCCCTTCCACGCCGCGTTCTCGTGGTGCGGAGCGGGGGGGTGGTGCAGCTCGGGCCGCGTCTCGTGAACCATGCTGAACGCGCTTGCTGGTCTCTTGCTGGTCGCTTGCTTTCAAAGCGAAAAAATATATCCTTTCGCCTTTCAATGTTGCTGCTACTTGGCCAATGTAAGCGATTTAGGCACGACGTTGATAGCTTGCTTCTCTTTCGGCCGGGTGCTCACGGTTTGTGACACGTCAGATGCGCGTCGGCTACTTCTGCAAGGATTGTGTTATCTCAAGCCCGGGATTCGTCACACTTCGACTTCGACTGTCCCAAACTGGCGACAAAATAAGATACGCAGTCCGAGCAATCTAACGTATTCTTAAAGTGGCTCAGGTGCCAATGAGGAAGCGGCAATGATGACAGAAGAACAGCCGTTTCTAGAAGTTTCTCATAGGGAATCGAGGAAAGGCAGGTGGAGAGCGGCTGGCGAAGAACGAAAGACGAGGAAGCACTTGTGGACGTCTCTGCGTCGCGAGTCGTGACTTGTTGAGACGAAAGGAATGAATGCGTGAGATACCAGAAACGGAGCGACTACGTGGTGACGCAATGGAGGATAAAGCACTGAAAGCCGTGCTGAAGCCCTAAACGGTTATTCTGTGAGAGAGTTCTTCAACAATCCTTCTGAAGATTTTCCACAAGCAGGCAGAGTCGAACAGGCTCCTACTCCTCAGCCACTGCTTTGCGTGCTGAGGTGGAATGTTACGAGTGGCTGAGCACTGACTCCCTGGCTTGCTCGTTCCTGCGGGGTGAAACCCGATCGGCCTGATTGGATGCAGAGGAAGACTTCAGCAGACTACCGCGTTTCCGGGCCAGTCACCCAGGTTCAAGGGGATCTTTTTGACTCGGTGGCAGAACACGTGGATAAACATGTGGTGACTGATGCGCTAAAGTGAGGCCAGGATGCTGACCGACATTTCACGAACCGCAGCTGCGTTGGAGATCCAGGATTCTGGGAAGCTTTCCAGCGATCGGTTGCGGTGCCAGGCACCCCACTAACGACGCAACGCAACGGAAGCTTAGGCAATCCCACTAACGAAACCACGGACGCGTTCGACATACAGTTCTGCAATTGTAGAAACCATATACAAAAGCTAGAAATATAATGTTCCACAAGAATCTAAAACAACTATCCACGGCGCATGAATGTGGCCAGGTGATCATCATCACCCTCATCCCCATCCCCTGACAGCCTCACTGCCTCAATCTTTTGCCGAAGAACCTCTATGGCGTCCAAAAACATCCTCTCTACAGATAAAGCCCCGCTGGACTCAACCGTGAAAATGAAGCTGTCCTGACGTGGCCGAATCTCCACAAGACCGGGCCGACCCAACTCCTCTGCTTTGACAATCACTTCATCATCATACGCATACAGCTCTGCATTCTCGACATACACCTGAAACATGATCATCAGCAGGAAGCCACGACAGCCATGGCCCAAGTTGAAAATCAGCACACTTTCCACACATCTGGTAAGCTGGAAAAGGGGGACTGTAACAACCTCTTGCCAAAACGACTTGTAAGAACGCGTTGCTACCAGGCACATCTGTATGCCGCACCGAAGCTCACCTGTCCATGTTCGTCGATACCGAACACTTGCGTGGGGCAGGAGTCCACCCACTCGCGCCTCTCCTCCAGGCTCATGCCATCCATGAGCGTGTGGTTGATGGTGATCTCTGGCTCGTACATGAACGTCACTGGGGACGCCGGCGACCACTTGGCGTGATCCTTCCCCAGTCCCTTACGGGCGATCGCACGGAGCCGAATCTCCTGGCCTTTCCTCAGCTTTAGAATCACGATTCCTCTGACGGGAACGGGAGAGGTGAACGGGAGGAGATGGGGTGACGGGGGGAACAGAGGTAATGGCAGGAGTTAAGTGGATGTGGGAAGCGAGAGAAGGGGGAGAGGGAGAAGTAAGGAGGAGTCCACCCACTCGCGCCTCTCCTCCAGGCTCATGCCATCCATGAGCGTGTGGTTGATGGTGATCTCTGGCTCGTACATGAACGTCACTGGGGACGCCGGCGACCACTTGGCGTGGTCCTTCCCCAGGCCCTTACGGGCGATCGCACGCAGGCGAATCTCCTGACCTTTCCTCAGCTTCAGAATCACGGTTCCTCTGAGGTGCGTTGGAGGGCGGGAAAGAAAAGCGGTAATGCCAGAAATTGGAGGATTGAGAAAGGAGGGGGAGGCCAAGGGGGGTGGCGTTGGGGGGAGAGAAGAGAAGCCCATTGAGCGTTCAGAGGGTCATAACATGAAGGTTATGCCTGTTTAGCGCTGACGGCACAAAGGCACAAGGAAGTTGCGGCAAGCTGGGGAAATGCGGAGGATTGGAATCAATTATGCAACAGAGAATGAGGGAGCGAGTGAGGGAGGGAGGGAGGGAGGGAGGGAGGGAGGGAGGGAGGGAGGGAGGGAGGGAGGGAGGGAGGGAGGGATGGAGGGAGGGAGGGAGGGAGGGATGGAGGGAGGGAGGGAGGGAGGGAGGGAGGGAGGGAGGGAGGGAGGGAGGGAGGGATGGAGGGAGGGAGGGAGGGATGGAGGGAGGGAGGGAGGGAGGGAGGGAGGGAGGGAGGGAGGGAGGGAGGAGGAGGGAGGGAGGGAGGGAGGGAGGGAGGGAGGGAGGGAGGGAGGGAGGGAGGGAGGGAGGGAGGGAGGGAGGAGGAGGGAGGGAGGGAGGGAGGGAGGGAGGGAGGGAGGGAGGGAGGGAGGGAGGGAGGGAGGGAGGGAGGGAGGGAGGGAGGGAGGGAGGGAGGGAGGGAGGGAGGGAGGGAGGGAGAGAGGGACATGGAGGGAGGGAGGGAGGGAGGGAGGGAGAGAGGGACATGGAGGGAGGGAGGGAGAAGGGGGGTTGGAGAGAGGGTTCCCTCCCTCTCTCCATCAATGACCAATGTGATAGGCCGATTCCCTCAACTGTCCTTAGTCATTCTTCCCCCTTACTAACTCCGTTCCTACCTCAATCTAGTTACTTACTTCTCCTCGCCGTCCTCCCCTTCGATTCGTCTCGTGCAATCAACTGGAAGGACAGCGTCGTCACTGTCGTCACTCGACGAGGGAATCAGATCATGAGTTGTAACGTCCAGCGTTTCATCTCCCGTACACTTGACGTTGAGAGTGAACTCCACGGCACAGTACTCGCACGGGCCGTCGCCGTCGCACGCGTCGCAGTCGCGAGAGAACTTCATGGACATCGCACGGTCGCTGACCAATGGGATGAGGCCTAGCCTGTGTGCGATGAATTCGTCGTTTAGCACGGACGTGTTGTTCGCAATCTCGACAAGATCGATGGCGATGGTTGGGACTTCGGCCATCATGACTCGGCGAAGCACGTTCGCGACAGACACGTCTGTATCGCGAAGCTCGAACTTCATAAAACGATCACGAATTTCTCGAACGTGAATCGTCGGCATTCGTTGAAGCGACCCGCCGTCGCCAGCCATAGGATCGTCGTCCATGTCGTAGTCTAACCTTGGTACGACGGAGTTCAACCTAATATGCTCTCGTGGTCTTAACCTAGCCCTAATATCTCCTAACCCTAGCTTAATCGTCTAAAACACCTTATGTGCCTCTAAATACGCTGTCAAGGATCCAACGCCTCTACGACAACTCGCGATAAAAGCGTCGCGGCAACGAGAAATGGTCGCAATATAAGTGGCTTTGCACGCAACAATATGAACTCCACTCGGCTCTCGGCTCGGATCAGTGAGGTTGTAAACGCAACAAGGATCCTTCTCGTTACGCGTAAAACGTCGACGATAATCACAAGAATTCAGCAAAGATATACAATTTCCGGACCTCCGAGTCTCGTCCCACACAACCCAAGCCTTTCCCCTTCGCCCCCTCCCCTCATTCCGCTTCCCCCTTTCCTCTTTCCAAACGTTTCCGCCCCACCCCCTACCCTCCGCCCTCCCCTCGCCTATTCCACCCCGCCAAGCCCTTCTCGCTCGCCCTCTTCGCTTTTAGGGTTTTCGAACTCCCCTGTTCCTTCCTTTCCTCTTTTTCTTTCGTTTCTCGCTCCCTCTTTTCGGGCGAATTCGACATAGTCATGGCAGACAGGGGCGGATTCGGGCGCGGATTCGGCGACCGCGGTGACCGCGGCGGGCGCGGCGACAGGGGCCGCGGGGACAGGGGCCGCGGGCGCGGGCGCAGACGCGCGGACGATAAGGAAGAGGCATGGGTTCCCGTGACGAAGCTGGGTCGCCTCGTAAAGGAGGGGAAGATTAAGTCCATCGAGCACATTTACCTCTTTTCGCTGCCGATTAAGGAGCATCAGATAGTCGAGGCGTTTCTGCCGACTCTTAAGGACGAGGTCATGAAGATCATGCCCGTGCAGAAGCAGACGCGCGCCGGGCAGCGTACTCGTTTTAAGGCGTTCGTCGTCGTCGGCGACTGCAACGGCCACATCGGGCTCGGCGTGAAGTGCGCTAAGGAGGTCGCGACCGCCATTCGCGGCGCGCTGATCCTCGCGAAGCTTTCCGTGATTCCCGTGCGACGCGGGTACTGGGGTAACAAGATCGGCAAGCCGCACACGGTGCCTACGAAGGTCACCGGCAAGTGCGGCTCGGTCACTGTGCGCCTCGTCCCCGCGCCTCGCGGTTCCGGGATTGTGGCGGCTCGCGTGCCGAAGAAGGTGCTGCAGTTCGCGGGTATCGAGGACGTCTTTACCTCGTCCCGCGGCTCCACGAAGACGCTTGGAAACTTCGTGAAGGTGAGATAACTGGGCACTTATGTGTCTGAATAGCGACAGGATAACTTGAACGGGGGTTATAGGGATCGTTGGCGACGGTATAGCAGAATGCATTGGCGACCACGGGCAGTGGAAGGGAAAGGAAAAAGGGAGAGGAAGTCTTTTGGAAGCTTCGACTTGGGCGTAGTGGTCACTCGGACGTGGGGTTCAGGGTTTCGAAGTGTGTATCGGCGAGGGTTGTGGAAGTGACGATCAGCAGCGGTAGTAGGCTGTTTGAGCGAAACAAAGTCAGGTTCAACAGTGACGGTGACGGTGATGGTGACGGTGATGGTGTGCGTACGGTGACGGTGATGGTGACGGGAGTTGAGTATAGACACGGTTTGAGGCGCCTCAAAAGTGACGCGCAGGCGACGATAGTGGCGGTGCCGGGCAGCAGCAATAGAAGGTTTTCTGGCTATGGGCCGTCTCGTGGAGTGCAATCATTCGCTCAGTAGCAGCCTCGTATCTTGCAAGGTGTGACGACCCAGGGGCGAGCGTTAACGGCATGACAGACATGGCGTCGGATGGTGGTAAACGTGGCAGAAGCAGGTGCGGAGGCGCAGTACACGTGGCGTGGCGTATTGCGGAGATGGCTCAACAGTTCGTGTGGCGATGTGGTGGTGTTTCTGTCCCTCGCAGTACCACGCGCGTGTGGCGGAACTGCTGCCGGTGATCCGGTGCTCCCGTTGGCTGACATTTATTCACGTGGGGATGGTGCAGGGAGCGTGCAAGGAGCTTGCATTGAGCGTGCAGGGGTCCCAGGAAGCCTGTTGCCGTCAGATTAATCCAGAGCGCCTGGGCCCGTCCGATTATTCTCAGAGAGCCAGGGCCATCCGATTAGTCTCAAAGAGCCAGGGGCCGTCAGATTAGTCGCAGAGGGTCCGGAGCCGTTCGATCAGTCTCAGAGATACAGAGGGGGCGTCAGACTACTCGCTGGGAGCTAGTGGCCGTCAGATTAGTCCCAGAGAGCCTGGGTCCCTCAAAATACTTTCAAAGAGCCAGGGGCCGTCAGATTACTTTCAAAGAGCCAGGGGCCGTCAGATTACTTTCAAAGAGCCTGGGGCCGTCAGATTACTTTCAAAGAGCCAGGGGCCGTCAGATTACTTTCAAAGAGCCAGGGGCCGTCAGATTACTTTTCAATAGCCAGGGGTCGTCGGATTAGTTTCAGAGAGTCCGGGGCCGTCAGATTAGGGCCAGCTAGCCAGGGAGAAAAAGCGCTCTTGTGACGAGTCTTTCATGAGCCCTTTAGTGCGCTGGGGCCGTCAGATTAGTTCCTGCTGCAAGGGTTTGCTGCAATGCGGTGCCTGCAGCTCAGTGAAAAGTGCACTGGGGTAATGCAGGGGAGCGGGTGCTGGGATTGGGTGCAGGGGGTGGGTGCAGGGGGGTGGGTACAGAGGAGGGAGATGGGTGCAGGGGAGTGCAAGGGGGTGGGTGCAGAACAGTGCGAGAGAGTGGGGGTTTGTTCAGCGTGGTGGGTGCAAGGCTGTGGGTCCTCCCACTTAATCACCTCTGGTCTTGTAATTGCAACCCAATTCTTCTTCATCTGTCCCCAACTTCCCCCCTTCCCACCCTTCCCATTTCCACTCTTGCCCCGTTCCACCTCTTCCTCACAACCAACCCGTAGCGTGCTACCAAGTTGCCCGTGCATCACTAGCCTCTCCTTGTTTAGCCTTGCATTCCCTGCCTTCCCTTCCCATTCGCTTTCCCTTCCGTTCCCCTTTCCTTCCGTCTCTTCAACAGGCCACCTTTGCCTGTGTGCTCAACGCATACGCCTTTCTTCAGGCCGGACCTCTGGCACACCAAGCTGCGTGTGCATCATTAAGCTTCCATTGCCTGCCACCACCAAGCCTTGTTGTCCCTTTCCTTACCTTTCCGTTCCCCTTCCCTTACCCTCTCTTTCACCACCCCCACAGGCCACGTTTGCCTGTCTGCTCAACACATACGCCTTCCTCACGCCCGACCTGTGGCATGCAACCAAGTTCACCAAGACACCCTTCCAGGAGTTCACCGACTTCCTTGCCAAGCCGCACAAGCTGGCTCTCCCCGTCGCCGTGCCCGATGCCTTTGCTGCCCCCCCTCCTGCCGCTGCTGCTCCGGTCCCCGCGTTTTAAACGAGTCGGCGCCGAGTAGGAATGGATGAACGGGCTTGTTTTGTGTAGATTTGAGGTCTGAATGTGCACACTGCTGTGAATGATTGTGCTGCGGCCTGCAATCCAAGTCAAGAACAAGCTTGTATTCATGTGTAATGTGCCTGCATTCCTAGTACCCTCCACACACACACTTGTGCCTAGAAAGTTCACCAAGACGCCCATCCAGGAGTTCACTGACTTCCTCGCCAAGCTGCACAAGCTGGCTCTCCCTAAGGCCATCCCTGTCGCCGTTGCGCCGCTGCCACCTGTCGCCACGTGATATGGTGCGGAGTGGATAAAGAAGTCAGCAGTGGGCGTAGTATCGTGTGGAGATGTCCAATCCGATGTTAGATTGTAGTTACTGGTTCGGATGGTTCAACCTGCAATTGTCTGGTGGTTCTCCTGTTGTAGGTAGTTTGCAAGAGCCTTGTTGTGATCAAAATGTAATGGAAGGTTTTTGAGCTGCAAGAAAGCTAAGTTTTGTACACTACTGTCAGCCTTTTGGCTCAAGCGTTTCCTCCACTCGTTCATACCCGCCATAAGCCGCCGTACAGCGTAGAGTCTAGTCTAGTGGGTTGGGTAGAAAGTCCACCAAGTTCCAGTCAACGTTTTGCGACAAACATCAAACGCGGGTTTGCCTGTTCAGCACGCATCATGATTGTCCGTAAGAACGTGGGCTTAACTTTCTAGCTTCCTGCATTTTTGCCGGGCAAACGAGGTATTTGCAACTAGATGATGAAACTCGCCTCTCCGATGCCGTTACTTATCTAATGGAGTTTCAAGTGGCAAAAAGGAACCAATTGTCAACGTGTACCCTGCTCTACAGAGAGGAGATGTACCGTTGACTGCAAGTGCCCCTCCTGTGTGTGTGACACCGTGGTCCCCAGTGCATAGTAGGAGACAAATTTGTCACGGTTACAAAGAAAACCAGAAAAATATAAACTGTGCTTTTTGGTTGCGTTTGTGGTCATTTTCGGTTGACCAAGTTCGCGCAGTACAGTGCGTGCATTGGCTGTGCGCACGATGTTGGATCGGTTGAGAAAGAATATCATACTGTAGTTTGTCAGTGAGCAGATGCCGGATTGGTGGGCCAGAATCCGCTTGGCTCCCGTCCGCTAATCCCTTTTTTAAAATCTTCAATGTGGGGGCACCATTGACAGCCATTCCGGCGCCACATATATTTGCGGCGGAGAGCCTCTCGCCAGGCAAAATCCACGTCATTCCATCCGTCGCACAGATTTTTATGGATCACCTCAACTCCTCGCATGCTGTCGGAAAGCAGATGCCCCTCCTCGAGCCGTGAATTTCTCTGGTTCGAGACGCATTCAGGCCCAATGCGACATTTGATTGCACCCACGTAGAATGCAGGTGAGTGGCGAGGAGAGCAGCAAGCACGTGAATGGGGCAAAATCAACTCCTTTCATGGGACTACTCTTGCATTTGCTGCGCTTCCTTCTGTTCCTATACACTCTGTGCGTTGCTAGCCTTACCTTTTCGCAGGACCAGAACGCAGTCGATCACGCATTCAAGCTGCATTTACTGCATCTGATTGTATCAGGCGTCCTTATGTGTGCGCGCATTACTGCATGCATGCATACTTGTGGCTAGCTTCGGCCTAGCGCTGCACTACACGCATTGTCGCATCAGGAGGAACCATAATAGCAATTTCATGAGAACGTTCGAGAGGCGAGTAAAAAAAGCTCAGATTCACGTATAGTATCATGTTGCTGCGTTTCCTGAGTCAACTCAACCTCCCACAAATTCAACATCCTCCCACTTTCAAGCCGTCCTTTCTCGCAGCAGTTAAAGGCGTACGGCAGCGTTGAGTCAGCCCGTTAGTCAGTCCGAGGTCCTAGCCTTTCTCTCCACCGTTCTGCCAGTCTTTCACAATTCTTCGTTGAGTTTCCTGACTGATAACAACGCACCTGATTTTTCAAACTTCACTTACGGAAAACTGAATTCCCTTCTGCCTCGTACCTACTAGTAGGTACCTAGCTACCACTGCGGCAGCGCATGTGGTTGTGTCCTGAAACATGATTCTTTGCATTTCCGCCGAACCGAGCCCTTCCCAAGCCTCGGCCAGTATGATACTCCCCAGGGAAGAAGTTAACGAGTTCCGGCTATTCGGACGGACAATTCAAAAGCCAACGGCTAGCAATTTGGCGTCAGAACAATTCGTGTCGGGAGCTCCGTCGACGGGCGCTTCGTCGCCGAGTGACGCTCGACATCATAACGCTGCGCCATCTGACTGCGACGCGGGAGATATTGCCACATTGCCATCCGTTACTAGTGCCACCAGGGGACTCACCACCACTATGCACGGTGCTCAACTTACCCCCGACTTTCCGGCGTCGACAAAACCGCACCATCCATCAAAACGGCACGCGCAACTCCCGCCGTCAACTCCGCCGCTTCCGCCGGCGCCAGTGCCGGCGGCGCTGCCGTGCCCGCGGTGCTCGAGCCGCGCCACCAAATTCTGCTATTACAACAACTACAACGTGAACCAGCCGCGCCATTTCTGCCGCGCCTGCCATCGCTACTGGACCGCGGGCGGGTGCCTGCGCAACGTCCGCGTGGGCTCCGGCCGGCGCAAGGGGAAGCAGCTGGCAGCGGGAATAGCGGCGCCGGCTGGGGCCGTCACTACTGCCGCAGGAATGGCGGATGAGCCCTTGCGGCAACGGCGGCAGCAGCAGCAGCAGCAGCAACTACAGCAGCAGGCGGAACAAGCGCAGCCGCCGCCGCAGCAGCGGAACAAGCGGACGCGACGATCATTCTCCAACGGTGAATCTCGACTCTCGCCGCCCAGCCCCACGAAGGACTCTGTGTGTCTCGACCCAACTGCGGCTCCAGAATTTCATGGCAAAAGCTGCAGCGACGAGGACTGTTATGGCCGGAATGATCACCGGAGTGGTTACTCCGGTGGTTACCACATTGGCGGCAGTAACAACTCCAGTTTCGACACCAGTGTGATTGTAACGGGCAGGTCAACAAGCCCGGCTTCCCTTGGCCACCATCACCGGGGCCCGGTGTTAGATCGTGAGAGCCCATCCGTCGGGCCTGCAACCAACTGTTTGCTTGAGGCTCGAAAAAACCCTGCTTTTAATCTTCAGGAGGAGGATGGACCGTTAAGGAGGGATACGCACAAGCTCGAGCTTGTAGAGGAAAGAGGGGGTGCTTGTATGGAGGACTGCGGTGCCCCGCCGTTGTCATCCACGTTTCTTCTGCCCCCGTCTCGCGTTTCCCGGCTTCTCCTGGCAACTGCTTCCGCATCCCCGAGTCGAACACCCTCTGCGTCGATTGCCATGACTCCCTCCTCTCCCACTGGTGTAGCACCTGCCTCAGAAGCCTCCGCTTCCGCTCCTGCCTCTCGTGCGGTTGCTGCGGCTGCTTCGATTTCGCCTCTCTCGTTCTCGCTGATGTCAGCGGCGGCATTATCGACAACAGCAGCAAATGCATCGGAACCGTCTGCTTTCCCTCGACTCTACGAGCATTCCTCGGTCGCCACGCCGACACTCCATTGGTTGGCTGCTGCACCTATCACCTCCTTGGCACCCAATGCCACGTCTCTGGACACTAGTCCTCTACATGCCAAGCCTCCCATTGACGACCCTCCGAACTTCATGTTCTCGAACCTCACCCCTCCCAACCTTGCGCATCCCAACGATGCGCTGGTTGATGTGGACACGTATGCTACTGGTAGAGCATTCACAGTACAACCCAACAGCTTCAACCATCTTCTCGCACCTATACTCGCCCTCACCCCTCCCCAGGCGGCAGCTGTATTAGCCAGGCTCATGTATATGCAATCTAATCTTGGAGCTACACCAGGGTCACATCCTGGTGGTGTGACAGCCACGATGGCAGCTGAAACAGAGCCTCAGCCAGTAAGCGACGAAAAACTGGAGTTCGGCGCTTCGTTACACCTGGGTCTATCTCAAGAGCTTTCAGAGGACCTGTATAAGGTTGACAACCCAAGAAAAAGGGCACATGTGAATGCATTCACATTCCTACACTGTTGAAAGCATGTATGCAACTTTCCGATAGGTACTGTAGTAAGTACACATGTTATGACTGATTTGTTTTGTACTGGCTAGTACATGATAATGATTTGCGAAATATTACGGTAATATGACTAGATTTACTAGATTGATGCTGTCATACACCCCAACACATCCCAAAACAGCACAATCAGGCTCATGTATGCAATTACATGTTCTGGTAAAGCATTATCCAGTCATCCGCGTTAGCGATGTTGGATGACTGGCAGTGCGAAATTTGTTTTCCGTTCACATCAACCGCGTTGTAATGTAGCTCCCTTTCCCCCCATGTCCATTGGCATGTGCGTGGGGCGCGTGTTGCCTGCTGTTCACGAAACATTTTCTCTGCCTACCTCAGCTTGATATGGGCCGTTGGATTGAGTTCGGTGCAAACACGAGGTTCGGGTGATGCTCGTCTTGGGCGTGCGGTTGTTGACCTACGTGTCCATGAGTAGGCTGCGGTGCGGAAGCACGGCAGGGCTGTCTTGTGCCACAGGGCACAAATAAAGCATCGGTGATACTTTTTTATTTCCGGCACTTGTAGGGCTGGAAATGGAAAATTTAGAAGCTAAGTGCGTTGAAATCTGGTGCACGTTTAGGTGTGAAGTCATTGTCAAATTCCAAAAGTTGATGTGGACCAACAGTTGGAACCCAGAGGTGGCGCCTGCAGCATGTGTGCAACCGGGCAGGAATCATCAGTTCGGGCTAGAAAACGGTGTTGTCGAGTCGAGATTTGTCACTTTTCCCTACAGGTCGCGAAACGAGGGCACTACAGCGAAGCCCGTCGGCTTCCTCGGCCTCCTTTCGCACGTTTCGCAAATGCATATTCCCCAACCAACCCCAAGATTGCAGACCAAACTGCTTTTGTTCTTCTGGACGCTTCTCCTTCCAAACAGCGGCTCTCAAAGGTGAGCTATGCTACAAGATAGGAGATCCGGCATTCTCCAGGTCGCCATTCCCCTGATTGGAGCACACCACTGTTTCAGCACTTCATCTGGCGCTTATTGCCGGCGTCATTATAATGGTGTTGTAATGCGCGAAGCTGAGTTCTGAGCACGGAGCACTGTAGGGTATGTCGTATCATAGTTCCTGGCTTGCAAGTTTGATGAACAGGAGTGGACTAATGAGTTCCCTTCAGCCGTCCGCTTTGGCGAACCTCGTCTTCCTTACGCGTGATAATTGCATCTAATGGCTCCAACTTTGCGAACTAGAGTGTGGGTTTTCCTAGCGCTAACATTCTTATGCTTCACAGCTGATCCCTGTGACTGCGATAGGGTATCGTTTTATCGGTTTTCCGACCGTCTTATTTTCGCGGGAACCGCTCGTTTGAAGAACGTCATACCTCCTCCACCGTCCACTAGCACAACGTCACGTGTCAATGCTCCGATAGAAGGTCAATCGCTAAAAGGACCCAGTACAGTGAAATGGCAGCAGCAATCCGGGAATCAGAATCAGTCGCCAGCGTCAACTTCGTCAGGCAGTCACCCCTCTCAACCTTCGATAAAATCACAACTGGAAAGTTCGCTATCGCCACTAGAACCTATTACCGCTCTTCAACATCTAATAGAGCAGCAGACGCATCAGGGAACACGAGTGAAACAGGCAGAAGCGCAGCAAAAGGTTTCGGCGATACCGGAGAACGCGGTGGAGGAGGAGGTGGAGGAGAGGGAGGAGGTTCCTTCAGAGAACTGGCGTGTGCGGGAGCAACAAGGTCGATCGCGGGGGTTGTACGAACATCTCCTGACCGTCGATCTAGAGCAGCGAATCCAGGCTCGCGATGCCGCTATGCGACGGTTCGCAGGAGGAGCTTCAAGCGTCCCCGGCGTAGCCAACACTGTGGCAGCCAACGAGTTTAAAGAGCAGTCGAACATCTATCTTCCACGCAATGTCAGTCCAGCAATCCTTATTATTTCCTAGCCGAGCCGATATTTTATAACATGTAGCTTTGCCTGACTTAGTGCGGGTTTCGCGTCTTTAGAGTCTGCCGAAGATCCGGCTATACGCACTGTAGCACTCGAGCCGTTTAGCCTTTCATCTTCGAAGCATTCCAGATGTCTCTATAAGCGCTTAATATGCACTTGCCGTTCATTGAAAGTACTTTCGACTCGGCCAATTTGGTTGTTTCCTTTACACGGATCTTGCTCCTGATACTTCGCTTCGTGACCCCCGTATGTTTGTCCCCGTTACAGAACAGCGCGTTAAGAACGGCAGGCACGGGTACAGTAACGCCGGCAGTACAGTACACCGACGCCACGCCCTTAGGCGTGCTTGACAGCCGGCCGAAGCTGGGCTTTAAGGGAATATCTGGGAAGCGGCAGCTGGTGGCCGGCGTGAACCGTGCTTACAGCGGTACTCAGGTGAGGCAGGAGTATCACCCAGGTGGTGAGGCAGGAGCGGCACTCAGATGAGGCAGGAGCGGCACTCAGATGAGGCAGGAGTGGCACTCAGATGAGGCAGGAGCGGCACTCAGATGAGGCAGGAGCGGCACTCAGATGAGGCAGGAGCGGCACTCAGATGAGGCAGCAGCGGCACTCAGATGAGGCAGGAACGGCATCAGACATGAGCAAGGTTGTGGTGAGAGAGGAACGACATGCAATTGAGTCAGGAGCGATACCACGGTGCTGAGACGGGTGTTGCAGATGAAACTTGTACGGTAAACGCCGGGACGGGTGCTGCAACGGCATTGCAAAATTCGATCAACAATCCAGTCATACCCTTCATTAACAAAGTCTCACGCCTTTCATAATTCCTCAGTTCCTCCTTCTTTCCTCTCCCCACTTCCCTCTCCCCACTTCCCTCTCCCCACTTCCCTCTCCCCACTTCCCACTCCCCTCTCCCCTCGCAGTTCGACCCTTGGATTCCCGACTCTGCTGTGTGCGTTGGAAGGCTCTACATTGTACAGATCGTCAACTACGGTGAGTGATGCAGTCCGGTGCTTTGCAAGTGACATAGGGTTGAAAGAAGAATGGAAGTGCGGTTCCCTGGAACGCGATTCACGTTCGCTGCGCAATCTTTGTCCTATACCACCTGACTCTTGTCCGTTCTCGGGTTTCTGGTCCATATCGGGTTTCCATTTATTCAGTCCTATCAGCTCCATATCGTTTCAGCTCTTCTGCCCTCTGCATTTATTGCTTCATTTGTCCCTCAGCATATGACCCTCAGCATTTATCGCTCTGCACTTGTCGATGTCGATGGTGCTGCAGCCATTGTGATTTACAACAAGCGGGGCAAGATAGTTCGCCTGCCCCAACCACTCAACGAGGTATGCTGCTGCCTTGTCGCCCCAGTGCAGTTTCCTGCCATTCCCCATGTCCCATGCCTCTCATTTCCCATTCCCCCCATTCCCCGTACCCCATTGCCTCTCATTTCCCATTCCCCCCATTCCCCGTACCCCATTGCCTCTCATTTCCCATTCCCCCCATTCCCCGTACCCCATTGCCTCTCATTTCCCATTCCCCCCATTCCCCGTACCCCATTGCCTCTCATTTCCCATTCCCCCCATTCCCCGTACCCCATTGCCTCTCATTTCCCATTCCCCCCATTCCCCGTACCCCATTGCCTCTCATTTCCCATTCCCCCCATTCCCCGTACCCCATTGCCTCTCATTTCCCATTCCCCCCATTCCCCGTACCCCATTGCCTCTCATTTCCCATTCCCCCCATTCCCCGTACCCCATTGCCTCTCATTTCCCATTCCCCCCATTCCCCGTACCCCATTGCCTCTCATTTCCCATTCCCCCCATTCCCCGTACCCCATTGCCTCTCATTTCCCATTCCCCCCATTCCCCGTACCCCATTGCCTCTCATTTCCCATTCCCCCCATTCCCCGTACCCCATTGCCTCTCATTTCCCATTCCCCCCATTCCCCGTACCCCATTGCCTCTCATTTCCCATTCCCCCCATTCCCCGTACCCCATTGCCTCTCATTTCCCATTCCCCCCATTCCCCGTACCCCATTGCCTCTCATTTCCCATTCCCCCCATTCCCCGTACCCCATTGCCTCTCATTTCCCATTCCCCCCATTCCCCGTACCCCATTGCCTCTCATTTCCCATTCCCCCCCATTCCCCGTACCCCATTGCCTCTCATTTCCCATTCCCCCCATTCCCCGTACCCCATTGCCTCTCATTTCCCATTCCCCCCATTCCCCGTACCCCATTGCCTCTCATTTCCCATTCCCCCCATTCCCCGTACCCCATTGCCTCTCATTTCCCATTCCCCCCATTCCCCGTACCCCATTTCCCCTCATTTCCCATTCCCCCCATTCCCCGTACCCCATTGCCTCTCATTTCCCATTCCCCCCATTCCCCGTACCCCATTGCCTCTCATTTGCCTCTCATTTCCCATTCCCCCATTCCCCGTACCCCATTGCCTCTCATTTCCCATTCCCCCCATTCCCCGTACCCCATTGCCTCTCATTTCCCATTCCCCCCATTCCCCGTACCCCATTGCCTCTCATTTCCCATTCCCCCCATTCCCCGTACCCCATTGCCTCTCATTTCCCATTCCCCCCATTCCCCGTACCCCATTGCCTCTCATTTCCCATTCCCCCCATTCCCCGTACCCCATTGCCTCTCATTTCCCATTCCCCCCATTCCCCGTACCCCATTGCCTCTCATTTCCCATTCCCCCCATTCCCCGTACCCCATTGCCTCTCATTTCCCATTCCCCCCATTCCCCGTACCCCATTGCCTCTCATTTCCCATTCCCCCCATTCCCCGTACCCCATTGCCTCTCATTTCCCATTCCCCCCATTCCCCGTACCCCATTGCCTCTCATTTCCCATTCCCCCCCATTCCCCGTACCCCATTGCCTCTCATTTCCCATTCCCCCCATTCCCCGTACCCCATTGCCTCTCATTTCCCATTCCCCCCATTCCCCGTACCCCATTGCCTCTCATTTCCCATTCCCCCCATTCCCCGTACCCCATTGCCTCTCATTTCCCATTCCCCCATTCCCCGTACCCCATTGCCTCTCATTTCCCATTCCCCCCATTCCCCGTACCCCATTGCCTCTCATTTCCCATTCCCCCCATTCCCCGTACCCCATTGCCTCTCATTTCCCATTCCCCCCATTCCCCGTACCCCATTGCCTCTCATTTCCCATTCCCCCCATTCCCCGTACCCCATTGCCTCTCATTTCCCATTCCCCCCATTCCCCGTACCCCATTGCCTCTCATTTCCCATTCCCCCCATTCCCCGTACCCCATTGCCCTCATTTCCCATTCCCCCCATTCCCCGTACCCCATTGCCTCTCATTTCCCATTCCCCCCATTCCCCGTACCCCATTGCCTCTCATTTCCCATTCCCCCCATTCCCCGTACCCCATTGCCTCTCATTTCCCATTCCCCCCATTCCCCGTACCCCATTGCCTCTCATTTCCCATTCCCCCCATTCCCCGTACCCCATTGCCTCTCATTTCCCATTCCCCCCATTCCCCGTACCCCATTGCCTCTCATTTCCCATTCCCCCCATTCCCCGTACCCCATTGCCTCTCATTTCCCATTCCCCCCATTCCCCGTACCCCATTGCCTCTCATTTCCCATTCCCCCCATTCCCTGTACCCCATTGCCTCTCATTTCCCATTCCCCCCATTCCCCGTACCCCATTGCCTCTCATTTCCCATTCCCCCCATTCCCCGTACCCCATTGCCTCTCATTTCCCATTCCCCCCATTCCCCGTACCCCATTGCCTCTCATTTCCCATTCCCCCCATTCCCCGTACCCTATTTCCCCTCATTTCCCATTCCCCCCATTCCCCGTACCCCATTGCCTCTCATTTCCCATTCCCCCCATTCCCCGTACCCACTGCCTCTCATTTCCCATTCCCCCCATTCCCCGTACCCCATTGCCTCTCATTTCCCATTCCCCCCATTCCCCGTACCCCATTGCCTCTCATTTCCCATTCCCCCCATTCCCCGTACCCCATTGCCTCTCATTTCCCATTCCCCCCATTCCCCGTACCCCATTGCCTCTCATTTCCCATTCCCCCCATTCCCCGTACCCCATTGCCTCTCATTTCCCATTCCCCCCATTCCCCGTACCCCATTGCCTCTCATTTCCCATTCCCCCCATTCCCCGTACCCCATTGCCTCTCATTTCCCATTCCCCCCATTCCCCGTACCCCATTGCCTCTCATTTCCCATTCCCCCCATTCCCCGTACCCCATTGCCTCTCATTTCCCATTCCCCCCATTCCCCGTACCCCATTGCCTCTCATTTCCCATTCCCCCCATTCCCCGTACCCCATTGCCTCTCATTTCCCATTCCCCCCATTCCCCGTACCCCATTGCCTCTCATTTCCCATTCCCCCCATTCCCCGTACCCCATTGCCTCTCATTTCCCATTCCCCCCATTCCCCGTACCCCATTGCCTCTCATTTCCCATTCCCCCCATTCCCCGTACCCCATTGCCTCTCATTTCCCATTCCCCCCATTCCCCGTACCCCATTGCCTCTCATTTCCCATTCCCCCCATTCCCCGTACCCCATTGCCTCTCATTTCCCATTCCCCCCATTCCCCGTACCCCATTGCCTCTCATTTCCCATTCCCCCCATTCCCCGTACCCCATTGCCTCTCATTTCCCATTCCCCCCATTCCCCGTACCCCATTGCCTCTCATTTCCCATTCCCCATGCTCCATTCCCCATGGCCCATTTCCCATCCCCCATAACTTCTATTCCCCATCCCGCATCCCCCACTCCCCATCACCCATTCCCCTTCCACCATCGCGCATTCCCCATTCTCCTGTCCATGTGGCGCGCCACCCGCCTCATCTTCCTCTTGCACCATGTGTGCAGCCATCCCACGTGCACAGTGCGTGCAGCCGTCCCACTTGCACCATGTTTCAAACAAGCTGCCAACTCCACTCGCCTGAGCGACTGTTGTCCGTCTTCAGTTCTTTGAAGTGATGCCAGCCAATTCCACCCGCCCAGGCGACTTCCCCACACCCATACCCTCGCCCCTCCGCCCACCCCCTTCGCCCCCTCCCCTTACCCCATCCCTTCCTCCAGTTCTTCGGAGTGATGCCAGCCAATTCCACCCGCCCAGGCGACTTTATCAACAAGGCCACGTGCGTCTTTGACGCCTCGTCAGGCCGATTCTTCCTCGCTGCTGCATGGCTCGTGAGTGCCCGCTCTATTCCTCCTTGCTTTCTTAAAACCGGTAAGGCTTATCCGCCTTACTTCAGGCCACGTGCGTATTTGACGCCTCTTCAGGCCGATTCTTCAGGCTGCTGCATGGCTCGTGAATGCCTCTCCCTGATCCCCCCTCGCTCGATCTGGCCCTCCTTGTGTGCTTGCTCAATCGGGGTGGGGCTACCCTGGGGCCTGGGCTTACGTGCGTCTTTGGCGTCACCTTAGGGCGATACTCTCCCCTTCCCTTCCACACCCCTTCCTACCCACCACTCTTTCGTTCCACCCCTCTTGCCACCCTTCCTTCTTGCCACCCTTCCTTCTTGCCACCCTTCCCGCTTGCCACTCGCCACTGCCAGTCGGGTGGGTATCGCAACAAGTGGGACCGGTTTGGGCAGACGCGGAGGAACGCGGATGGGAGCACATCGGGCTATGGCATAGTGGTGGCGGCCTCCTCCTTCCTCACGCCCTTGATGGCTTGGAATGTCTCCTTCATTCCCTCCAGGTACAGTACTTGCCTTCTCCGCAGTTGTTATGCTGGTATTATTGAGGTACCCCCAGGGACCCCCAGGGACCCCGTGTCTCTCCCCCTGTCCCTGTGTCCCTGGGTCCCCCTGCGCCCCCCTGCGTCCCCCTGCGCCTCCCTGCTCCCCCTTTGTCCTCCCCACGGCAATTACAGTGTAAAGTCGCACAATGACACAGCCTCGCGCATCAACATCGCTCCACTCAAGCCCTTGTATTCCATCTCCGTGTCCTCCCTCTGTCCCTCTGTCCCTACGCCCTGCTCCAACACGCCGTCCCCACAGCAAAAACGACGGCGTGAAGTCCCACAAACCCTAAACCCGAAACCCCGTCTCTCAGATACCCCGGCAGGGTGTACTGGGGAGCCAGCCTTGTACCACTCTAGTGAGAGGCCTCTTCCGCCCCTCCTCCCGTTTCCCCATTCCCCGCAACCCCTCCATCCATCCCCCACAGCAACGACGGGGTAAAGTCGCACAACGACACGGCCCCGCCGTTGAGATACCCTGGCAGGGTCTACTAGGGAGCCACCCCTCGCATCACGGTGGACCGCTACGGCGTGCCCTCACCACACGCCCCTGCTATTCCACTTTCCCCCCCTCCATCCCTGCTGCGCCCCTGCTCCCCCCCCCCCCCCCCCCCCCCCCACCCCACAGCAACGACGGGGTCAAGTCGCACAACGACACGGCTCCCCCGCTGAGATACCCCGGCAGGGTCTACTGGGGAGCGACCCCTCGCATCACGGTGGACCGCTACGGGGTGTACCTCACCACCCGGCAGTATGCCATGCAGGGGAAGCTGGGACGCTTCGTCGGCAGCAACATATAGTGAGTTGAGGATGCTGATTTAAATCAATGTGAATGGAGGGGAGGGGGAGGGAATGGAGTGTAGGGAGACAAGAGAAAAAGTATTCACAATTTGCAGCAAATTCAACAATCCCTCTTGGCCCAATCCGTCTTTCCCTGCTCACCCAGCCAAAACCTTAATCCCCTCCCACCAAAATTGCGCTCTCAACCTTCTCTCCCTTCCCCCCCCTCCCCCCACCTCCGCTCTTCCCCACCCCTCCTCCCCCGGCCCCCACCCCTCCTCCCCCTCCCAGTGCGATCCACAAGCCCAAGCTCTACGTCCGCTCCTCCAAGCGAGTGGTGCGCTTCGCCATCCCCATGATCAACTACAACAGCTTCCCTGTCTTCGGCCTCGAGCCGCAGTCCCCCCGCGTGCCGCGCCTCTCCCGCTTCAAAGGCCAAGTCACAGTCTTCTTCGGCTGCATCGACATCTCCTTCACCTCCCCCCTCCCCCACACCTCCCTCGCACTCTGGTCCCTCTCCGATACCTCCTCTCTCATGCTCCCACACCCGACTCTCCGGCTCCGCTACTCTATCATCGACACTCCCGCGTATTACGATTCTGACTATGCCAAGCAGAAGGCCGGCCCGCCACCGTATGATACCCCCCAGGATGTGGTTCCTCCGACGTCCACGTCTGTAGCGTGGTTCAAGGGGCATGTGTGGATGGCGTTTCCGTCCGGCTACAGCCTGGATCCTACGTCGGTGCCGTCTGTAGCGCTGGTAAAGCTGCAGCCGTTCCTGCGGGGGAAGAGGACGTTTCCAACCCTGGTGAAGAAGTTTGGGATTTATGGAGTGCCAGGGCAGAGCCTGCTGAGCCCTGTGATTGGCTTCAACAGGTTAGTGAGGGATTGCAAGCACTCCTTGTCTTCTCATGCACATGTGGTTTCAAGCTCTTTTCTGGTTAGCAAAGTGTTCGTTACCCTTCTCCTTGAAACAGCAGCAGAGGACGCACATGTCTTGTGTCTTGGTTTGTGATATGGTTTGTGTTCCTTTTGCCCTCCCCTCTCGGGAGTCTCCCCTCTCTCGAAACATGAGCTTGCCTTCCCTCACCTTCTTTCCGCCTGCTTCCCTACAATGCCCTCTTTGTCTTTACGCCACCCCCAGCAAGGGCAGGGGCATTCTTGCAGCGACGCTGATTGGCTCTGAGTACTTCCCTACAGCCGCTTATGTCCGCATAAATCAAAAAGGAGTTATTGGTAATAGTATATTCGCCGTTGGGCCCGGCCAAGCCCCACTTGAGGTTTTGTCTGGGAAGTATGCTGCTTTTGGCGAGACTCAATCGATTAGTGTAGATCCACAGGGCAGTGCTTGGGCCACAGTGCAATATGTTTCGGGTAAGGAGCGCACTAACGAGGCTAACTGGGCTACTTTTATGTTCAAGGTGGGGAAGTAAGCAAATGTGACGCCATTCATGCATTATGTAGGCCAGACATGATCGTGGGTTGCCTGAGTAGCAGCTTACAGCTTTCACCAGAAGGGAGTGAGCATCTGCTTGTTGTAATGAGTGCAGTAATGTGAAATATATTTGTTGGATATTTGCTTGTCATACAAACGCAGAGAGTTGCTGTTGACGCGTGTACTTTTGCTTTTGGGTGTTTCCATTCAGCAATTGACCCCAAACGAACATTTCTCAGGCCGGCTTTGGGGTATCCGTTGCTCGTCAGAAAAAACGAGAAAGGCGGCGGCGCGTCTCACCTTGGGCCAAATAGGCGCGGGAACTGGAGAAAAATTCAATGTCGTGCAAGAGCGACTCGAAATGCCAGTTCGCATCAAACCAATTGGCGGTGCGCCTCGATGTTGCAGTTTCACCTGCCCGAGCCCCAACCTCAACCTGCAGTTTCGCGCAGTTTCGCCGGCCAATCCATACGCTCGACGACCTCCACCAACTCGAGAAATGCGGAATTCCTCTCTCTCCAGCTCGCATCGCCGGGCTTGAAACATTTCAGCACTTGGCCCTGCGATGGCGACCCCGTCGCATGTCCTTTCCCGTTTACCACACTCTTCCTGGCCCATGCGACACTTTCTCGTCCGCAGCAGCACCCCTCAGCTCGCTTTCGCTGCTGTCTCAGACAAGCAGTACCTTCGCACAAGCATCGCACAAAATAGTTTCTGGTTCCCATGACGTCAAAATTCCCTCGGGAGTCTCCCAGTCGCTTTGCTCCCCTGCCCTGCCCTTTCCCTCTCCTGTCCATCCCCTCCGTTTCTTCCCCAACCTGCTGACCTCACAGCACACACTCCCCTCCTCCCTCTCTCGCTACTCACCTCCTGTCCATCAACCCCCCCATTCTCACCCTCAACCCTTCCTTTCTCAATCGCCACGGCTCGTTCAGGAATCGCGATCCTTTTTCCCTCGATTTTGTCATGGAAGCTGGTCAACAGGCTGCTGAGGGGGATTATCCAGGGCACATAGCCAGCACACGCCCGGAGCACATTTCAGGGAATCCATAGCGCAATACCACGACCCACCACGAGATGGTTCTGTAAAGCCATCCTCGCATCTCCGTTTATCTCGAAACTGGCGTTAACTGGCGTTCAGCATTAGTAACCCCCAGCGTTGGGATTAACGTAGTCATGTAGTTAGTGTGAGGCTGAGCTGTACGGCACAAGATTCTACTCCTAGTGCAGCAATTACGAATCAATGGAGACAATTAAAACTTCCCTATACCTGTCCTTCCGAGACGCGAATGCTACTCGGTAGTACAGAATCTAATTCCACCTGACTCAGCCAATCCTTCCTCTTCACCTCCCCCCATTCCCCCTAGGAATCTCAGCCGCCTAAGAGTGCTGGCATAGGAAACACCAACGCATTCTGACCGCTGATATTTTTTTCTGACCGTTAAATAGCCGTACAGCGGGCTAGTAGCCATGGCGAGGGTGGATCCCCTTCCTCCAGACGAGGACGTCAAACCGCGGCGGATGCCCAGTCCGCTTCTCCGCCGTAGAAAGGCCGGTTCCTCACCTCAACGAAAGTCGTCATCCCCATCACCGTTACCGATACCGTCAGCGTCAACCCCTTCTGATGGCACCAAACCTTTCCTCCGCCGCTCCCATTCGTTTTCGCAGTCTGAAGCACCTCCGAGAACCGCACCCGTTTCTGACGCTCCCCCAGCCATGCTCGGTTCTCCCGGCAGGAGATCAGTGGAAAGTATATTCATGCTGTCGGCTGGTCGCCTTCGGTCGTCAAGAAACCGTCAGGAAAAGTCGAATCCTCATCCGATTCTGTCGGCTAGCCGGTCAGCGTCGACTGCGTTCACCGCTGCGACAGCCTCCACCAGCTCTATCACCGGCGCCGTTGACTTTTCTGCCTACCGGCCGGTAACTCGGACGGCTGACCGGCAACATGAGAGCATCTCTGTGACCGCGAGCACTCCGGAATTAGGAATGTCGCATTTTCGCTTAGGGAATCCGTTTCGCCGGCGAAGCAAGGAAAATCCCTCCACCATGCCCATCAACGAAGCAAGTTTACAAGTATGCAGCGAGGATGTTACCACCACAGTTCCGGTTGACGTTTCGACTGCTGCTGGTAACCCTACGAATCGCAGAGGTAACAGTCCCCATCGCAGTAGGTCGCGAATGTCGTCCCCTTATGATCCGAGAAAGAGAGACAGCGGGGCAGAGGAGCAGACAATGGAGAGGCGAGGAGCGCCGGAGGCGGCAGCGATTGCGGAGGATCGAGGAGCATCCGCTAGATGCTCGATCGACGGCGGGGAAGTGACAAAGCAGACCAGCGGTGTAAATCAGCCTGCATCGCGCACTAGCAGCGGAAGGTCGGAAAACCGCGCGGAAATCCTTCCCCGCAGCGGAAGCGGAAGCTTGCGCGGGGAGACGGGGCTCGTGCGGAGCGCAAGCAAGGGCGAGGACGTGGCGGCGCACGGAAACGCGCTTGCGCTGGTCCCCGTGGGCGGAGGGTGGGGGGAGATGCTGAACCAGGCGCGGGGCGGAGCGGGGGGGCTGATGGTTCCCGCGGCAATGGCGCAAGAGAGCTCTGACGTGGTGATGGGGATACTGTGGAAGTGGGTCAATCTGGGGCGCGGCTGGGGCATGCGTCTGTTTATCCTGGAAGGGGTAAGCTCGTTCGCTCGCTCGTGTTCCGTTTGATCCCTTGCTTCTGTTTTCTCCTTGATTTTGCGTCACTTCCGGTCTCCCCACCCTCAACCATCTCCGCACACCCCTACCCTTCTTCCGGCCCCCTTTACCCCCCTCATACTCTCCCCCCTCCTCCTCCCCTCTCCCCCTCTTCCCCTTTCTCCAGGGCGCTCTGTCCTTCTTCAAATTGGACGGTCCAGATAAGGCCATCGTGCTTCACGAGCTGCAGCGGCGGCCGGGCGCGCGACTGATCGGCGACGAGATTCGTCGCTACGTGCGAATCGAGCGCGAGAACGGCGTGCTGGCGACGTCGCTGGGCGTGCTGGGCGACAGAACGCCGCACGGGCAGATCGAGCTCCACGTGTCAACCATCCGCGCGAGCACGACGGACAACCGAAAGTTTTACGTGTTCGGGCACAGAACGCTGGGTCTTAGAACGGAATCCAAAGCGGGGCGGTCGCTTTGGATGGAAGCCATAGAAAACGCGCGCGTGAACCTAATTAAGAGGCTCCACGCGGCGCCGAATAAGGTGGACGTGTCGTCGCACGTGTGCTTCGACGCGGTTAGGACGTACATGCAGCGGAACGGGGTGGAAGAGGAGATTATAAGCGGCGTTGAGGAGCTAGTTCGGAGGAAGGTGGTGGTGCGGCTCGAGACTAAGTTAAGGGAGGAGCAGAGGAAGCGGTTACAGCTGCTGACGCTGCTGCGGCAACTCGAGGTGCGTGGCAGGGACGGGGGAGGGGGAATGGGTGCGCGGGGGAGAATGGGAAGTGTTGCAAGCGGTTTGTGCATCATCCCATTTGCTACGTGATGACTTGTGCTAAGTGTCAATGTTGGGTGTGACAATGGCTGATGTGACAATGGCGGAATGTGGTGATTGCAGGCGGAGAAGGTGGAGCTGGAAACGGCAGTGGTGGACGAGAAGAGGCAGCAGGGCCAACCCAGCAGCAGCGCCATGCTACGTGAGTGCACGGGAATGTGTGAGACAGCAGTGCAGTGAGTGAACGGCATTGTAAATTCCATTGTCTTCTCGTGTGCAAATCCAATGCTCACGTGTGCAAATTCTTCTCCTTCCCTCCTCCATTCTCCCCTCCCGCCCTCGTAACAGTCCAGCCGCTCTAACCCAATTCTCTCCTCTCTCCTCCTCATTCCCCCTCTCAATCTCCACCCACACCATTCCCCCTCACATTCCTCCCTCACCCCCTCTTCCCGCAACCTCCTTCCCCCAGTGGGCGAGGAGGACGACGATGCAGACAGCACGTTTAACGACGACGATGGGGACGACGAGTCGTGTGCTCTGATTTACTGGCAATAACACCTCTCCGTTGTGCCCTCCCCATATCCCTACAGTGGGCGAGGAGGACGACGATGCAGACAGCACGTTCAACGACGACGATGGGGACGACGAGGGGGATGACGACCCGGGCGCGCTGGCCGTTGGCGGGGGCGGCAGGGCGCGGAAGCAGCCGCGGCTGACGTCGACGGTGCGGGATACGGACGAGGACGAGGGGGACACGGACAGCGACTGTAACGACGAGTTTTACGAGGCGATGACGGAGTTCGCCGGACAGGGCATGGTGAAACGCGTGCTGGATATCGAGGAGGTGAGATGCCGGGAGGGGAAAGGGGGGAGATGAGGGGGACGAGGTGAATCGGGAGACGAGAGAGACGAGGGGGACACGGACAGCGCTTGTAACGATGAGTTCTACAAGGTGATGGCCGAGTTCTACAAGGTGATGGCCGAGTTTTACAAGGTGATGGCCGAGTTCGCGGGGCAGGGCATGGTGAAACGCGTGCTGGATATCGAGGAGGTGAGCTGCTGCCAGGGCGGATGGGGGAGGGATGTGGGGGACACGGATATTTACTGTAGCGATGAGTTCTACCAGGCGAGGCGATGACCGAGTTCGCGGGGCAGGGCATGGTGAAACGCGTGCTGGATATCGAGGAGGTGAGCTGTTTGGGAGGGGAAAAGGGGACGAGGGGGAGGTGGAGGTGTTGGGGAAAAGGGGGGATGGGCAAGGGCATGGGCAGGCAGGGCATGGTGAGACGCGTGCTGGATATCGAGGAGGTGAGCTCTGCTAGGGGCGAGCCTGTGGTCCGTGCTCAAGGAGTGCATGGGCAAGGACAGTTCAAGGTCTCGCTGCCCCTCCACTCCCACCCACCACACCCGGCCCCTCATGCCCCTCCCTCCCTCCCTGCCTGCCTGCGTGCCTGCCTCCTGCCCGTCCTCCCTCTTCAGGTGGGGTTCAGCTACCCGCACGTGCCGCGGAGAATGAAGCTCCCCGATCCAGAGGAGGAGGAGAAGCCTCTGAGCCTGTGGTCCGTGCTCAAGGAGTGCATGGGCAAGGACATGTTCAAGGTCTCGCTGCCCGTCCCCTCCCACCTACAGCGCGGCCCCTCATGCCCCTCCCTCCCTCCGTTCCTTCCTGCCTTGCTCTCTCCCCCTTTCACATCCCCCCCGCGCGGCGCCCCCCCCTCCCCCACCAGGTGGGGTTCAGCTACCCGCACGTGCCGCGGAGATTGAAGCTGCCCGACCCGGAGGAGGAGGAGAAGCCTTTGAGCCTGTGGTCCGTGCTCAAGGAGTGCATGGGCAAGGACATGTTCAAGGTCTCGCTGCCCGTTAGCTTCAACGAGCCGCTCAGCTCGAGCCAGAAGTACCTCGAGATGCTCGAATACTCGTGGCTGCTGGATAGAGCTGCGGAGTACGGCCGGAGGGTGAGTGGCTGTTGGAAGAGGAGAAAGGTAATGTTACTGGTAACCAGGTTAGCTTCAACGAGCCTCTCAGCTCGAGCCAGAAGTACCTCGAGATGCTTGAATACTCGTGGCTGCTCGACCGGGCGGCGGAGTATGGCCGGAGGGTGAGTTCTAATTAGGCTGGTTGGTTTTGGTTGGGTTGGGTTGGTTGGGTTGGGTTGATTTGGGACTTGGAACAAAAAAATACCTGGAAATGCTGGAGTACTCATGGCTTCTGGACCGGTGTAGAGTATGGCCGGAGGATGAGTCATGGTTCTGTTTGGTTGGGTTGGGTTTGGCTGGGCTGGTTGGTGGGTTATGTTGGGTTGGTTCGGTTGCGTTGGGTTGAGTTGAAACTTGGAACGAGTACCATGATATGCTTGAGTACTCGAGTCTGCAGGACATGACATGTCCATTTCCATGACATGTCTGCAGGACAAGACATGTCCATTTCCATGACATGTCTGCAGGACTATTCAAACATTTCCATCTCCCTGCTCTCTCCCCTCCCCCTCCCAAGCATGATAACTGGTTGATGCAAGCAGCACACGTGGTGCAGATTCAGTTATAAAAGGCCCATGCAGAAATAAAAAACCACTTCGAACTTTCCACCATCTCCTCTCTCCTCCCTCTTCCCTCTTCCCTCCTCCCTCCTCCCTCCTCCCTCTCCCCCACAAGCAGGGCAACCGGTTGATGCGAGCAGCACATGTGGCGGCGTTTGCAGTCTCACGATACTCAGGCAACGATGGGCGCATGCACAAGCCCTTCAACCCTTTCTTTTCTCCCGTCGCCGCTCTCCCTCCCTCACAAGCAGGGCAACCGGTTGATGAGAGCAGCACACGTGGCAGCATTCGCAGTGTCACGATATTCAGGCAACGATGGGCGCATGCACAAGCCCTTCAACCCGCTGCTGGGGGAGACCACCGAAGGGGACTATCCCGACAAAGGCATCCGTTACATCTCCGAGTCGGTGAGTTACATATTGGAGTCACTGAGTTACATGTCCTCCTTAGCGAGTTTCATCTCCGACTTGGTGAGTAGGTACCCGGGATGTGAGTCGGACATAAGTTGTATTCAGGCAACGATGGGCGCATGCACAAGCCCTTCAACCCGCTGCTGGGGGAGACCACCGAAGGGGACTATCCCGACAAGGGCATTCGTTACATCTCCGAGTCGGTGCGTTACATCTCTGAGTGGTGCGTTGCGTTTTTGGAGTTTTTCATAAGCCCAACCACGTCATTCCAGGGTATGCGTTACCATGAAAATTCTCTTGCGTTTCCCTCTTCTCTCCCTCCCCTCTTCTTCTCACCTTCTCCAACCACCCCCCTCCCGCTCCTCCCCCTCCTCCCCTTTCCCTCATCTCACTCCCGCTTGGCCTCGCCTCCCCTGTCCGCAGGTGGTGCACTATCCGCCAATGATAGCCTGGCACGTGGACGGCACAGGGTGGAAGTTCTGGGGCGACGTGTGCCCCAAGATTCGATTCTGGGGGCCGTCCATCCAGCTGGACCCTGTGGGCGTGCTGACTGTGCAGTTTGACGATGGAGAGACGTACGCGTGGAGCAATGTGAGTAACACGAGTGTAGTGATTTGATTTATATGAGTGTATTGATAAATGATTAAGGTTAACGTGAGTCTGGGCTTTGATTCTGAGGGCCGTCAATCCAGCTGGACCCTGTGGGCGTGCTGACTGTGCAGTTTGACGACGCACGAGAAGGCGCACGAGTGGAGCGATGTGAGTTCTAAAAGTGTTTCTGGTTATGTTATTATTTAATATCTATTTAATATCTGCGGCCTGACCGTCTGGACTCCCCTCTCCACCCCCCGCTCCCCCCACCCCCCATCATCAGGTGACGGTGCTGATTCAGAACCTCATTCTGGGGAAGCCCTTCGTGGAGCACTACGGCACCATGCGCATCAAGGGCAACCGCGGCTACTCTGCCCGCCTGCGCTTCAAAGAGCGCTCCACCTTCGACAGGAACCCCCACCAGGTACGGTGAACAACCCGCATTAGGTGCAGTGAGCGACCCGAGCCAGGTACAAAAAACAACCTGCAGTTGGCATGATGAACAACCCACACTCGCTGCAGCTGCATAGGTGCACCAGCTAACACGCATATGGGAACCCGCGTGAGCAAGAAGCAAGAAACCGATATCAGGCCTTGAATCACGGGCGGGCATCGGGTAGCTTTCGTCGTTCTTTGGCGCCATTAAGTTGTGAGGCGCCTTGAATGGCTAGGTTGTGAAACCACAAGTGTATCCTCCCCTTGATTCCTCCTTTTACTTACTTTCCCTTGTTCAACCCTACCTGTCCTTCCGTACGTCCCTCCCAGGTGCGGGGGCTGGTGCAGAACGAGGCAGGGGACGAGCAGGGGACGCTGATGGGGCGGTGGGACCAGCACATGCACTACGTGCCGGGGGACCTGACGAGCAAGACAGCCAAGGAGGAGAGCGAGGTGCTGGCCACGGCGCAGCTCATCTGGAAGAAGAACCCCGTGCCGCCCAACACCAAGTACAAGTTCACGCCCTTTACAATCACGCTCAACGAGCTCCCTCCCTCGCTCAAGGTCAGTGGGTTGGTGGCGGGTGTCTGTGGCTGGCTGTGCAAATAGGCTTCTGTGGGTTGGGTCGGCGGGTGTGTGTATGGCCCTGTGGGATGATGTTTTAGGTGCCTAACATGAACTCCTCCGCAGGGATGTCTGCGTCCCACAGTCAACGATTTCTGAGGCGCCTCAAGAACCATCTCCCCACTTTCCCATTTTCTCCCTTCTCCCCCTCTCATCCACTCCCCCCGCCCATCCTCCCCACCTAATCTTCCCCCCTTCCTCCCCCCCTCACAGGAGTGTCTGCCCCCCACGGACTCGCGGCTGAGGGAGGACCAGAGGGCACTGGAGGAGGGGCGGTACGACTTTGCCAACCAGGAGAAGTGCCGTCTGGAGCAGCGCCAGCGCAAGGTGAGGCTTGTGCTTAGAAATACACGGCTCTGTTACACCAAGACCACCATTGGGCACTTGAGGAGAGGCGGTATGACTTAGCCAACCAGGAGACGTGCCGCTTAGAGCAGCGCCAGTGCAAGGTGAGGCTCGTGCACAGAACTACACTGCTCTTGTTGCACCATAGCAGTATGTAGTTTCACTCACCAAGCTCTAAACTGGAAATGCCCTTGTGCCTTTCTTTCATCTGCTTACCTCTTTCACTGTCTTTCACAAGGGTAGATGCTGAGAGTGAAACACACCCGTATTGTCAGTGTTTCTTTAATTATTTGACCTGTGCCCCCCTCACGACCCCCTTGAATCAGGCGCTCAAAGACGGGGAACCAGGGTGGGGCCCACGGTGGTTCAAGCCCTCAGGGCCTAACAACACATGGCGGTACACTGGGGGTTACTGGGAGCGGCGGGAGAAGCGGGACTGGTCCGGTGTGCTGGACATGTTTGCGCCGGAGGAGACCGATGGCGATGCTAACAAGGCGTAGGTTTAAACAGTCGTTTGCCACAGTTTGAGGAGGGTCCTCGCACGAATAGAAATGGCGCATGAATAAAGGTGCTCCATGACGTAAATTAGTTTTTGAGTTAGGTTTGTCGAACCATGAAATCGTGGGTAGTTAACTTGACTTCCGAGTGGGAAGGGAATATATTTTAGGCACGATGTGTGCCTTGTGTAGCTTACGTAGTTGATGCTTCATTTTCAAATTGCAAATGTTGCATAATATTCCTTCTGATTATAAATATCAAAGCATTTCTTCACGTCACTGTAAAGTCGTAACGAATGACCAGAACCGAACAGCGTTGTCTCCAGAAGCATTTCTCCGAACAGCGTCTCTGACAAGTCAGAAACGTGGCGGTGCGTGCGGTGCGGCCTCTCGACTCTCGAGGTCAGCTCATGGCATCACATCACCCGCACGGCACTGGCGTGAGCAGGAATCCCAGAAACCTGGCAGTGACTGGTCCCAAATTCCGCGCCATCATCCCAGTGGGTGAAGCGAACCAGACGACCTTCCGTCTAGTCACACATCTCGGGACGGGACGGGAATCGAGGAATCACCGTATTGGTGCATAGCTTTTGCCAGCAGTTCCTGCGAAAATCTGACTCATCACTTCCTCTCATCCAATCCCCAGGCAAGAGGAAACCTGATGACCCTGGTTTTAACCAGCATACCCTCAGGTGCAGATCGGTTTGCTGCGTTTTAATCGGCGGTGGTTTCACAACGGTAACGGTAATGTCGCAGTTCTCATGCCAGGAGGGAAGCGAAGAGAGGACCCACCCCACCGCATAAGATAGCACATAAACCAGCTTAAAACAGCACCACCGTTGCAGCATAACTCGGCCAATTCCAGTGAAGCAGTGCAAAACAAGATCCCAGGAGGTGTTGCAGTACCTATGGAGCTGGTGTGAAAGGTTTCTTCTTGCTTGCTGCAGTAGCAGCAGTGCAGATATAGGTGCCACGACAGTAGCGATATTGTCGGTCGTGTGTGAGATTTTCGTTTCAGATCACCTTGTCCTCATGGCACTGTTTGTTTCGTCGAATTCTTGTGCCGGGACTGACGCTTGGTAGTCATAGCATCGTAGCGTACGGGCGCGACGGTTTCTGATAGAATCGCACTTACGTTCTCGGAAACCTCTCCTGTGCTTGTCCTCCTGCTTATGACGTGCTATTTGCAGACTTAGTAGTTATCGTCCTGTGTGCGTTCAAGTTTGCGTGTCTGTTTGATTAATCGTCTCCTCTGTTTTGAAAAACCTAATTATTCAATTCACGTGACAATGTCGTCGGATCCGGACGAGCCAAGCAACAAGTCTGTAAAGGAGCTCAGCAGCATCTTCGGTAAACGAGTCACGGCTAATAAAGGAGCTCCCGCTGCTTACGTGGCAAAACTCCACGCAGCCAATGCTAGCGCTGGCTCCTCCGGCGACCTTCCGAAAATCACGCGTCGGTCCTCTGGACCGGTTGTTAGCACGGAAGGTTTAATCCGCCATCCGTCAGGCGGGTTTGCTAGTCCGCAGTCTTACGACGGAAATGCGTCAGAACCCAAAGACTTTAAGGACGATATCAAGGGAGACTTGAAGCAGGAAGCCAAAGGGCCGGCACCTGGCCGCTTAGGGCTCAGGCCGGTTGGGTCTGGCGCAGCTAAAGGCCCGCGACCATCGTCAGGCGATAGCTCGAAAGGTTCATCCTCGTCGTCGTCCTCCTCCTCGTCCTTCTTGCCTCAGGTTAAGCTACGTCACACGACGGCCGGATCATCTGCTGGAAACAAGGATCCAGTGGCAGCGAGAAAAGACGCGTCCGCTGGGGTGAAGGATTCTCCGCCTGTGGGAGCTTCCGCTGGTTCTGTCAGGGACGGTTCGAAGAAATCGCCACGGGATTCCCGAACCAAGGCGAAAAGCCGCGCAGGTGCCGAGCCTGAGCCGCTAGGCTTGTCTTCCCCAGGCTCGTCCGCCAAGCCTGCTGCTGCGAAGGCGTCGCCAACGCAACGGTCGTTTTCGCCCGGCGGGAACTACACGCGAGATGAAATCCGTAAGGTACTGCCGGCCTGGATCATGCATGTAAGCACGAAGAGAATGCACCATTCTGTGAGTTTGTGCTTCCGATATGTGTGGCATTAACCTGGAAAATCAATCACGCGGAACGGAATTTCACCTTTCTTTCTCGACCGCAACCCCACCCTCCTTCTCCTCCTCCTTTCAGATGGAAACGATGCTTCACAAGTCCGAGGAGGACCTGCAGCTGAGTAACTTCCAGCTGGCTCTTCCACACATCCACCCACTGCTCCTCTCCCCCAAACCACCCCACCTTCTTTCCAGATGGAAACGATGCTGCACAAGTTCGAGGAGGACCTGGAGTTGAGTAACTTCGAGCTGGCGGCGCTGAAGGCGCGGCACATGGAGAAGGTCAGCCGGCTGAAGGTGGTGGAGGAGGAGATCGTCATCAGCGAGCAGCGCAACAAGAGCCTGCAGGTGCTCCGGGTGCTAGGCTCGGATTCGGCTCGGATTAGGTTCGGATTAGGCTCGGATCAGGCTCGGGTCAGGCTTGGAATAAGGGTGGGTGAGGGGTGATGAAGGCGCGGCACATGGAGAAGGTCAGCCGGCTCAAGGTGGTGGAGGAGGAGATCGTCATCAGCGAGCAGCGCAACAAGAGCCTGCAGGTGCGCGGGGTGTTAGGCTCGGATCAGGCTCGGAGGAGGTTGGTTTAGGGTTCGGGGTGATAAAGGCTGGTCGAGGGTTTGGAACAGAAGAACAAAATGGCTTGCTGAGGTGCGTAAGACTTTATATGTGGTGGTGGACGGGAGGTTTTACTGATGTGAGGAGATTGCATGGGGCTGCGTGTGGAGGCACGGCTGAGGTGCGTCTTGAGGCACCCCAATAGGAGACTGGGAACGAGGGCGAGTGAGGTGGTGCTTCTGAGACGCCTCAGGAGGAGCACGCAGTGCACTGGGGGATGTGCCAGTGCGAGCAATCAAGTCTGACAACACAGCGTCATCAGCCCCTTTTGCTCCTCAACCAACCCCTACCGCACTTCCCTTTCCCTTTCGCCCTCCCCCCTTCCCCACTCCCTTCCCCTCCACCCCTTTCCCTCTGCTACTTTCTTTCTTGTCCTTCTCTTTCGTATTTTGTTTCTTTCGTTTTGATATGATTTTCTCGCCCACCCCTGTCAGCTTGCACTGGCCGCTATGGAGAAAGAAATGGCCTCCTTTGAGTCTGGCCCCTCTCCCCCCTCCTTCCGCCCCACGCCTCTCTTTCTTCTATTCTATCCCTGTCAGCTTGCACTCGCTGCAATGGAGAAGGAAATGGCTTCCTTCGAGTCTGCCAAAGCCAAGATGAGGAAAAAGATGGAGGAGGAACAGGCGGCTAAGACCGAAGAAGCAATCCGGGCAGCTTTGAAAGATATTGAGGACGGGCAGGTGGCTCCGCTGAAGGCTGAGGTCGAGTCTCTCAGGGCAGCCACGGAAGTTTTGACGGCTGAGCTGGGAGCTGCTCGGGCTGCCCTGGCGGCGAAAGAGGCGGAGCTGTTAGTTGCTGATTCGGAGAATGAGAAGGTTTGCGGGCAGCTGAGTGAGGAAGAGGCGAATCACAAGGTGACACGTGGCGAGCTGGAGGAAGCGAAGGAAGAGGTGGAAAGGGCTCGGAAGGAGGCTGCAGAGGCGGAGAAGGTAATGGATGAACTTAAAGCGAAACACGAGGAGGCTTGTAGCGAGTTGGAGGGGCTACATGGGAAGCATAAAGGGACGTGTGAGGAGCTAGAAAAGCTTAAAGAGGAGATAGAGTCTCTTAAGGGGGAGAACAAAGAGGTAACAGAGGAGTTGGGAACGGTTAAGGGGGAGTGGGAGGCCAGGGGGAAGGAATTAGAGGTACTGGCGAAAGAGAAGGGGGAAATGGAAGAGGAGATGGAGGGTATGAGAGGCAAGTGCGCGGAGCAAGGGCGGGAGCTGGAGCAACTGCAGCAGCTGCATGATAAAACGAATAACGAGTTGCATGATATGGAGGACGGAAACGAGAAACTGCAGAGGGAAGTGGAGGAGTTGAAGGGTGAATTGGAAGGGTTGAGAGGAGAGAAAGGGGAGGCGGATGAGGAGATAGGGAAGTTGAAGGCGAGGGTTGAGGAGGCGGAGGTGGAGTTGGGGCAGTTGAAAGAGAGGGGAGAGGAGAGGGAGAGAGAGATGGTGGTGTTGGAAGGGAGGAATGAGGAGGCGAGGAGGGAGGCGGAGGAGTGGAAGGGGAAGCATGAGGAGCTGGGGCAGGAGTTGGAGGAGGTGAGAAGGGAGAAAGAGGAGGAGTTGCGGGCTAAGGAGGAGGAGATACGGGAGAAGGAGGAAGTAATAAAGGCGAAGGAAGCAGCTGTTAGAGAAGCGTTGAAGGAAGGGGAGGATTTGAGGGAGAAGGTGGCAGAGAGAGACGGGCAGGTGGGGGAATTGCAGCAAAAAGGGGAAGAGCTACAGCAGAGGGCGGGGGAATTGCAGCAAAGGGTGGACGAGCAGGGGAAGGAGATTGAAGGTTTGAAGGGAGCGGTGGAGGAGGAGAGGAAAGGGAAGGGGGAGGTAGAGGCGGCTTTGGTGGCTGCTAATGGGGAGGTGGGGGAACTGAGGGAGAGGATTGAGGGGTTGGAGAGGGAGGTGGAAGAGGAGAGGACGGGGAAGAGTGTGGCTGAAGCGGCGCTTGTGGTTGCTACTGGGGAGGTGGGTGTTCTGGGGGAAACGGTGAGGGGTCTGGAGGAGAAGGTGAGGGGTTTAGAGGAGGAGGTGGAGAAGGAGAGAGGGGGGAGGGAGGAGAGTGGGAAGGAGCTTGAGAGTTTGAGAAAGGAGAAGGATGAATTGGTGAAGGAGAGAGATGAGGTGAGGAGGGAGTTAGAAGAGGTGAGAGGGGAGAGGGAGGAGTTGCATGAGAGGATAGAGGAGATGGAAGGGAGGATGGAGGAGATGGGGATGGGGAGGGAGGCAGCGGAATTAGAAAAGGCGGAAACAGAGAGATTGCAGAAAGAGGAGATTGCGGCAAGGGAGGCGGTTGAGAGTCAATTGGCAGCAGCACAGGGAGAGTTGGAACAGAAGATAAAGGAGGTAGAGGAGGTGACTAGAGCGAAGGGTTTGTTGGAAGAGGAGGTGAAGCAGGTGAAGGGGGAGTTGGAGGGAAGGGAGGAGGAATTGGGGGAGCTGAAGGGGAAGCATGAGGTGCTGACGTCAGAGCACCAAGCGCTGATGTCAGAGCACGAGGAGCTGAAGTCAGCAAACGAAAAGCTGACGTCAGAATGTGCTGCGCTGGCGGCAGCACAGGCAGCGCTGGCGGTTAAGCTTGAGGAGGTGACTATAACGAAGGAAGGGTTGATGAGTGAGCTTGAGGAGGAGAAGGAGGGGCGGGCGGCTGTAGCTGCTGAGCTGGCGGATTCGAGTGCTGAGCTGGAAGCGCTGACTGCCACGCATGATTCGCTTAAGAAAGATCACGAGGCACTGAATGAGCGGTACAGTGCGATGAAGAACGATTTAGAGAGTAAGTCTGGGGAGGCAGGGGGGCTGGTGGAGGAAATAAACAGGGTGAGGGAGGAAAGGGATGAGGGGAAGAAGAGAGAGGAGGAGGGGAGAAAGAGAGAGGAGGAGGGGAGAAAGAGAGAGGAGGAGGGGAGAAAGAGAGAGGAGGAGGGAAAGAAAAGAGAAGAGGCGTTGACATCTGAACTCGAGCAGGCACATGGGACCGTTGAGGGGTTGAAAGGGGAGCTGGAAGGTTCCAAGAAGGAGAACGAAGTGCTCATAGGGAAGCTCGCTGCTGCGGTTGCCGGCCTTGCAGCTGCCGAAGCTGCAACAGAGGCTCGGGAAGCGGAGCTCGCAGAGGTTCGGAGCGATCTGGAAGGAGTGGCGAAGGAGAAAGGTGAGCGGGAGGAGGAAGTGGTGAAGGCGAAGGGGGAGATAGAGGCTTTGGAGAAGGAAAGAGAGGGATTGAAGGGAGAGACGGAGAGATTGACCCAGGAGAAAGAGGCTCTTATTGTCAGCCATGCTGCTGCTCTGGCTGTGCTGGTTGCTGCCAAGGAGGGTGTGGAAGAAGAGGTGAAGAGATGGCAGGAGAAGCAGGAGCATGCAGTAAAGGAGTTGGAGGGAGTGAGGGAGGAGGCGGAAGAGAGGAGGAGGGAGGCGGAAGAGAGGAGGAGGGAGGCGGAAGAGAGGAGGAGGGAGGCGGAGGGGAAGGAGAAGGAGATTCTGGCTCGGGCCGAAGCTGCGGAGCTGCGGGCGGGGGAGCTGGAGCAGGCTCGGGACGAGGCTGCGGCTGTGGTTGGGGAGACCCAGGCAGCTCTGGATGCTGCTAATGAAGAGATTGTGACTGTAAAGGGGGAGCTGGAGAAAAAGGAGGGGGAGAGGAAGGAGCTAGAGGAGGCTTTAGCGAGGGAAAGGGCTGAGAAAGAAAATCTGAGTGCAGAGAACGAGCGGCTTAAAGAGAAAGTGGAGACGCTTATAGAGGGGATGGATGGGACCAAGCATGGGCTGGCTGCTGAGGTGGACGCGCATGAAAAGACAAGAGAGGAGCTGCAAGAGACAAAAAATACTCTTGAGGAAGTGAGAGGAGAGCTAGAGGAAGTGAGGGGAGAGCTGGAGGGAGTGAGGAGGGAGTTGGAGGAGAGTGAGGAGGGGAGGAAGGAGGCTGAGGAGGATTTGGAAGGGGCTCTTGCAGCTGAGGCTGCGGCTAGGGCGGAAGCGGCTGCTGCATCGGCGGCAGCAGTGGCGACAGCAGCGGCTAAGGATGGAGAGCTAGGAGAAAAAGAGCGGGAGATGGGGCAGGTGAGGGAAGAGCTCGGGCAGGTGAAGGAAGAGCTTGGGCAGGTGAAGGGTGATGTGGAACGGTTGACTGGAGAGGTTCGGGAGAAAGAGGAGAGGATAGCGGGGCTTGAGGAAGAGTTGAAAGAGGCTCGGGCCAGTGCCGAGGCTAAAGAGGCTGCTGCGGCCGCGGCTGCTGCTGCTGCTGCGGCTGCGGCGGCTACTGCAGCTGCTGTGAGAGAATCCGCTAAGATGTCTGAAGGAGAGGCTCAGAAGAAGGTTCAAGAGCTTCTGGAAAAGCTGGAGGGTTTGGAGAAGGAGAGGAGGGAGGGGGAAGAGAGGGAGAAGGGGTTGAGGGAGGAGTTGGAGGGGGCTAAGGAAGCAGAGGAGGAGGCGAGAGAGGCTGCGAGGATGGCAGCGAGTAGAGGGAGTGAGATGGTGGTGGGGATGGAAGGGGAGATGGAGGGGTTGAGAGGGAGGTTGAAGGAGAGAGAGGAGGAGGTGGAGAGGGGTAAGGAGGAGTTGGAGAAGGTGAGAGGGGAGTGGGCGGCTGATGTGGAGCGATTGGGGAGAGAGAGGGAGGAGGCTGTTGGGGAGGTTGAGAGGGAAAGGGAGGAGCTGCGGAGTAAGATGGAGCAGGAGAAGGGCGCTTTAGAGGAGCAGGTGAGGCAGCTTACAGAGAGGATGGGCGATTTGGAGGAAGGAAAGAGTGGAGCAGAGGCAGCTGGGATGAAACTGGGTGGGAGGATACAGGAGCTAGAGGAGGAAAGGGATCGGCTAGAAGAGGAGAGAAATAGGGTACAGGAGGAGAGGGATGAGATTGAGGATGAGAGAGGTAGGCTGGAACGGGAGAAGGAGGTTCTGGAGGAGGAGAGGCAGGCGATGGCAGTGCGGTTGGAGGGTCTGGAGATGGGTATGAGGGAGCTTGAGGGGACAGTGGCAGGGCTGGTTGGGGAGAGGGGGAGAATGGAAGAGGAATTGAGGATGGAGGGGGAGAGAGTGAAAGAGCTTGAGGAAGAATTGAGGAAGGAGAGGGAGAGGGTGAAGGAATTGGAGGAGGCTGCGGAGACCATGGTGACAGCAGCACTGGCATCATCTGCTGCAGTGGCAGCGGGAGGGGAGAAGCAAATGAGGCAGGCTTTGGCAGAGAAAGAAGCAGCTTTGGCAGAGAAGGCAGCAGCGGAAAGAGCGCAGAGAGCAGCAGAGGCAGCAGCAGCGGCAGCAGCAGCAGCGGTTGTGGCAGCAGAGGCAGCAGCATTGGAAGCAAGGAGCCGGGAGGAAGAGGCAAAGGGTAGAGAGGAAGAGGCCCGAGCGGCAGCAGAAAACGCGTTGTTGGAAGCTGGGAGAGAAAAGGAGGGTGGGGAATTGGCTCGGGCCGAAGCTGCAGAGGCTGCAGAGGCAGCCCGAGCCGAGGCTAGACTAGCTGCGGAAGCAGCTCTTGCCGAAGCTGCTGAGGCTCGGGAACGTGCGGGCAAAGCGGAGGGGGAGTTGGAAGCGGTGCAGAGGGAGATGGAGGGGTTGAGAGCTTCAGAAGCAGCAGCTAGGTCAGCAGCTGAAGAGGCCAAGACTGGGGGGTCGGTTCGTCTGGCGGCTAGTCTTTGGCGAGCTAGAGTGAACCAAGGAAGCTTGGAACGCAAATGGAAGGAGGGTGAGGAGAAACGGAGGGCCAAGGATGCTGCTGCTGCCGCTGCTGCGGCTGAGGCTGCGGCGGCGGCAGCAGTGGCAGCTGCTGCTGCAGAAGCGGAGAAGGACAGAGTGGTGGTGGAGAAGGGGAAGATGGAGGCTGAGATGTGTGCTAGGCTGGCTGCGGTTGAGGGAGAGTTGAAGACGGCGAAGGATGGGGAAGGGGAGCTTCGGCTGCAGGTTCGGGCGCTTCGCCGAACCTTGGATGCTCTGGAAGGCGAGGTTCGGAAGTGGAGGGAGGAGGCTCGGATCCGGAAGAAGCGGGTTGAAGAGGAAGCGGCGGATACTCTGAGGAAGTGGAGGGAGGCGTCTCTGGTTGGGAGGAGTCAAGAGGGGGAGATTGTTGCAGCTGCAGCAGCTGCTGCTGTTGCGGGTGCTGGTGGTGCTGGTGGTGCTGCTGGTGCAGCTGCCAGTGATGCTGGTCCGTCCGCAGCAAGGATGTTTCCTGGAAGGAGCTCGTCTTACAACACGGTCAGCAATCGTGCGAGTATGCCGTCCATTCCCACCTCTGGGCTTCTGTCAGAAGCACCAGGGGAAGACAGTGGGATTTTTGCCAAGAGTGCGGAGTTCCATCCGGGGCAGCTTCGTGCGATAAGGCATTTCATGAGTGCGGGCCAATCAGGGCCGTCCTCCGCGGTCGCAACACCAATCAACGGTCCTGCTTCAGCGGCCGGGACTCCGCCTCCCTCGCTCAGGGCGTCGATGGGGGTCCCTGCTCCGCTGCGCATGAAGAGACCAGAGGGAGAAGGGAAGGGTAGGCGTGGAACAGTGGGTAGCAAGACTGGGTGGAGGAAGTCTGTGATGGGGGGATTTTTAGGGAAGAAAGCGGTGAAGAGTGAGGCAAACACCCCACGTGGAACGGACGGTCCTCAGAGTGCCGTTTTTTAGAAGCCTGACCGTGTGTGGTTGGATAAGGAAATTTATGTTTTTCTTTTACAGATTGACATGTAACATAAGTTGCCATCCATCTCTTAAACATGTGCTCTATGCTCGAAACGGGTTGCACAGTCACGAATCATCTGCGTACACAAAGGCTGCAAGCGAATCGGAGGTGGGGGGCGAATCGTAGCAGCACTTCAAGTCGTGATCGCGCACGTCGCAGAGAGCGGGAAAGCCCGGCAACATCCATGCAGTAACCGCACGACACGTGGAAATGTAGTGTATATTTCTCCAGAAGTCCGTTCACCTCACCAACCGCAACACACTCCGGGCGCTCCGCAACCCCCCATCACCTCTCCTCCCCGTGACCCGCATGTATGCCTGCGTTCTCCGCACTTCTGCTGCGTGTGCCTGATGGTGGTTGCGCGGGTTTGACAGGATGCTGGGGCAGGCAGGGCGGGCGGAAAGATTCGTTGTGCGGGTTCGGGGGAATAACCAGGCCCGCAGTTCTCCCCCCATACTCCCCCCACTTCTCCGCCTTCACCAACCTTCCGCTCTCACGGTCCAACGACTACCTCTTCTGCATCTGAATCATGCACTTTCGTGTTTTCCTGTTTCTGCTCTGCTCTAGGAACCATTAGGATACAGTCTGGTGGAACGTTTTTTACCTACGGTATCTTCTCGTATCGACTGCGTGTAGTGATCTTATCTGCCGATGCTCATCGCGTTGGGTGGCAGAAGGTTGTAGTTTACGTCATTTCGGCTGGCTGCTGCGAAGTAGTGTAGTAGTGTTTCTCCGCTCTTTAGGGTTACGTACACCTTCCATTTCGCGTTGACTTTGAAGGCCCATCCAGGCCATGGCGGTACGTTTCATTTTAACTAATACATGTTCAACAACCATAAGTTACCATACCCTCCTGTTACCTGGAAAGCTGGTCCTTCCAAGTTCGCCAAAAGTCTGTCTTTCCTGTCATGTGGTGTTGCTGTCTTCATCATTATCCCCTTCTGTCTCCCTTTTTTTCACGATCTGAACCTTTCGTACTTCCACTTGTACCATCCGTGTATCTTCTCGACCCCAAGTTCTTCCCTTGAGAACCACCTCTCCATCGCGCGCTTCCGTCTCCGCATGATACCTTTGAAGTGACACACAAGTCTCCCCTTCGAGTCCACCTTTATCCCACCCCTCTCTCCACCACTCGTACCAATCCCTCGCGTATTTCCTCCTCCCTATCCTCCCATGTCCTCCCCAATATCCTTTCCTTCTCACATTTTCCGGTGCAGTCGGAGGGCGGGATGCCGCCAACAGGGGGAGGTGGCAAGAAGGGCGGAGGCGGGTTCACTGCACAATTTAGAGACGTCAGCTCGGGTGGAGGAGTACCGGCATTCCCGGAGCCCCACAAGACGAAGGTCAACAAAGATGCTCCTCCTGAGGTAAGCTTCAATCAACTAACATCCTGCCAAACTTATTTTCAAGCCTGTGCGGCTGCGAAAAGTTGCATATGTGGTACTCCAGTGACGCAATCCGGACTTAGATATCCAACTCCCATGAGTTGATACAAAGCGAAGTTATGAGTTTCGTCAAATTCAGCTCGTTCGACTTGCATACGTCAGCATACTCTGTTTCTTGAACTAGGTGGACTATGGTTCTTTTTTCTCCAGGTCATTCCACAGCCTCTCTGGTCGTTTCTGTTTCCTCTATTTGTTATTAGCGTTATCACGTCCTCTCTAGTTCTTTCCGTTCGTCTTTTGTTTCAGACATACTTCTGCCTAGACTGATTTGGTTTTCCCATCTCGTCTTCCCTTTTTGTTTTCTGTCAGCCCGAGTCAACCAAGTGTGGATGTGTCATACTCTAACCCCCAGTGAATGCACCGAACTCTGCAATCTCGACCTCCATCGTTTTCTCTGGATGAAAGGGGTAATGCTTGTGCTGGTTGGACAGCTAAGACTTTCGAGTGTCTGGGCGGATTGCTATTTTGTGCCCTCCCAAAGTCGGTGGCTGCACCATTCTTGGTCAGGAGCAGAAACTGCTTGGAGCAGCTTCATAACTGGCTGCATAATGGCATTGGGACGAGGTTTTTTATCGGCATGGTGCGTGGTGGGTTTCAGTTCGCAAGAATCACCTGTGGGGCGGGAATTGGGATGTCTTCATCACTGAGCTTGTGAAATAGGGGTGTTTGAAAGCTTGTTCTGCAGTGTAATTTCCAGTTGTTGTAGGGTTGTTAGGTCTGCAACAGTTCCAAGTGGCTGGTACTGGTGAACCAGAAAGTTGCTTTTTGTAGGTTTCTTGTTTATGTGTAGAAGAGTCAGATCTTATGAGACAATGCTGTGTAATGCTTAGTAAGTCATAAGACGTTATACCATGCTGACTCTGCAAGGAGTGCGATTTTCCTTACGATGCCATCTGTTCGGCGTACTACTTTTTAGCAGTGAAAGTACACTTCGTGGACTGAACCCGCATCGTCGTGCGAAGTTTCTGGCTTCTGCTCTGACCACGTAGCACCGTCGATCGTGACCCAGTTGTCGTGGAAATCTTCGATTCCACGTCATAATGATCCAATGTGGACCCACGGAAGGTCTCAATGGCTGTCTTGCGACCACACCTTCGGCAGACCAGCCTGGCGCGCAATTCCACGTCGCCCTTCGACGCGTCCCAACCTGAACGAACCAATCCCAAGGTGGAACCGAGGCCAACCTGAGCAAGAGCAAATCCCCATGCCTACCTGAGCAAATTCCGATGCCCAGCTCTGAATTCTGTACAATGCTCCTAGCTTGTCGTGAAAGACGTCGGCAGTAGTGTGGGCCTGTTTGGTATCGTAGAGATAGTTCGTAGGGTCTTTCTGGTCATCCGTGTTTGCCTGGTCGGTGTTTCTTTGTTAGGCCGAACTTGTCATGGCTGCCGTCGCCTCGCCCGCCGTTCCCGTGCGCCTAAGCGTGGGGGGTGTAAACGCTGCCGCGCTTTCTGCCTCAGCGCAGCGCGTCGACTTTCCAGTCTCCTTCCGCGATTCCCCGCGCGTTTCGTCTCCCGCGTGCACTAGGCGCGCCAGACCTCTCGACAAGAGGCATTCATTGTCCCTTTCGCGGCGTTTTCACGTAGTGCGCACACGAGCAGCTGGAGACAATGACGAGACCTCTAATTTAAATTCGAGTTCCGCAAGTTCCGAATCCGCAGATCCCGCCGCAGCACCGTCCGCCAGCCGCTCAATTAAGGCCGACGTTCCATTGGCTGACCCCGTCGCCGCTGACGAAACTGCACAGCAACTTCAGGCTGTGAAGCAGCAGCAGCAGCAAGAGCAATCGGGCGAAGCTTCCCAGCAGCAGCAGCAGCTGTCGCTTGAAGACGTGAACCCTGTGGATCTCGGCCGTCGATCCCGACAGTTTCTCGACGATGTGTGGCGGAGATTGATCCAGCTGGGCCAGATAGCGCGTCCGGCGCCGGTGGATGCGGAGGATTATACCGAGCTGGTGCGGGGTGGCTTGGACGCCGATTTCGGTGTCCCTAGCGCTCAGTTCACGACTGTGCTTGTAGCGGGAGCGACGGGCCGCGTCGGGAAGGTGCTTGTAAGAAAGCTGCTCTTGCGCGGGTACACGGTGAAAGCCCTCGTAAGAAGCGCAGACGCTGAGACGCTCGAGCAGCTGCCACGTGCGTGCCAGGTGGCAGTCGCTGATTTGGCCGACGAGGTGGCGCTTCAGAAGGCGGTGGAGGGGTGCAATAAGGTCGTCTTCTGCGCCTCGGCTCGCTCCGCAATGGCCGCTGACCTCCAACGGGTCGACCACATGGGGGTAGTTAATCTCTCCAAGGCATTCCTAGACTATAATCACCACTTAGCGCAGCGCCGTGCCGGCCGCAGCAGCAAGAGCAAAGCCCTGGTGCTTCGACTCAGCAAAGAGCGGTTCCAGGAGGGGTGGGAGTTAGGAGAGGGACGGACTATTAAAGACGATATAGACATTCGGTACGGCGCGGGGATGGACGCGGAGTTTAGTATCACGGAGGACGGGAGAGGCGTGTTTTCCGGATACGTGTTCACGCGGGGAGGGTATGTGGAGGCGAAGAGACGGATCAAGCTTCCAGAGGGGTTGTCGTTTGGACGGTGAGTGATGGTCGGGTTGGCTCCTGAGGGGTGTCGTTTCCCTTTTCGCCATCCCCGTATGCCCTTCCCCCTTCCCCCCTCCCCTCTACTCCCCCCATCCCCTACTCGCCTTCTGTTCGTGTCGTGTCCAGCGCAAGCTCTACCCGCAGGTGCCCCGGGAGCGCTGACCTCGTACTGTGTCATCACTCATCCTGACTCCTCTATTCGCTCGCTTGTCCGTCTGTCCCGACTCACCCCAACTCCCCAACTACTTCTCTTGTCCCCTCAGCTTCGAGGGTCTGGTGTTCCGGTTCGTCTCTGATGGCAAGCCATACTCGCTGGTGTTGCGTGTGGCTGCTCTTCCCGTCTGTCTCCACTCATCCCAACTCCTTCACCTCTCTCCCTTATCCTTCTCCCATACCCTCAGCTTCGAGGGTCTGGTGTTCCGTTTCGTGTCAGACGGCAAGCCATACTCGCTGGTGCTGCGGGTGGCGAAGGATGGAACGCGCGTGGAGAGAGTGGGGGAGGATGGGGAGAGTGTGGTGGAGGAAGAGGAGGAGGTGGAGGAGGAGGAGTATGAGTATGTGGCTGTTGTCAAGACAAGGAAAGGGCAGAACACGGTGAGTGGGGGAGGAAAGGATGTGATGTATGAGTTGAGTCACAAGAGGTAGAGTAGAGGTAAAGGGGATAGAAGAGGTGGAGGAGGAGCATGAGTGCGTGGCTGTTGTGAAGACACGGAGAGGGGAGAGCAGAATGTGTGAGAGATGGAGGTGGGAAAAGAAGATCTGCATTCCCTGCTCTTGGCTTGCACGTAGAGCAATCTCATGTCCAGTTCCCGCCTCATTTTCGCAATCACCACGAGTCCCTGTCGCTTCCCCTTCTCACACACCCTCCCTCCCCTCCCTCCCCTCCCTTTTCTTTTGACTCCTAACTTCCCTTTCCGCTCTTCCTCCCCATTCTCCCCCATTTTTATCAAACCCACCCTTCACCTCCTGTCCCCTCCATTTTCGGGGCCTTCCTCCTCCCCATCCGCTCTTTCTCCAGATTCGCATTTCCTCCTCCCCCTTCCGCCCATCATCCCCTGCTCCCCCTTCCGCCCATCATCCCCGTCCAACCCACGCCTTCCCACCCTCTAACCCCGCTCCCCCCTCCCACACCCCCACACACCTCCTTCCCCCACCTTCCCCCCATCCCCCTCCCTCCCTGTTTTTCCTCAGATCCGCGTCCCCTTCTCCGCCTTCCGCGCATCATCCCCGTCCGACCCGCCTCTTGATCCCACTCTCATCTCTTCCCTCGCCCTGCGATACGAGCAGCGTCGCGCGGTGAGTTGCGTGATGCTGTGGAATGGTGCTAACAAATCCTGGGGGGTAGAATGGAGTAACCAAACCGCTTGATCCCACTCTCATCTCTTCCCTCGCTCTGCGATACGAGCAGCGTCGCGCGGTGAGTTACATGCATTAGAAGGGGGTTCACAGACCTGGGACGTGGAATGGGGTTAACAAATCTGGAATGGGGTATCAAACCGCTTGGTCCCACCCTCAGCACCTCCCTCGCTCTGCGATACGAGCAACGCTGCACGGTGAGTCACAGACAGTGGAATGGGGTTCTCAAACATTGAGGGCTAGAAATTATGTTGCAGATCATTCGATTACAGTCTCATCTCCTCACTTGCCCTGCGATACAAGCAACCTTGCATGGTGAATAACACTTGCATGGTGAATTACTCTTGCATGGTGAATTACTCTTGCATGGTGAATTACACTTGCATGGTGAATTACACTCAGTGGAGAGGGTGGATGAGCCTTGAGGGATAGAACGGGATTAACAAGTGTTGAAGTGCAGAAGAGGTTCGACAAATCGCAAGGTATCCTTTAACTGCTGGATTCCACCACTCTTCACCAAGCTCTCCCTCTCTTCACCCCACTCTCCCTCTCTTCACCACACTCTACCCCTCTTCACCGCTCTCTTCTCCTCTTTCTCCCTTCAACTTCACCAGAAACCATCCGTGGGAGCGCCCCTGCCTCCGGGCCGGGCGGCATCCAAGGCCGGCGCAGAAGGGGACAACGCCGCCGCCCCTGCCGACCCAAACAGCTTCAAGCTCGCTCTGCAATACGTCAAGGCCTTTCCTGTGAGTGTCTGTGTAAGGGGAGGGAAGATTATGGAGGGCAGGGCGTGGGGGAGGGGGAAGGGGAGGGGGAAGGGGAGGGAGGTGGTGTGAAGTGGAGGGGTGGGTTTTGATGTGCTTGTGCAACTTACGCTGCTGCATCTGCTAGCCCAAGCATGTTCAGGCTGGTTCTGCAATCCGTGATAGCCTTTTCTGTGAGTGTGTGTGTATTGGAGGAGAAAGGGCGTGGGAGAGGGTTGGGAAAAAAGAAAGGGGGAAGAGGGGATGAGGAGGGAGAGGAGACGGACTTTGTGTTTATGTCTTGCTCGGGAGCATGACATGCTGTATCACTCGCTTACTCCCCTCCACTTGGCCTTCTCTGTGTGTGTGTATGTGGGAGCGCAGGAAGGCGAGCAGACGGACTTTGTGTTGGTGTCTTGCTCGGGTGCATGGCATGCTGTATCACTCACTCACTCCCTCGTTGTCTCTGTCTGTCCTTGTGTACATATCCCTTCTGTTTGTGTGTATGTGTGTATGCCTGTATGTGGGAGTGCAGGGAGGAGAGGAGACGGACTTTGTGCTGGTGTCATGCTCGGGAGCAGGAGTGCCGGAGGAGAGGAGAGAGACAGTTGTCAAGGCCAAGATGGTGAGTGCATTTCGCCTGTGGTGCAGGCTTTAGAGTCAGCACGCACGAGTGCTGCCAGTACGCATGCTGCTGGCACGCCTGCTGCTGGCAGTGCAGGTGTGCTCACTCTGTATCACTTGCACACTTGAAACGAGCTGGAGAGCCGGAGGAGAGTGGTGAGTGCATTCCGCCTGTGGTGCAGGCATTAGAGTCAGCACGCACGAGTGCTGCTGGCAGTGCAGTACGGTGCAGTGCGGTGCTGGCTACCATTATGCACTCACCTCTACAGTGGGCTGCTGAAGCAATCAATTGGCCTCTGCTGAGCGAACCGGTTATGAGACCCCCTTCCTCTCTTTGTCTTTTGCCTGCCACATGCATTGCAGGCGGCAGAGACGCTGCGCAACAGTGGGCTGGGATACACCATTGTGCGCCCAGGGCCTCTATGCAAGCAGTCAGTTGGCCTTTATTGGAGGATCCGGGCTCTATTAAGAGTGGCAAAAGCACACTGTTAATTTTCTGTCATTTTCTCCCCCGCCACACACTTGCATGTGAGCAGGCAGCAGAGACGCATCTGCGCAACAGCGGGCTGGGGTACACCATTGTGCGCCCAGGGCCCTTGCTGGAGGAGCCGGGAGGGAGGAAGGCTCTGGTGTTCGACCAGGGGAACAGAATCAACCAGGTGGGTGTCTTTTCTTGGAATTCTCAAATAACAGATGCACCATTGTGTGCCAGGGCCCCTGCTGGGGGAGCCGATGGTTCAGAAGGCTCTGGTCTGGTCTGGTGTTCGACCACAGGAATAGAATTACCCAGGTGGGTGCGTGGGTAGGTGGGTAGGTGGGTAGGTGGGATGGGAAAAGGAGGGGTTGGGAGGGTGTGGTTTGCGAATCTGTGCACAAAACTGTGAAACTTGATAGCTTATCTACCCTCCCCGACCCATTCCTACCAACCCCCATTCCCCTCTTCTCCGTACCCATCGTCCCCCCAACACACACACATCAGGGCATCAGCTGTGCTTACGTCCCTCCCCTCACCCCTCACCCCTCCTTGCCTTACCCATCGTCCCCCCAACACACACACATCAGGGCATCAGCTGTGCTTACGTCCCTCCCTCACCCCTCACCCCTCCTTGCCTTACCCATCGTCCCCCAAACACGCACACATCAGGGCATCAGCTGTGCTGACGTGGCAGACGTGTGTGTGAAGGCTCTACACGATCCGACGGCCCGTAACAAGAGCTTTGATGTGAGTGAATGCGGTAACCATGTGAATGCAGTAACCATGTTAATGCAGTAACCATGTGAATGCGGTAACCATGTGAAATGCGGTAACCATGCGAATGCGGTAACCGTGTGTACTATTCTCTGCACTGATTGCTTCTGTGCTGTCCATATGGATTGTTATTCCAAATTTACTCTCTGTTTTTCTGCATAGAAACCCTCCTGTTCTCTAATTCCTCTGTGCTTGTTTGCACTAAACTGGGCTATCATGGATTAGTCTGATCTGCTCATGTGTGCTCTGATTTGCTCTTCTCTGCAGATCTGCTATGAGTATACAGACAATGCGGGTCTGTATGAACTGGTGAGTGCAACACACCTGGTCTCACTCCGTTGCTTCAATTCCTGCACTTCGGTCTCTTCTGCATTGTTGTTTGTTATAATAAAAATGATATTTCCTCTTACAACTGTTCACTTTCCTCCCTGTCTCGGTTTCCCTCTCATACCATCTCCCTCACACACTATCTCCTCTAACAGGTGGCACATTTACCTGATCGAGCCAACAACTACCTCACACCTGCCCTCGCGCAGCTGGAAAAGAACACTTGACACGCTGGCAGATAAGACGCCGGACACGGCTGTGGAAGGACCACCTGTTAACAGCTTCGGATCGAAGCACTTCTTGCGGATCGGATGTGTGACAGGCATGGGATGGGCGCATTGAAGGATTGGGTTAGATGCGTTGAAGAAACGCTGTCATTGTGTTCAAGACGCGTTGATTGAGATAATGGCAGGCATGTGTAGTTACAGGAGAGATGAAACTTGTTTGTGTGTTTGCCATATCTCTCCTTTGTATCGGAGATGGTTGCCTGCAGGACAGGAGCTGTAGGTGGGAGAAAAAGAGTCTGTTTAGTCGTCTACACCATTACATCTGCCTGAAAGTCGGCTGTTGAAGGAGCTTGAATAGGAAATTAAGAATTATGGAATATTCATCTCATCGTTTGCTCTGTTTACTACAACTGTATGACCTAACCTTGCTTTCTAGCTTAATCTAGTGGATAAGTAACATGCAGCTACCGTAAGTAAAAGCTGGAAAACTAATCTCCTCCTAGCATACCAGTAAAGTAAACAGTAATATATATACCCATTACGCCAAATAAACAGTTACCATGTACCATATACCCATTACTCCAGTTTATGAGAAACTACAACAGAGTACAACAGAGCTACCGGTACATGCCTGCCATCCACCAAAATTGCATTTGTTGTATCATTTCTTTACAACAAAACGTATAAATCGTCGGTACATAATCAGTAGTCAATGTACACTCCCGCTCATCAACCCAAACCCAGGAACTTGCTTCGGCGACGAGCCAGACCCTTGGGCAGTCAGCGCAATCATCTTATTATGCCGCTCAAACCGCTCTATTCTATCATGCCTCTCCATCCTCTCGCTCCTCTCACTCTCCATTGCCTCCTGCTGCAACCGCCGCCCCACCGTCACAAATCTCTTCCTCCCGGCCTCGGTCTCCCCCTCCTTTCGCCCCACTCGGAACCAGACGGCAGCAGCGATGCAGAGGAGGAAGAGGGGGATTGCGACGAGGAACCACAGCCACCGCAGCTGCGGCTTGGAATGGGATTGAGCCGCGCTGCTGGAGGGGGGAGGGGAGGGGGTGAGGGGAATGGAAGATGGATGAGGGTAGGAAGAGGCGAGTGGGAAGGGAATACGAACGAGGGGTGACTGAGGGGAGGAGAGGGGGAAGGGGGGGGGTGCATGGCATGGTGGCAGATGGCACGAGAAGCAGCAAGCAAGCACTCATCATGGCATGGCATCAGCTTCACATCACCTTCGCACCCACCCGGAGAAGTCAGGAGGCGGCGCGTTGAATGAGCTGAGGTTGTAGGGCCCAAACGCGGGTGACAGGTGCATGGCAGCGTGGGGGATGGATTGAAAAGCAGGAAGCACCCCTTCACATGACCCTCACATCAGCTGGACACCCACCCCCTGACACCCACCCCCTGACACCCACCCCCTGACACCCACCCCCTGACACCCACCCTGACACTCACCCAGAGAAGTCAGGCGGCGGCGCGTTGAATGAGCTGAGATTGTAGGGGCCAAACGCAGGCGACAGGTGCATGGCGTGCTGGCGAATGGTGGAGTTGACGCGCTGCACTGTGATGGCGGGCAGGAAGGTGGTGCCGGCATACGGCACCAGCCACACCTCCGCTGCTGCCCCGCTGGGACTCGTGCCCCACACACTCTGAATCACCACCTGCTCGAGTGGGGACGGGGGGCAGAACCGAGAGGGGGGGGTAGAACCGGGGGTGGAAGGAGGTTGTTGGGGGGTCGGTGGGGAGGAGGACGTTTGGCTCGCACATGAGCACTCAGATCAGCTTGTTCCTGAGCCGGACGAGAGCAGGGGGAAGCGCAGCTCCATGTCAACGTGGCTGGCGCACCCCGCACACCCCGTGGAGTCCACCGGGCAGTACGACGGCATGGCATCCGCTACAGCCCACACCATCTCACCTGCCCTTCACCAGCCCATTCCTTTCCACTCCTTGCTCCCCCCTGCCCATACCTGCCCTTGCCCCCCTGTGCCCTCACCTGTCCCGGCTCCAGCAATAATTCTCGGATCAGCTCATCAGTCAGCTGCCCCTCCAGCGCGTCCAGCTGTGCGGACGAGAGCAACGGAAACCGCAGCTCCATGTCAACGTGGCTGGCGCACCCCGCACACCCCGTGGAGTCCACCGGGCGGTATGATGGCATGGCATCCGCTACAGCCCACACCATCGCCATGTCGTCATCGCTGCCTGCTGGCCCTGCATCCGGCGCCCGCTTGCTTCTGCTGGTCGCACTGCTGCTGCTGCTGTCGCCTCTTACAGTCACATCCCTGGCAGACACACCCCTTGTAGTGGCATCCTGTGTGGTAATGCTGCTTGGGTGGGTGCCAACGTCAGGCTTGGGTCCACCTGTGCCTGCACCCAAGCCTGCTGCCGAACCTCCACCTGACCGAGCCTGCTCCTCTGTGTACGGGTCCCGAGGATCCCTGCCCCTCCCTAACGGATTCATTGTCCTTGCTGCAGGCCGTATATCCGAGCCTTCCTCCTCTAATCCAGACCCAGATTCCGAACCTGCACCCAAACCTGGCTCCGGACCTGGTTCCGAACCAGGCGCGCCAGGCGACACAATGTGGGTCATGAGCTGGTCGCAGGGGGTCTTCCAAAAGCCAAGGCGGTCGTTGACCCGGTCAAAGGTCAACATGGTGTTGCGAAACATGAGACCTGGACACATGGAGAGAGACAAGGGTGGTGGGGAGAGGATGAGCAAGGCACTGACCCCTTGACCCACTGCGTCCCCGAATGGCTGAGCCAGAAACCCACTGACGCATTCAACAAAAAGCACGGTGCTGCAAAAGACGAGGTCTGAGCGGAGGTGTGAACGGATATGGAAGAGTGTGAATCACTGTGAGCGCATACACAGTGCCACTGTTTCACTCACCTCCGAGAATGGTGCCCTGGTCGGGGTTAAGGAACACCCCGATGCAGAAGACGCCGCTGCGCTTGCGGTGCTGAAAGAGTGGGTAGGTGTGAAAGGTACCAGTGCAGCCACTCACCGCCGAGAATGGTGCCCTGGTCCGGGAGAAGAGGAGAGTGCAACGCTCATGCGCAACCAGGCCACTCGCAGGAAGTCACTCAAGTCGCACCACTCACCGCCAAGAATAGTGCCCTGGTCGGGGTTGGGGAACACCCCAATGCAGAAGACGCCGCTGCGCTTGCGGTGCTGGAAGAGGAAGTTCTCGGGGTCCAGGCGGTAGATGGCGCCCTCCCCGAATACCACCTCCACCGACGGGAAGAAGGACGCCAGCGTGGAGGCTTGCCTGCAGGGAGACGAGACAAGGGGTAGGTGTGGGGCAATCCCAAGGGGGCAGCAGGGGAGTGGTGAGGGAGGTAGCAGGGTGCTTGCGGTGCTGGAAGAGGAAGTTCTCAGGGTCCAGGCGGTAGATGGCACCCTCCCCGAATACCACCTCCACCGACGGGAAGAAGGACGCCAGCGTGGAGGCTTGCCTGCAGGGAGACGAGACGAGGGGTAGGTGTGGGGCAATCCCAAGGGGGCAGCAGGGGAGTGGTGAGGGAGGTAGCAGGGTGCTTGCGGTGCTGGAAGAGGAAGTTCTCTGGGTCCAGGCGGTAGATGGCACCCTCCCCGAATACCACCTCCACCGACGGGAAGAAGGACGCCAGCGTGGAGGCTTGCCTGCAGGGAGACGAGACGAGGGGTAGGTGTGGGGCAATCCCAAGGGGGCAGCAGGGGAGTGGTGAGGGAGGTAGCAGGGTGCTTGCGGTGCTGGAAGAGGAAGTTCTCTGGGTCCAGGCGGTAGATGGCGCCCTCCCCGAATACCACCTCCACCGACGGGAAGAAGGACGCCAGTGTGGAGGCTTGCCTGCGTGGGAAAGAGGGGAGCGGCGGAGGAGGGGAGTGGAGGAGGGAGGTAGAGGAAGTGAACAATGGGGTCCAGGCAGTAAACGGCGCCTTCCCCGAATACCACCTCCACCGACGGGAAGAAGGACGCCAGCGTAGAGGCTTGCCTGACAGGGAGAAGGGGGTGAAGGAGGAGGAAAACAGGGATCTCAAAGGGTGATCTCAGAGGGGAAATGGCAGGACAGTGGCAGCAGCAGCGGCACCAGGAGAAGCAGAACACTCACAATGCAGTCCAGGAGGTGGAGCGGAAGCACATGCTCTGGTACTGCGGCTCTGTACCCGTCAGCATCTTGAGACCACGGGCCACTCATTGCCAAGGGTGATCCCAAAGCTAGGACTCAAAAGACAGGTACCCAAAGGGCAGCAGCAGCAGAGGCACTCACAGAGCAGTCCAGGTGGTGGAGCGGAAGCACATGCTCTGGTACTGCGGCTCTGTATCCGTCAGCATCTTGACTCCCCGCGCCACGCGCGCCATCACGCTGTGCTTGAACGCCTCAAAGAGCGGCGCCGGCAGGTAGGAGAAGGAGGTGCCGCTGTCCACCACGACGCCGTAACCCGAGGAGAATAGCAGCGGCGCGTCTTCGACGGGGAGAGGGTCTCCCCCAATAAGGATTTGACTCACCACCACCTGATAGAAGGGCGTGCCTCTGGGGGAGAGGGAAGGGATGGAGGCAGGGAGGGAGGGAGAGAGAGAGAGGGTGGTGGAGTGAGTAAGCGGCGCCGGCAGGTAGGAGAAGGAGGTGCCGCTGTCAACGAGGACCCCGTACCCGGAGGAGAAGAGCAGTGGGGCGTCCTCGACGGGGAGAGGGTCTCCCCCGATAAGGATTTGACTCACCACCACCTGATAGAAGGGCGTGCCTCTGGGGGAGAGGGCGGGGGGGGGAGAGGGAGAGGAGAGCAAGCAGTCAGCAAACAGCCGGAGGAGAATAGCAGCGGGGCGTCCTCCACGGGGAGAGGATCCCCTGCTTTGCGGATTTGGGACACCACCACCTGGTAAAAGGGCGTGCCTCTGGGGGTGAGGGCGGGGGGGGAGAGGGAGAGGAGAGCAAGCAGTCAGCAAACAGCCGGAGGAGAATAGCAGCGGGGCGTCCTCCACGGGGAGAGGATCCCCTGCTTTGCGGATTTGGGACACCACCACCTGGTAAAAGGGCGTGCCTCTGGGGGTGAGGGCGGGGGGGGGAGAGGGAGAGGAGAGCAAGCAGTCAGCAAACAGCCGGAGGAGAATAGCAGCGGGGCGTCCTCCACGGGGAGAGGATCCCCTGCTTTGCGGATTTGGGACACCACCACCTGGTAAAAGGGCGTGCCTCTGGGGGTGAGGGCGGGGGGGGGAGAGGGAGAGGAGAGCAAGCAGTCAGCAAACAGCCGGAGGAGAATAGCAGCGGGGCGTCCTCCACGGGGAGAGGATCCCCTGCTTTGCGGATTTGGGACACCACCACCTGGTAAAAGGGCGTGCCTCTGGGGGTGAGGGCGGGGGGGGAGAGGGAGAGGAGAGCAAGCAGTCAGCAAACAGCCGGAGGAGAATAGCAGCGGGGCGTCCTCCACGGGGAGAGGATCCCCTGCTTTGCGGATTTGGGACACCACCACCTGGTAAAAGGGCGTGCCTCTGGGGGTGAGGGCGGGGGGGGGAGAGGGAGAGGAGAGCAAGCAGTCAGCAAACAGCCGGAGGAGAATAGCAGCGGGGCGTCCTCCACGGGGAGAGGATCCCCTGCTTTGCGGATTTGGGACACCACCACCTGGTAAAAGGGCGTGCCTCTGGGGGTGAGGGCGTGGGGGGAGAGGGAGAGGAGAGCAAGCAGCCAGCAAACAGCCGGAGGAGAATAGCAGCGGGGCGTCCTCCACGGGGAGAGGATCCCCTGCTTTGCGGATTTGGGACACCACCACCTGGTAAAAGGGCGTGCCTCTGGGGGTGAGGGCGGGGGGGGGAGAGGGAGAGGAGAGCAAGCAGTCAGCAAACAGCCGGAGGAGAATAGCAGCGGGGCGTCCTCCACGGGGAGAGGATCCCCTGCTTTGCGGATTTGGGACACCACCACCTGGTAAAAGGGCGTGCCTCTGGGAGAGGGAGTGGGAGGGGGGAGAGGGAGAGGGAGGGGGAGGCGATCAAAGCACCCACTGGCTTGTGCGCAAATCACCCACTGAATCGAGCAAATTCCCTCACATGCGCTCAAATCACCTGCGCCCCCTCACATACGCAAACACCCACTCAGATGCGCGCAAATCGTCCCCTGGCATGCGCACAATTTTCCTGCGCCCCCTCACATGCACATGCGGTTGAAGCCTGTGTACTGCATCACCGCAGGCGCGCGCAAACGGTCCGCTCACATGCACAAGCACCCGCTCACCCGAAAATAACACCCCCTCACATGCGCTAATCATCCCCTCATACTCGCTAATCACTACTCACACGCGCATACGGTCGAACGCCGTGTACTGCATCACTGCAGGCGCGCGCAGCCCCACAGGCCCCATGATCATCGCCCCGCGCTCCCCCCCCAACCTCCCCATTTCCCCCTCCCCTCCCGCCCCGCCTCCGCCTTTCCCTCCTCCACTCCCCATCCCCCCTTTCCGCCGCCACACTCCCCAGCCACTCCCCTCGTTCCCCGCGCCTTTTGCCAGTTCCGCGGATTCCGCTGCGCCCCCCCCTCCGCCGTAGCAGATGGAGAAGACCTCCGCGGCGACTGCGCGCGCGCTCACTAGTTGCGCCAGCAGGCTGTACGCCCCCCGCCCGAGCCCCAGCACGCCGTCCGCCGCTTGGCGGGAAAGCGCGCCCGTTTCCGCCTCCGCGCACCCGAATAGCACGCGCGGAAGGGGCGGAACGGGGCCTGGAGCGGAAGACTGGGCTTGCGCGGAAGATATCGAGGAAGAGGAGGGGGAAGCGGAGGAGGCTTGCGCATGGGCGGAGGAGGAAGGGGGAGACGACGCGGAAGAGGCGGAAGCGACGGCGGAAGGGGAGGGGGAAAACGGCCACCACCACCAGGAGAAGAACGAAAAGGAGGAGGAAGCGGAAGGCCGGGGGTCTTCGTGCGCGGAAGCGCGCTTCTCCTTTGGGACGGCGGCGGAGGCGGCGGGCGCGGGAGGGGGAGGCGGAGGGGAGAAGGAGACGAGGTCGGAGGAGAGAAAGCCGTCGCTGGTGCTCTCCTCAGCGTATCGCCGCGAGTACGCGCACCGCTGCTGGCGGTCGCAGCGGTTCCCCGCGCAGGAACCTCCGCGGCAGGGCACGGGGAGGTAGGAGGCGGAGGCGGAGGGGGAATAGGGTGGATTCTGCCAAGGGCGGAGGGCGGAAAAGGGGAGAGGGGAGTGGGATCGGAGAACAGAGTCAGCGCATGTCGCATTTCGCCCGTCCACTGCTTGTAACCCTAGCATTACTCACCCGTTACCTCGCAACCCTACACGGCTCACTTACCTTCGACAACTGATGCAACACCCCAATAGTCATCAGGCTTCCGAGACAAAACTGGCGCGCGGGCGTTACAGTACTTAAAGCCTAACAATGTCACATGCTATCACCGCGAGCGAGAGCTTACGTGGCTGAAACACAGAGAAGTTACAAGGTTACCCTATGAGCCTTCCCAGCGGTTACCATGTGAGTACCGCAGGGCGAACAGGAGGAGCAGGGCACGACGGTGAGCGCGCTTCCAGTGTCCACCATAAGAGAGAACTTGCGCGGCGCGGACACGCACATGTTACGTGGTAACCCTATCGCCTTACCATGTGAGCGCCACACGGCGAGCAGGAAGAGCAGGGCACGATGGTGAGCGCGCTCCCCGTGTCCACCATGAGAGAGAACTTGCGCGGTGGGGACCCGATCCACACGTCCACCGAGTAATAGCTGCGCACGGAGGCGCGGGGGGGAGGGAAGAAGGGGGGGGGGGGGGGAGAAACGGGGAGAAACGGGGAGAGGAGGGAGAGGGTGGGGGAACGAACTTTGAGGCGCCTCAAAGAAAGTGACCCGATTCACACGTCCACCGAGTAATACCTGCGCGCGGAAAAGGGGTGGGGGGGGGGGGGGGGGGGGGAAGGGTGGGCGACGGTGGAGGAGGGGGAAGGAATTTTGAGGCAAGTAAGAAATGTGACCTGGCCCACACGTCCACGGAGTAATAACTGCGCGCGGAAAAGGGGGGGTGGGGGGGGGGGAGGGGAGGGGGAAGTGGGGAGAGATCGGGAGGGCGGGGAAAAGCTAGAAGCAGGGGAGAAGGGAGGGGGGGTTGGAGAAGGAGGGGTTGGAGGAGGGGGGGGAGGTGGGGCGATGGGGAGGAGAAGGGGGGAGAGTTAAATAGGAAAGAAATCACGCAGGGAGGTGCTATACAAGGGAGGGGAGAGCATAACGAGAGAGAAACAGGTGCTGGTGAGATAAATGAAGCAACCGAATGAGCGTGGAAGTTATGGTGTTGCAAGGTTAGGGTTTCGCATAACAGAAGGAAATCATCGAGCAAACCCACGATTAACTGCATCCTAAGGCATTCTCACTCTGCAAGTAATCTATCGGAATTCAGGCGTATCGCAGTGTGACCTCCGATAAGAACGTACCCGTCCGTGCGGATGCTTCCATGAAGCCGCGACTGCATCTCTGACAGTCCACGTGGCGACATCTGATCCGTCGAATTGGACTCGAGAGCAGCGGCGCCTGAGAAACGCAGAACGGATACGACCGGCGGAGGCCATCTGGTATCATTGTCGTGTCGCGGCCGCTCCGCCCAGGAGGATTGCAACGGTCGTGACGAAGATTGGGACGAGGCTCGGGAAGAGGCTCGGACGTATTTTACAGAGGTTGGTCGACGAGTATGGTGCGAGATGTGGAAGGAGAATGATTCTACGCCCAGATAGAGGGTGGGTAGTAATAGGACAATAAGAAACGAACTAAGTACGAAGGTCTTCGGACGTCTCTCGTGGAACAATAATGCGAAAACGAAATTTCTTCTAATTAGATAGTCAGAAGCCATGGCTGGAGATTTTGTCGTTGAAATGCTTGTAACCCTAACTTGTCATCCCATGAGTCTCTCAGTTGTCCAACAAAAACAGGTGCTACCGACTCATGTATTCGTCAGCGTCTACGACTTGAACCATGAAACTAAGCCCGGAGAAACCTCCTGGTATCTAACTAGTGATTCACTAGATCGCCACATCCCTGACTGGACGCTGCTGTCTGTAACCCAAAGGCCGTGACGTCACCAGTTACTACTAATTGCAGCCGCTAGAGAGGGAGGAAGCTAACCCACTTGCTATCCTTCCACGTCATTCACTAGCTGACGGAGCCTTCTTCAGCCTATCGCATCGAATATACTGCAATCCAGTAAGCTGGTTCTAGGGCCTGAAGTCTAGAACCAGCCGCTTGCTACCCCAGGCAAAAAGACATCGGGTCAAGCCTGTTTCATCCGGTCCGTCCGTCCGTGTTTCTGACCAACTTCTGCTGTTCTACCATTGGTCTATGCGCGTTAGGCGGATTGCGGGGTTTCATGGGCTCCATGCCACGGGTTTTTTACTGGGGCAGGCAGGCAGAGTCAAGCTGGGCCACCCGCACACACTGCCTGCTGCTTTTCGTTGGGCTGCCCGCACGGGCATCCATGGTTATGGCCACAGTTCCTCCAAACCGTTGGGGCGACTTGGACTGCGGGCTGCTCGGGACGTAGGGCAAAGGGGTACGGAATGGTACCATTTTGACGCGCAACAGACTTGCCGAGCCGAACTGCTTGTTTTGAGCCCTGGGGTGACAGGTTTGCGCAAGCAGTCATCCCACGAGGGTGGAAAAGCGGCTTGGTGAGGGTGTAGTGGAGGTTCGGAGTTTGCTGCGGTCGCACCTTCAGCATGGTCCGGCGGGTGATCAGCCAGTTCACACAAGGCGGTACGGGCAGGCTGGGAGGCAGAAGAGGAACGCGTTTCGGTTGCAAGAGATTGCGCCGTCGGTAATCCCAGAGATGGTCCTCAAGACCTGTTGACTGAAACGAGGGGAAGGAGAAGATGTTACTTTCGCGAACAGGTTCGCAATTCTGATCGAGGTTCCACCACGTTGTGATTGGTCGGTGGTAATGTGGTGTGGTGTGGTGTGTCCCTTGCTAGCCGTGAGCAGCAAAGCGTCAGCGGAGGTGTGGGCTGACTTCCACCCACACCTGGGCCCCGTTCGGCAGGCATTCTCGCCATTATCGCCATTATGGGCATTTTTAACGGGCCCCCAAAAAATGGCCCCAAGAAACAGACTGTAGCTGCAGTGAAACTTCGGAAAAATGGGCCCGAGGGTTCGGTTGGCATTAACTGAGCCAAGATTAATGGCATCAACCGAAAACGACACTTCGGAGAAGCCTGTATGCAGCCGCGCTGATGGAGCGCAGAATCACTGTTTTGGCAGCCCGGGCAGCCCTGCAAACCAGCGGTGGTCGTCGAAAATAATCGGCTAAGGGAAACTGTCCGTTCGATGTGTTAGTGATGGTGTGTTGGTGATGTGTGATTTTCCAGCGGGCACGAAGAGGGGTGAGAAAGACCAGGATTTATTTTTTTCAGGGCAAGGTGTGATTGCCCCGAATCAATGATCCCCCGCATGGTGCGGGACCTCGAGGCCGCATGGTGCTGCGGTTGAGAAAATGGACAGTTTGCCTGAGAAATATGGTTCGAGGAAGGTTCTACTGGTGGAAATTGCCAGCGTTAAAAGGGGTGCTCGGCTGGCATTCCATTATTGTCTGGTTCGGCGATGATCCGCTTATATCGAGCCTAGATAACCTTTCACGCGCTTATCAAAGAAGGTTCCAGGGTGGTCGTTTTACTGTAGCCCATCCGGGGAAACCGTTTTTTTAATGCCTGCCGAACTGGGCCCTGGACTACACAACACACGCCACCCTTGACTCGGACCCATAGCGAGTTTGCGTGGTTCGCTAACCTCTAGGGGACCCAGTTAGTGTGGTTTCTGTAGAACTCAACAAAATGCATTATGCCAACTTCTATTACAAGTTTATGCAAGACAATATATAAGAAGCAACTCAATATCTAGAAACGAACACAAGCCAACACCATATAAGCAAGCATGACCCAAGCATGAACACGATCAAGATAAAGCCAAAATTTCGTGCATGCTTTGTGGAACCTTCATGCAACTGCACCCATTCCAAAAAGCCCACTGTAGCAGCTACCCTCACTGAACCTCATCCTTTTGAAACCTGTTTGGCAAACTTCAACCCCTTGCCCAGCAAACAGGTTGATTCCCTGCTCTGCACTGCCATACGAGCAGGCTAGATGCAGTTCCACATCCACTTGACCATCAACACCCTCACTCCCCCTATCTGCTGCACCAGTCCTCAATAAAAGTTGCTCCACAGATTCCACACAATGTTCTGTAACACTACTGTTGCTGCGAGATATATCGTGCTCCGCCGCATCTTTTTCGCACGTTCCTCGGCAAGACTCCTTGCCACCTACACCCATAAAATCTCTGAGCTGGGGAGTTTCCTCCTCAAAAGGAGACTCATCATGCGATACAACCCTGTCATCGCCTGCAGCAGCAGCAGCTGCAGCAGCAGCAGCACCACCACCCGCGGCAGTCCAGGCTTCGCCATCAGCAGCAACGGCTGGGCTGACATCAGCACTCCCCACCATCACCCTATCCTCACCACCAGCAGCACCATCATCCCCAGCAAGAGGAACCCGGCGCCCTTTATAGTCACGCACAACCACGCGCCCTCCCTCCACAGGGTGGTTGTGCTCGGAAAGATACTCCACAGTGACAGCGCTCAGGTCGAAGGGGCGCAGAGGGTGTGAGTTCACCACCTTGCGCGCGGGGCACGGGGCGGACCCTGCCGAGCGGTGGTGGGGAGAGCTGGCTGCGCAGCGGTAGTACGCCCTGAGATAGGGGTAGGAGAGAGGGGGGAAGATACAGGCGGAGGGAAGAGAGTGAGGACAGGGGGTGCGAGATCACCGCCACCTTGCGCGCTAATTGGGGGACACGACGGGGCAAACACAGGAAAGCATCACGAAACGAGGAAGCTTCGCAGTTCTGAGCCTCAGAGTGCGCGGCGGTGGATACCTGCGCTGGCCGCCGTTCTTGGTGCTGAGCTTCTTAGCGCCGTACTTGAGCCACCGGTGCCCGTCCGCGCTCACCAGCTCCGCAACTCCGCGCGACCACTGGTGCTGCTCCCACGCCGCCGTCGCCGCCGCCGTCGCTTCCGCTGCCGCCGATGGCGCCGTCGCTCCTACTTCCGCGGGTTCTTCCCCCGCCCGGGGGCTATCGCCACCTCCGCTGGAACTTCCGCCAGAGCTTGCGCCGTCACCCGCGGAGGGGCCGTTGCTCTCGCTGCGGCGGCGGCGAGCGGCAGAGGCAGGGGCAGTGGCAGTGGCAGGTAGCACGGTCGTGTTGTTATTCGCCGAGTTAGCACCTGGGCCGCTGGTCCTTTTAACGCCTCTCCTACTAGGAGGGACAGTCATAACCTCGGCCGACGTATCCATTGCACCATCCGCCGATGGGCGACGCGTTAAGGGCTGACGCGTTACGGGTTGGCCTGTTTCCGCCGCCGCAGCGAGCGGCGGAAAGCCTGAGGGCTGCTGGAAGGCGGAAAAGCCTCGGGAGGTCGCGAACTGGGCGGACGGCGCGGATGGAGCGACTGGAGCACATGGATCCAACGGCGCGAACGACTTGAACGGCGCGGATGGATGTTGAGTTTGCAACAGATAATCAGAACGCGCCGGCTGCTCGAAAATTCCGCGAATAGTAGCAGTCGTACCACCAGGTAAGCCGACCGCCATCTCCCTCTCCGAGAGCGAAAAAGGGAGGTTCCCGAATGAGCCATTGCGGTCGGCAAAAGTGCTCGAAGGCTGGTTATGATTCGCCGCTGCGGAGGCTGCTGCTGCGATCGTGGAGGAAGCGCTAACTCCACTTCCGGCGCCATTCCCCCGCTCGTCGGTTCGGTCGGAACGAGTGTTCCAGCCTCCGCCTTGCGGGAAACACGGCGCGCCTTGGCTTCTCGCGAGGAGGTGTATCTGACGAACCAATTCGGGCGTCATCTGCGGAATCGCATCGAGCGACACTTGCGACATTCGCGACATCGTCGCCGGCGGTGCTCCAGATAAGCCCGTGCGATTCAGGATCGCCATGTCGTTCAACGCCGCGGCGAATGATGAGGGGAATGTTGACGGCGCTGGGGGGAACGATGCCGCTGCCGCCGGCGATGGCGCTGCGGCCGCCGACGACGGCGACGGTGACGGCGACGGCGCGGACGGCGGAGCCGCAAACCCGTAGAAGAACTGTCCGAGCGCCGCGTTTGGCGCAAGGACTTGGGTGAAGGGTGCGGGAGGTCCCATCGCTGCTAGCTCGCGGAAAGACGGCGGATGATTCATGGCGGCGACGGCAAACTTCTTCAAGAGACTCTCTTGAATCACACAGAGCTGTTAGTAGTGGTTGGCGTTTCAAGCGGGTTGTTACCGCGGAAATTGCAAGCGTCAGGTCGAGAACAGACAAGGAGAATATTCGAAAATGACCTCTCCGAGAAAGTGACGTCTCTTATGATGATAGTCTGACGCGCGTGTGACTGAGCCCGTAACCGAGTGGCTGGCGATAACTCGTCTCGGCAGTGGCTAGCGCGCAGCACGGACCTGGACGATACGAACCCCGATGCCGGTGAAGGCACTGCACGAAAATTTGAAGTGGTTGCGGAATCGGGTCAGGTGCAAAATTTACAGGCACGGTGGCTGTCGCGATGCGAGATGCAATTCGGTGCGATGCGGTTATGAGCGTTGCCGCGCACTGCTGTGTGGTGCCGCGGTAGCGCTTCCAGTGGAGTCGCTAGTACCACTGACGTTGAGTGGACTAGTCCTACTACCAATCAGTCCAGGAAACGACGATGGATGTTGGCCTGGTAATATGGTGCTTTCGTGCTGCCAATCTGTGCCTGACCGTGCGGATGATTGCTTGCAATAGGTAAGGCGAAGGAGCCAAGGAAACCTGGAGAAACCAGCTATGGCTGCGTTGATGCAATCTGATGATTCAATGTCCGCGACAGAGCTGAAATGGCGACGCCTGTCGAATGTAAACTGCTTTCAACGTCAACAAAAGGACTCCGTTGGCGTGAGTGGGTGCAGGCCTACTAGACCGAACCGGAGATCCAGCGTACAGCGACTCTCTCCACTCCAATCAAACACGTCGACTTATCTAGAAGCAGTGTTCGCGCTCTAGAAGCAGAGGAGTACATTAGACCAAACAAAAAAAACACTATGCCGCATTTGCGTCGCGACGAGTCACGAGCAATCACCAGTGTTGCTGCTGAATATCGTCGCCCGTTTGGGAGGTCGTCCAGAGATTGCTGAAGACCACTGCAGCACTGCTCATCCTGCAGCTGCCCGCCGAACAATTTCTGCTGCTTCCAAAAAACGCATGCGGGTCTGGTTTTGTTGTCTACTATCTCTATTTGCTGCCTCTGTCGTGAAGCTGAGCAAAACGCAGCGGAGCAGCCATGGATTCTGGAACCCTGAAGAATGCCGTTGGGAAGTTGACAGGATTCATGGCAGATCCACGTCCGCCTGCTGCCTTCTGCGCAATGCGCTTCCGTCTTTGCGGTTTTGAGCTCTCAAATGATTGGTCCACATCAGCTCCGTCAAGCTCTGGCTGATACCTGCCCCGTGACCATGTTTACGTCCACCAGTCAGTTGCAATGCAATGTTGTGAACAATTTTGAGCAACTCTGGCATCGTCTGCCCGACGGTTGTGTTCCCCCCCTTACGTTGTGAGGACATCAACAAGATCGGTGGGAACACTAGCCTAGCCACCCCACCGCAATGGGCTTCTTGACTTGACTGCGTCTGACCGGTCCAAAAAAAGGTGCAATCTTCCTTCTCATATCAATCGCTCGCAAATTTCCCCCAATCTGCTGCAGCACTTGCTGCTCAAGCTGGACTGTTTTACATGCAAATGACAGACCGTGGGGATGACGAGACGTCACGGGGAAACTTTGCAGCACAGTTCATTGACGGTGCCCATTGAGAAAACGACACCTTATCGGGCCCCGAAAGGTTCCTCGGAAAGGACCAAAGAGGCGGTGGAGAGGCGTCTTCAACCTGTAGCAAACAAGAAATATTGCGGCGGGAGGCTGCAGTGTTTGGCATTGTTGGACGTTGTCTTTTTGTGGGCTAACTAACCAACCGCCCCCGTTTTTTGTGTCGTCAAAGCGGGGTACTGTCCAAACTTGTAAGAAAAGCGGCGCTGGACCTTAAACAAATTATGGAAGTGTTCAATCATCAGAGCCTCCGATCGTCATTCAAACACATGTGCGAGTTGAAGGTTAGGAGCGAGAAGTTCGATCTACCCTTTCCACGGCTGGAATAAGGTACACCTAGTCACTTGCCAGCTTCTGTCAGGCAAACGAGTGCACGCATCAACTGTTCAGGAGCATAGATTGCGTGCGACAGTAACCAGATGTGCGATAGCCTCACAAATCTTGTTCGCATGTCTGGTGTTTCCCCCAAGCGCCCATCAAAAGCGCGAAACATTTCATGGGAAACCTGGTTCATGATTGGTTCACAAAACGCGAATGCTCCACGCCGAATGATCCTCTCGCGAATGTTTTTTTCAGAAACAATATGTATTCTCCTGTTAGATATGGTTTTATCACAATTACAGACACCCATCAATATCATTTTCTGTACTGTACCACGTTATAGCTAACGGCCTGGTAATACCTAAGGCAGTTTGTCCCGAATTCCATGCAATTTGATATCTGTATTGTATTTTTGCATTTCATTTTGGGAACGAAAAATAATATCACTGCCCAAACTCATACAAAGTTTATAGATCCAATATGTGATCCATAAACTTTGTATGAGTTTGGGCAGTGATATTATTTTTCGTTCCCACAGTACGCGTTCCTTATCCCGGAATTGAGTGGGACTGTCAATAAATAATGTTTCCATTCTTTTGAAAATGGTGATACGGTACGGTATCCATGCACCCTTCAGAGGACTATGCAGGGGATTACAGTAATAGAATAGTGTTGGGCTGAGAAAAGCTCTTAGGATCTTTCAAGGCTAAGACTCTGGTAGGAATGTTGTATTGCGGAAGCGTTGTAATAAAGAACTTGTTGAACCACCTTGCGCTAGTGTGTGAGAGCAAGATAGATTAATTATAAAGAGGTAATACAAGCTAATATGAAAGGATGCAATAACCGTTTTGCTGTTGCTGTTGCGGTTCGATACAGTGGCAACTCGGGCAACTGTTCAAGATCGAGTCAGTTGTTTGTCCTTGCTGTCGCGCTGTATTTGTCGAGTCAAAGGTCGCTGACCTTTGACCTTCACGTAACCTCCGGTTGTTACTTTTCTGTCAACCTCCTCGGTTGACTCGCCATTGCTTCGCTGTAGCTTGCCTCGTTTACGGTTCGATGTTACGACACATAGGAAGCGTTAAGTACTTGTTTCCAACAAATAGTACAATGGTCGGCTATCCTGTGGACAGGTATCACAGGCCGTGCTTTGGCATCAAGCTTTGAAGAGTGAGAGCGAATTTGGGTACACCACGTCCCCCACACGCATCCACCACTCCATGCCTCCGTTTTACCCCACTCACAACCAAAGCCCCCTCTCCCCCTCTCATATGACCAGCAAAAGCAACTGCACTAGCAGCAGCAGAACGAACAGTAGCAGAACCAGCAGCAACACCAGCGTTGATTTTTCCTTTGCTGCTGCCACTGGTGGTAGAGTAGATGCTGCTACAGCAGACCGACCCCGATGTTGCTACGGCCACTGCAACAGCTGGTCTTGCAACAGCCAGTGCTGGCACAGCCATCACTGCTCCTCCCACTCCTCCTGCCCCTCCTCCTGCCCCTTCCCCTGCCCCCTCTCCTCCCCTTCCTCGTGCACCTAAATATCCTAATTTTCCCGCCACTGTCGCCGCTGCCACTGGTGCTGCCGCTCCCCCTGCCGCTCCCCCAGCCGCTCCTCCCCTTGCAGCTACAGCTGTGTCTAGCAGAAAGGTTGCACATTCTTCTACCCTACAGCCCGCACTCATGCTGCTTATGGTCAATCCGTTGGCAGTGCCAGTGTTGCCAGTGTTGGTCATGCCAGTGCTTGCCCTCCCACTCCCCGTGGGTGCAATTCGCGTGCCAGAGGTGGTCTTGCCAGTGCTTGCCCTGCCGACCCCCAGCGATGCAACTAGCATGCCAGTGCTGTTCACGCCAGTTCCCAGCGATGCAATGCGCGTAGCAATGCTGTTTCTTTCCTTACCCCTACTCCTGTTGAACCGCCCTTCTCTACCTCCCTTGATGTATCCTTCCCTGCTCCTTCCGCTGCACCCGTCCCTGCTCCCTCTGCTGCGTCCTTCCTTACTCCTGCTGCTCCACCCTTCGCTACCCAGATTGCTGCATCGCTCACAGTTCCCATTGCTAAGCGAGGGAACGCAGCAAGGCTAGGGCTCCAGTCTAGTAGACCATTAACAGATCCCCGGTCCCCGCCACCTGGCAGCATGCCAGGTGGCAAAACGCGCACCGCTGGCGCCGCCATCATGCCACGTGGCAGTGCGCCAGGTGGCAACACAGGAGCTGACGCCAGGGGCGCCAGTGCTCCACGTGTTAGCCCTCCTGGCATGCCACGTGGCACCCTCACAGCCCCCGCACACGGGAAGCCAGCAGCAGGAGCAGCCACGGGAATGCGACCATACCAGTCCATACTCTCTCTTGGGAAAGGCACTCCCTCCCAATGGGAAGAAACCACACCCAAGGGGTTGCTGTGAGGCTGTGAGACGGACGCGGGTGTGCGGGTGCGGCTGTGAGGGGCTAAGGCTAGCCCCCCCCAGCCTTGCACGGCCTGCCCTGCTGCCCCCCCCCAGCCGTCCAATGCATACGCTTGCGGCCCCCACACGACTTCTCTCCCCCATCCATCACTTCTTGGTCTGCACCGCCCTTCTGCTCTCACCAACCCTGCTGCTCCTCCCCTTCCTGGTTCCCTGTCTCCTGCTCCCCCTCCTCCTGGTCCCCACCCTTCTGCAACCTCAAAACCTCCTGCTCCCCCTTCTCTTGCTCCACTCTCTCCTCCTCCTCCTGCTTCCGCCACCCCAGGTACAGCCTCCCCAGGTACAGCCTCTCCAGGTACAGCCTCTCCAGGTACAGCCTCTCCAGGTACAGCCTCCCCAGGTACAGCCTCTCCTGCTGGCTTCCCAACTGCTACTGCTGCTGATGCTGCTGATACTGTTAATGGGGCTGATGGGGCTGGTGCGGCTGGCAGTGTGGTGCAGGGGGAGTCACGGCTGATCCCAGCAGCAGCAGAGACTTCTTGAGGCGCCTCAAAAACAGGTTGTGAGAGGGCGGTAGAGGGGGAGTGACGGCTGATCCCAGCAGCAGCAGCAGCCAGAGCAATCAGCGCAGAAGCTGCACCTCCTGTCTCGCCCTCTTCCTCCACCCCCCTAGATCCGCCCCTTTCCGATCCACCCTCTCCCCTCCATCCTTCCCTCCTCTCCACTGCTCCCTCGCCTTCTGCTGCTCCCTCAACTTCTGCTGCTCCCTCACCTTCTGCTGCTCCCTCGCCTTCTGCTGCTCCCCCCTCTCTCCTCATCTCCCCAGCCTGAACCCGACCATCCTCATTCCCACACCCTTCCGTACCTCCCCTGCCCCCCGTCCCGCCATCTCCTACCAAATCCAACTCTCCCCCCGCACCTCCATCCCCTTTCATCTCCCTACCTCCTCTCATCTCCTCCTCTTCTCTCTCCACCTCTCCCCCCCTCGCCTCGTCTCCCCCACCCTCCTCGCTCTTCTTGTCCTCCCCATTGCGATCCCAAACCCCCTCCATGCACACATCGCTGTAGCGCAGAGCTGGGACGAGTTCCTTCTGAGGTTTCCGCTGAGGAGCGTCAAGAACGCCTGTCTCATGGTGACTTTGGAGTCGGCTCAAACTCAACGCACTTGTCTCAATGCACATATCGCTGCAGAATGAAGCTTTAACCGCCTCAACACTCGCGGCTTCCTTCCCTGCTGCTCTTTCTGCAACTGCTGCTGCTTCGGCTGCCGTTGATGCTTCTGCTACTGTTGTTTTTGCTTTTGCAGCAGCAGCTGCTGCTGCTGCTCTTGCTCTAACAACACCACCCATGTCTCCTCCTCCCAATATCACCTTCTGCTGCCTTTGAGAATCCTCAAGAATAACTCCTCCTCCCAATATCACCTTCCGCTCTTTTTTAATATCCTGAAGAATAACTCCTCCTCCCAATATCACCTTCTGCTCTCCATTTCTGACCTCCCCCGTCCTCTTCTCTTCCTTGTTCTCCAACGTTCCCCCTCCATCACTCACCCTCTCCCTCACCTTCTCTAGCTCTCCCCTCCTCACACCATCACATCCCCCCTCCGCACTCACCTCCTCCCTCCCCATCCCCCCTCGTATTCTCACCGCCCTCTCCTCCCCCCTCGCCTCGCCCCTCTCCGCTCTTCCCTTCCGCTTCCGACCCACCTCGCCCCCAATCCACGAGGCTCGGCTAGCAAGCCACACAAGAGGGATACTTGTCATCCCTGCCGGGCCTTGAGGCGCCTCAAAGGCCGGCCCTTCCCTTCTCTTCATTCCCCCCGCATTGTCGTCTCGCAACGGGTGCCCACCGTTGCTTGTAGCACCCAATCTCTGAGCATTCTCGGGGTTGGTGGTAGGTTCGGTGCCGATAGCCATGGGCAGGCGTGGGAAGGCGGGAAGGGGTGAACCAGAAACGAGTCGTCCTGTGGCTTGGGAGTGAGGCCGTTGACTGAACGCCTGGGCAGCGGTTGTAGCAGCGGTTGTAGCAGCAGTTGTAGCAGCAGTTGTAGCAGGAGCTGAGGCAGCAATTGGAATGACAGCAGCGGCAGCAGCAGCAGCAGCAGCAGCAGCAGCTACGTTGGCAACAGGGGCAGCAGCACCAGCACCAGCACCAACGCCAGCACCAGCGCCAGCAGCTGCAGCAACCGTTGAAATAGCAGTAGCGGCACCCGTTGTAGCAGCATCCGTGGCAGGTGGAGGTGAAGCAGAAGCAGCGACAGTAGAGACAGCAGAGACAGCAGAAACAGCAGAACCCACAGCCCGGAAAGTACAGGGAACGACACCCTGGTGTTTGCGAGCAGTGGGGGAAGGCGGAGCAGAAGCAAAAGGCAGCAACGGAGCAGCAGAGAGATGATGGTAAGCAGCAGAGACGGGGCTGGTCGCCTGAGCCACTTCACACGGCGCTACTGGTGCTGCTGCCAAACCGTTGCCATCGCCACCACCACTGCCACCGCCCCCGCCGTTGCCACCGCTGCCGCCCCTGACGTGAATACGACCGCCATTGCCATCATAGCTACGGATCGTATTTGCGCCACCGCCACAGCCAGCATTGTGATTGGCACCAGGACCCCCGGTGGGATCGAAGTCCCCACTGCTCGCATCGATGCGAGAGCTGGGGTCATTCCGACTCACACTGTTGACCCATGAACCGGGTTGGCGAAAGTTACTACCAGCACCATGACGAATATCTCTTTCGCCACCGCATGTGGTAACCGGCAAGAGCGACGCGAGACTGAACGGCGTTCTGCTCCGGATCCCGTCCGCGTTAGTAGCGTTCCCGTTGCTGTTGCCGTCGTGACTCGAACCGTCGGAGCTGGCAAGGCTGGGTGCTGCTGGGTGGTGGTGGGTGCTGCTGGGTGCTGCTGGGTGGTGGTGCTGGCGGCTGATTGGGCGAGCCAGAGGCGACAGATTCAAGCGGCATGGCATGCTGTTGTGAGAATGAAAAGGCGCGGTATCGGAGCGACGTGGCGAGAGGTGAACTGGGGAAGTTGGAGATGTATGATTCATAGGCACAGTCTGAGACGTTCCGTACCATTGATGCTGCTGCTGCTGCTGCTGTGCTGCCTGCTGCTGCTGCTGGTGCTGCTGCTGCTGCTGCTGCTGCTGGTGCTGCTGCTGCTGGTGCTGCTGCTGCTGCTGGTGCTGCTGCTGCTGGTGCTGCTGCTGCTGCTGGTGCTGCTGCTGCTGCTGCTGCTGGTGCTGCTGCTGCTGGTGCTGCTGCTGCTGCTGGTGCTGCTGCTGCTGCTGGTGCTGCTGCTGCTGCTGGTGCTGCTGCTGCTGCTGGTGCTGCTGCTGCTGCTGGTGCTGCTGCTGCTGCTGGTGCTGCTGCTGCTGCTGGTGCTGCTGCTGCTGCTGGTGCTGCTGCTGCTGCTGGTGCTGCTGCTGCTGCTGGTGCTGCTGCTGCTGCTGGTGCTGCTGCTGCTGCTGGTGCTGCTGCTGCTGCTGGTGCTGCTGCTGCTGCTGGTGCTGCTGCTGCTGCTGGTGCTGCTGCTGCTGCTGGTGCTGCTGCTGCTGCTGGTGCTGCTGCTGCTGCTGGTGCTGCTGCTGCTGCTGGTGCTGCTGCTGCTGCTGGTGCTGCTGCTGCTGCTGGCTGCTGGTGCTGCTGCTGCTGCTGGTGCTGCTGCTGCTGCTGGTGCTGCTGCTGCTGCTGCTGGTGCTGCTGCTGCTGCTGGTGCTGCTGCTGCTGCTGGTGCTGCTGCTGCTGCTGGTGCTGCTGCTGCTGCTGGTGCTGCTGCAGCCGCACATGCACATGCAACGAGTCCTGCTGCGCCGTCGAATCCTGAATCCCCCCTCTACCACCCGCCAGACCCTCTTCCTGCACCTTCCGCTGAGCCGGCGAATCCGCTGCAGCCGCAGCTGTAGCCGCGCCAGACGCGGCAGCAGCGCCAGACGCGGCAGCAGCGCCAGACGCGGCAGCAGCGCCAGACGCAGCGCCGCAGGCCGGGATGACGGACACCGGGGGGTGGTTGTGCGGGGACCCCGCGAGGTGCACGACGGCCGTGGACGCGTGGACAATCCCCGTGGACGCGTCGTAGTCGATCTGCTTCCGCGCTCTGCACGGCTCCGCGCCCGGCGAGCGGTACTGCGGGTTGCTCGCCGCACAGCGGTAGTAAGCTCTGGGGAAGAGGCGATTTTGCAGGAAAAGAAGGCGCGGGTTGAGTTGGATAAGGCAGGATAATTTCCACCATTGCGAAAAAATGATAATTACTACCACGAGATATAGTACGAGACCATTGAACAGCTTTCTGGTAATAGAAAAAGGTTTGCCAGCAAAAAAATGTGCTAAATCCGTAAGAACGTGAATTTTGAGGCGGAACGCGTGAGGTAGTAGTAGCACGACTGATGCGGTGTATTCTCCTCGAATTGCGAGTCGTTAACAACTCCCCAGCCCCAGAATTGCGATGAGCCAGTGTACTAGGAGTACGTTACGTACTACGGTAGTATAATTCTATACGATCATCACCTCTTCTGACCGAGGCCTCGTTTCAGGAACTTGGAGCCGTATTTGAGCCATCGATATCCGTCGGAGTTAACGACTCGATCCGTCGCCTCCTTCGCATCGTGCCGTTCCAGGTCCGGCGAGTCCGGCGCACCCGCGGGAGGCGAATCTTTCTCGAACTCCATCGTGCGACCCGTGGTTACGAAAACGAACTTACTAGTAGTGAAACGATTAAAAAAAACCTAGTTCTCGTTTCGAGTATAGTACCGTATTAACAGCGTCGCGTCTGGCGGCGAAGCTCTGTTTCGTAAGTACATGTGTACATCAGGCCAACCTAGAGGTAGTACGAACGGCGTTTCTTTCTCTCTAAAAAAAAAGAGTAGGATCGGGCGAAACTCAGCAGCCTTAGAAATGCTACGAACTTGGCTTGACTTGGAAGTCCCGCCTGTTTTAGCTTCAACCAATTTCGTTCCGAGGCTAGTCAATTCCTTGGTCTTCAGAAACCTCTCGTTTGCTTCCCCCGCCTCCCGTCCCCTCCTGCGCACCCATGCGCACGACTCCTGTCCTTGTTCCCTTTGCCACGCCACTGCAACTCATTCGATTGGTTGGGTTGGGTGAGCTCATCCTCCCCTCCCCACAAGGAGTGTCGAGTTGGGCGCGGCGGTGTCGGGTCACGCGGGAGCTGGGAAAATATCACGTGGGGGATACGATACTTGTACTGTACTGTAAAGGAGGAGGGGCCGCGTGGTTTGCCCGCGGAGCCAGCTTGTGCTCTCGACTGCCCGCAGCTTTACCAGGGTATACGACAGAGTTAGTACCTGTTTCCAGTGTACAAATTGAAGGCAGGCTGAGATGTGGTTGGCATGGCAAGTCTCCAGGGATTCAGTGAGCCTAGAGAGATCACACTCGACGGGTGTCCAAGCTTTGAGGAAGAGCGGGGTGGATTTCTGTTTAGATCGCTTTCACCAACTTCTAACAAACCAGTCCAGGTATTGCATATGCTTTCAATAGGCCATGTTATATATTACTGGTAAGGCTTCCAGACGAAGAAACCAAAAGAGGAGAATACCACTGTTGGTTTTGCTGAGAGAATCAGAGTAAAAAGTAAAGATACCCTCTAAACATTATTGTTCGAGTATCTGCACCTGCTACTCTCGTCTACGGGTGTACCCCAGCACTGCGATCTCAGGGCGAAGACGCATGAACCGTACACATCATCGAGAGAGGCTTCGTATCGTACTGTTCCGAGCATTGCAATTGTCGGAACAGCTCCAGTAGCCCACTCAAGTCTTGTTGTGGCTCTTCCCCGCTACGCTCGTCATTCCCCCCCACATTTCGTGTACCCCCCACCTCCTGACCTTGCCGAGAACGAACTACAGTAGGCGGTGCCGAGAAGGGGATACCTGCCCAACCAGCTAGACTCGGCAGCCACTGTGGGACTTCGGTTGGAAAATGGCGAAACTCAGAAGGATGTTGCAAAATGCGACACAGATTGGCACCGTGCAGTACCGCAAGTGCTACACCTAGTCCGCGGTATTTTAACCGCCGCTATCTTAACCACGCGGGGGTACTACTCCATGGTGAATATTGAATACAAGGGTAGTTCAAAACATTTATGAGGGTATAGTTAAGCGTACCCAGCGAGATCACGGAAGTTGCAACTCTGTTAAAACGAGGGTCTAGATTTGACAAGCGGGGGTTCAGAAGTTTTTGTTTTGAACCAGGCTTGCCAGCGCGAAAGTGTTGGCTAACGAAAACCTGGATTTCGTGCGGACACTTTTCCTCCGCAGTAACAGTTCGCCAGGGTTTTGGGTTTCGGGTGGCAAATGTGCACCGTCGCTTTAATGCCAATGCGCACCCTATCTCGGAGCACTAAGTGTGGGTTTTGTCAAACGGAAAACTTCCCGGCTGTATTCTAATAGCCCCGAAGTCTCTGGGTGCCCATTCCGTTGAACTAAAATGCACTCAGGATGTTTGAAACAAAAAAGTTCGGGTGGTTAAAATACCGCGGACCAGGTGTATCTTCAAATCGACACTGTACAGTTCACCAAATGAGACAACCCTTCGAGTCGAGACCCCAGCCTCTGTGCTGAACGATATATTTATTGACCTAGTCAAATGCGTAGGCTCGGCTAGTTGGTTGGTTGGTGGAGCAGAGCAACTGGCTAGGCAGGTCATCCTTCCCAGCCACCCCACTTGGGTGCACAGAACGGGCAGAGGGAGCATCTGTACAAGCCCGCTGGAGCCAGGACTTGGGTGGGACGGGACGGGACTCGTGACGGATTCTGCTACAAGCCCGCTGACCAGGACCCGAGCAGATGACGGCTGCAGGAACGACCACACAAGCATTAGCGACCACAGAAACTTGCCACGGTTGCAGCAAAAGATTCGAGAAAGCCTCCACCTGACATGAGAAGCTGCCGAGTCTTGATCTTGTCAGGAATATGCCGATGGGAAATGAATGGACAGAACACCAGCAGCGGAACAGCTAGTCCAGGTGTTACTTAGCTAATGAGGATAAGGATAAGGACAACAATAGGCATAAGAGAACCTGTTAAGTTTAACAAGGTGTACAATACAGCATCCCTTCAATAACAACCTGCTTTATACTTTTGTTATGAATCCACCAGCCTAAGGGCAAACGGAAAATAATGAAAAGCACTCAAGTCCTGTCCGCATGAGCCTAAGGTCAAGGTTAGTTGCGTTGTGAATTCGTGCTGCTTATGTTTTACAAGGACGAGTCACCATTTGGAGGTTGCGGCTTGCTGTCTAGTCTGTGCTGCTTCTCAGCAGCTCTTATCCAGGGATGTGCTGCACGGAGGAGAGGAGTCGGATCGGAAGGACATAAGGAGCGCCAGGTGCAAAATGAATGGGAAGGGCGACAGTGGGAATGGTAAGGGCAGCAGTTGTAATGGAATGCACAACGGTGGAAAATAGGAAGGGGTGAAAGTGGATGGGGAAAGGACAAAAGTGGGAGTGGGAAGGGCAACAGTGGAAACTGACACCCACATGGTCTTCCAGAAGGAACTCCACCCGTCCAATCAGGCTACTCGACAGGAGGTATCTGTGTAAACTGTAAGCAACCCTGTGCCTTCTTCCCCCCATCCCTTCCCCCCTTTCTCCCCATCCCCCCCCTCCCCTCCCCCCTCCCCCCCTTTTTCCCATCTACACAACCACTCTTTCGCACACAACTAGCCCGCAGCCCTCCCCACCGGACCCACCGAATATCTCAAGAGCGGAGATCCTCCGCCTCACGTCCTTCGTCAGCATCCTCTTCACGAGGTCCTTGGCGCCGTCCGACACCGCCGCCCAGCGCGGGTGGCGGAAGTCGACCGCCGCCGCCCGCACGCTCTGCTCCAGCTCAGCGTTGGTCGCCGCCCAGAACGGCGGGAAGCCGCAGAGGAGGATATAAAGGACGACTCCTGCACTCCAGATGTCGCACTCTGGCCCGTAGCTCTTATCCAGCACCTCTGGTGCTGTGTACTCTACTGTGCCTGCCCTCTCAGTGCAGGGGACGCCTGATGAAGGTTTGGAGGAGAAGGAAGCGGGCGGGGGGGTTAGGGAAGGTGACCCGCGCTCCAGATGTCGCACTCTGGCCCGTAGCTCTTATCCAGCACCTCTGGAGCAGTGTACTCCACTGTGCCTGCTCTTTCTGTGCAGGGGACGCCTGTCGATAGGGAGCGGGGTTCGGATGGGGAGTTTGGGGAGGGGGAGAGCTCAGGTAAGGCATGGCATGACCCCACTTCCTGCGCCCCTAGTTCTTATCCAGCACCTCTGGAGCAGTGTACTCTACTGTGCCTGCTCGCTCCGTGCAGGGGACGCCTGATGGTGGAAGGAGGGGGAAGGGGAGGAAGGAAGGTGGGGCGGGGAGGAAGACTGCTGATTTAAGGCATGACCTCACTGCATGCGCCCGTAGCTCTTATCCAGCACCTCTGGAGCAGTGTACTTCACAGTGCCTGCTGGTTCCGTGCAGGGGACGCCTGATGAAAAGGGGGTAGAGGGTGTGAGGGGCGAGTGGGTGGGGGTTTGGGGAGGGGGAGTGATAATCTAAGGCATGACCCCACTTCCTGCACCGGTAGCTCTTATCCAGCACCTCTGGAGCAGTGTACTCTACTGTGTGAGCTCTTCCCCTAAAGTTAAGCTTCAAACAGCACTCCATCAGCAACCCCTTCACCTCCCCTGTAACCGGCAGTGGCTGGACCCGCAGCAGCAGAAGCCCGTGTCCCAACCACACCGGCCCTCACCTCGCTTGTAGAATGTGGCAACACCAAAGCCAATGAGTTTAATCTTGGTTTTCACGTCCTTGTCACACATGAGCACGTTCCCTCCCCACCCTCCATCACCTCCCTTGTACAGGCAACAGCAGCAGGCAGCAGCAACCCCAGCCTCACCTCGCTTGTAGAAGGTGGCAACACCAAAGTCGATGAGTTTAATCTTGGTATCCACGTCCTTGTCACACATGAGCACGTTCAACCAGCAGCAGCAGCAGCAGCAGCAGCAGCAGCCCCTGTACCAACACAACTCTCACCTCGCTTGTAGAATGTGGCAACACCAAAGTCAATGAGCTTGATCTTGGTGTCCACGTCCTTGTCACACATGAGCACGTTCTCGGGCTTCACATCGCGGTGAATCACCCCGTTGGAGTGGCAGTGCAGCAGCGCTTCAACGAGAGAGCGGCACACGATGGCCGCGTCGGTTTCCTTGAACTGCCCCCGCAGCTTCACCCGGTCGAATAGATCCCCACCCCGACACATCTCCATGATGAGATGTACATACTGTTTCGGGGTTGCAGGAGAAGAGGGAGAAAGGGGGGATGGGGAGAGGGAAGGGGAGGGAGGGAACTGAGAGGAGTTTGAGGTGAGTGGGCTTGATAAGTGACCATTGAAGGGCAGTGGTAGGGCAAAGCAGAGCAGGGCAGGGCAGTGCAGCAGCGCCTCCACGAGAGAGCGGCACACGATGGCCGCGTCGGTTTCCTTGAACTGCCCCCGCAGCTTCACCCGGTCGAACAGGTCCCCACCGCGACACATCTCCATTATCAGGTGTACATACTGGCAGGGGGAGCAGGAGATAAGGAAGGCAGGTGGGGGAGGAGAGGGGGGGGAGGTTTGAGCGGGCTTGATTAGTCACTGTTGGAAGGGAGTGGCAGTGCAGAGCGGAGTGCAGCAGAGCAGAGTGCAGCAGCGCAGAGTGCAGCAGCGCAGAGTGCAGCAGCGCGTCGGCGAGAGAGCGGCACACAATAGCATGGTTACCTTTGCATCCTCCAAGGCGGGTCGTGCAGGCTGATGCTGCCTGGGTGATTGCGCAGCATGCCATGAGGGGAAAGGCAATGCGGTGTGTGTGTGGCATGGCATGGTGACACACGAGGTTCACACGAGCACACCCGCATACCTTTGCATCCTCAAACGCGTCGTGCAGGCTGATGATGCCTGGGTGGTTGCGCAGCATGGCATGGAATGGTATGCCATGAGCAGCAATCTGGTGCCGTAGGTACCTTTGCATCCTCAAATGCGTCGTGCAGGCTGATGATGCCCGGGTGGTTGCGCAGCATGCCCAGAATGATCACCTCTGTGCGCACGTCCTCCGCGTCCTCCATGCACTGGTGGGGCGGGAACAAGGGGTGGGAAGGCGTTGGAAGGGGTGGAAAGGGGTGGTGGTTGCAATATGGGATGGTTACGCAGCATGCCCAGAATGATCCCCTCCGTGCGCACGTCCTCTGCATCCTCCATGCACTGGCAGCACGTGGGGGGTCACGGCAAGGGGTGGGGGGATGTGACATGAGTGGGGTGTGCCAACAGGGGGTGGGGGGATGTGATTTGAGGTGCGTTACGCAGCATGCCCAGTACGATCACCTCCGTGCGCACGTCCTCTGCATCCTCCATGCACTGAGGGGGAAAGAGGGGAGGGGTGGGGGAAGGGGCAGGAAGGGGTGGGGGCAGGGCCGGGAAGGTATGGGAAGGGGTGGGAAGGGGTGTGTGACATGAGGTGTGCTGCGCAGCATGCCCAGAATGATCACCGCCGTGCGCACATCCTCTGCGTCCTCCATGCACTGGGGAGGGGGGTGCAGTGGGGGAGGGGGGAAGGAGGGCGAAGGGGGAAGGGGGAAGAGGAAGAGGGTGAGGGGGGATGATCACCTCTGTGCGCAAGTCCTCTGCGTCCTCCATGCACTGGGGGGTAGAGGGGAAACGCAAAGGACAAGGACGGGACAGGGAAGGGGCGGGAAAGGGTGGAAAGGGGTGGAAAGGGGTGGGAAGGGGTGGGAAGGGGTGGGAAGGGGCGGAAAGGGTGCGAGGTTGCAATGTGGGGTGGTTGCGCAGCATGCCCAGGATGATCGTCTTGCAGGCCAGCACCACGGGAGTCTTGCGGCTCAGACATGTACAAATGACGCCGTACCGCCCGTGCCTCATCACTCCCAAACTCTCACCCACTCCCTACTTTCCCCTCTCCTCTTCAATCAACCTTCCCATCCCCTCCCATCGCTCACCTTGACTTGGTCCTTCCTTATCGTCTTGCACGCCAGCACGACACGGGTCTTGCGGGAGAGGCACGTGCGAATGACGCCGTACCGCCCGCTGCCAATCTTGGTGGCGCCCACTACCTCCTTTCCCCTCCCCAGCCCTCCCATTCCCTCCTTTGCACCAGCCCACCCATCCCCTCACCTTGACTTGGTCCTTCCTTATCGTCTTGCACGCCAGCACCACACGAGTCTTGCGGCTCAGACACGTGCGAATGACGCCGTACCGCCCGCTGCCGATCTTGGTGGCGCTGACCGAGTAGAACTTCTTCACGTCATCGTACGGCATGCGCAGGATAAAATCCCGCCACCGCATGCTGCCAGAGCTCATCACCTGGAGAAAGCGGGGTAGAAATGGGTGGGGATAGGTGGGGATGGGTGGGGACAGGTGGGGTTGGGTGGGGAATTGTTTGATGGCCTGCTGATTTTGATGGCCATACGGCATCACAGAATGGAATCCTGCCACCTCATGCTTTGACACCGCGTGGTGGGACGCAGTTTGACATCACAAGGTATTCTCACTCACACACACATGCTTACACACACTCAGACACAAATAAATCCACACACATCCATTCTCACACTCACCGGGACGTACACACACACAGGGACGTACACACACACACACAACCGCACTCACCTGCCACATGTCGGCTTCAGCGTCCCCCTTCTCGCCCTCCCCCTCGCCTCCATACGGCCCCAGCTCCCCCGTGAGCCCCGGCTGATGTCCTGACTCAGGATCTTCCCCTTGTGCCTCATCACATGCACACACTCAAACACACACACAACCACACAGAACCGCACACAACCGCACCCACCTGCCACATGTCGGCTTCCGCATCCCCCTTCTCGCCCTCCCCCTCGCCTCCATACGGCCCCAGCTCCCCAGTAAGCCCCCTGCTGATGTACTGACTCAGGCTCTTCGCCTTGTGCCTCATCCCACGCACACACTCAAACACACACACAACCACACAGAACCGCACACAACCGCACTCACCTGCCACATGTCGGCTTCCGCATCGCCCTTCTCGCCCTCCCCCTCGCCTCCATACGGCCCCAGCTCCCCAGTAAGCCCCCGGCTGATGTACTGACTCAGGCTCTTGAGAAACTGCTCTGCATGGGGATCCACTGTGTTTCCGCCTCTCCACCCGCATTCCATCCCCCACTCCCCCACCTCCCCCCTCCCGCATCCCCTCCCCCCCGCCTGGCCCTTCCCCCCCGACCCCCCCCACGCTGCCTGCCCTCCGCACCCCTTCCCCCCTCTGCCCTGCGTGCCCCTGTGCCTGGTTATCCAGCCCTGTGCTTTCACCTGAGATTCCACCTGCTTGCCCTGCGGCTCCGCCTCCCATCCCTCCTCCTCCCGCCCCTGCTCCTGCGCCCTTACCCGCCGCAATAAGGCAATTCGTGCTCATATTCCTCCTCAGGTTTCGCCTGGCGCTACCACTGTCCCCGCTGCTGCTACTACCCCCGCCGCCGCCGGTGCTGGCATTAGCAGCAGCAGAACTGGCAGGGTTGGTAGCAATAGCGTCGCTGCTGCTGCTGCTACTGCCAATGATGTCTCCCCCCCACCCACCCACACCACCGCCACCACCAGCACCACCAGCCGCCTGCCCTCTCCCCTGCCTCCTCTGCCACTGCTGCTGCTGCGGCTCTCGCTCCCCCCCTTCCCCCTCCTCCCCCCCTTCCCCGTCTCCCCCTTCCCACCCACCCACGCCCGCCGCCCTCTCGTCCCTCCTTCCCCCATCCGCTCTCATTCTCCCCCACGCTGCTGCCCTGAGCCTACCGCTGGGGCCAGAGGCAGTGCTGGGGCGATCAGGGATAGAGCCGTGGGAGAGAAATGCAAGGGGGGAAGCGTCCAGGCCAGCACTGTCCAGGGAGGAGCAAGCAGGCACTACTCCCCCCCTGCCGCCGCTGCCAGTGCCCCCGCCACTGCTGCGCGCACCACCAGCAGCATGAGCACCAGCAGCAGCAGCAGCGGTAGCGGTAGCGCCCATACGTCCCATGCCCCCCCGCCCCGCGCCCATCCCCGCCCCCGACCCGCTCCTCTCCGCGCCTTTCCCGCCACCCCCCCGCCCAGACCCCTGATACCCCCCGCCGAGCGCTCTGCCAGGGGCGCCGGAGGGGGTGAGGGGGGAGGCGGGCGCAGGGGGGCTGGCGTGGGGGTCGCGCGCGGAGTGCAGGCGGTTGAAGGCCAGGGAGCCCTGCACGCGGTGGTCTGGCTGTAGCGCCTGCTCCAGCCGGCTGCTGCTCCCCGCCTTGCGCAGCTCATACGCGCCCCCCCCCACTCTCACCCCCCCTGCCCCCCCTGCCCCCCCTGCTCCCCCTGTTACTGCAGCAGCAGCGCCCCACACGTCGTCCTCCTCGTCCATTTCAGGGGACGGCCGCTCCCGCGCGCTGCCCCGCATCAGCGCCCCTCCGCCTCCCCCGCCTCCGCGCGCAGCTACCAGCGCACGGTTCCGCCCAGGCGTGAGGGGCAGCTGGCCTGCGCCAGCAGCAGCAGCAGCGCTCCCCGCGGCGGAGGCGGCGGCAGCGGCTGCTGCCCTGTCTTGAGAGAATTCGTTGTGGAAAGGCGAGCGCGGGGGCTTGGGTGATTGCAAAGCAGAAGGGGTAAATTCCCCTATGTTAAAATTATCCCCCCACGCCCCGCTGCCCCCTCCCCCCATGGTTAAAGGGCTGCGCGGAGGAAGAATTGGCCCGCCCACCCCGCTCCCCATCCGCCTGGGGGACTCTATTGCTCCCCCTCCCCCTGCCCCTCCCCATCCCCCCTCCCCCTGCCGCCCAGGATTGGTCCGCGAACGAGTGGTGCCGGCGGTGCTGGCCGGCCAGCTGCCGCCCAGCCACTGCAGCAGCGCCCGAGCCTGGCGCTGCCGAACCTAGCAGCCCCGAGCCAGCAGGCCCGGGGCCAGCAGCGGCGCCGAACCCAGTGCTGAAACCCTTGGGAGTGAGCAGGCGGGGAGACATAGCGTCAAACACGGGGTCCGCGCCGCCAGAGGCGTATAGCGCGTGGGGGGGGGAGAGGGACAGCGAGAGATCCCCCTCTTCTGGCTCCGCCCCTTCCGCCGGCCCCCCACGGGGGAAGCCGCGGTGAACACCGGCGCCTGGTTGAAATCCACCGAAATTGCGCGCCTGTGCCTGCGGCTACCCCCCGCGCCAGCCCCTCCCGCTTCCGCGCCTCCCCCTCCGCCCAACGCCCCCGCGATCCCCCCCATCCCCATGCCACCTCCCCCCCCCGCGGAACCTGCCTCCGATTCCCCCCATGGCGCCAGCCGCGGGGCTGTGCAGCCCGTGCTTTAAGGTCCGCGCCACTGCGGCTATCCGGGACTTGAGAGGCGATTTGCTCTTCCCCGCTGTGGGCGGGCGATTTTGTCGTTCTCCCTCTGCTCCTGGTAGTGGGGACAGTGCGTCCTTCGAACCCCCCTCCTCCCCCTCGTCCTCCTCCTCATCTACCACATACACATTCCCCTCCTCCCCCCTCCCCCTCCCCCTCCTCTTCTTCCGCGTGAACCTCCACCTGCAGCCGCGGCGGGTTGATCCCCGCGCGCCTAGCTCCCCAGCTAGACAGCGCACCCCCCATCCCCCCAGCGAATCCCCCCATCGGCGCGCTTCCCGTGCTCCTGCTCCCCGGCAGCGCCCCCCCATGCGGGGACACCGAACCCTCAGGTGAAAACGCAGGAGACTCGCTCCCACCTGAATCAACAGAGTCCGAGCCTGCGGAGAGCCTGTGCCGAGCGCGTGCTCCGAGCATTATAGGGCTCCGAGCCTCAGCCCGAACCTCCATTCCGCGGTTATCCGAACCGAACCCGTACTGCAGCCCGCGCCTGGCCGCTGACCGGGGGGACTCAATCGCGCGCCCGGAGCCGTCGACGCTGCTGCGCCTCGGTACCCCTCCGCCCGCCCCTCCCCCCATCCCTTCCGCCATCCCTCCCCCCATCCCAGCCCGCTGGCGTTGCTGACTCGCAAAGAGCGACGCTTTGGCTGCTTCAAACGGGGATAGCGGCTCACTGGCGGAAGCGGGGATACCTGCGCCCATCGACCCGAAGTCCACTGACGCCCGCCGCGCGTGCGCCCGCCCGCCCCGCCCCTGACTCTGCTCCGGACCGCCGTTCCCCTCGGCCGCGTTTCCCAGTCTGCTTCCGCCGCTTCCCGGTCTGCTTCCCCCGCTTCCCGGTCTCGCCGACGTTGCTCCGCCTCCCAAGCGCCCGTGGCTAGTGTTGGGGCGGCCGCCATGGCTGCTGCTGGGGCGAATACCCAGCCCAAACCCTAATCTGAACCCCGAGGGGGACTTTGGTGGCGGGCCCGCTGCCCTTTCCCCCGCGCTTCCCCTTGCGCCGACTCCTTCCGCTGCGCCCGGTGCCCCCTGCGCCTCCAGCCCCCCTTGATCGGGAACGTGGAAGGCGAAATCGATGGACGATACGTCGACCGAATGTGTGCGTAGGTGGCGGTTCGACCGCAGCTGTTGAACGGAACTGTTCGTTGGTCTCCCGGATACTCCATCGCCGCCGGCGGCGGTGGCGCTAGGGTCTGATTGGATTGCTGAGACGGGGAACGATGACTCGAGAAGCGGGGATGGGGGGCGGGGAGCGGGGGACAGCGCGGAACCGCCGAGGGGGGGAACAATGCCGACCCATGCGCGGATCGTAGCGCGGTGGAGGTCGGGACGCTTGCCGCGGGTCCCCCGCCGTTCCGCCTCCCCCGCCGCGCTGCCCCCCAGGGGACCCGAGGGGGGAGGATCGGCGGGGATCTTCGGATTCGGAGTTGCGCCTGGAGCTGGCGCTGCTTCCGGGGATACCTAGAGGAGAGGAGGAAGAGGCGGAATAATCCACGGACACCGACCGGCTGCGCGGAAAGAAGCTGCGGATAGCGGACACTCGACCTCCTCCGCGCGCGGGCAATGCAGGAGGTCCTGTTCCGCTTGCTCCGCCTCCTTCTCCGCTTCCGCCTCCGTCCCCGACTCCATAGGCGGAGTCGGTTCTCCCCCTCGAACCTGCTCCTCCTCTCGCCGAACCTCCTCCGCTTTGTCCCGAACCTACAAAATCCCCGCGTCCTGCAGCTTCGGGAAAGCCCTGCCTGTCTCTAGGAGGATCAAGCATGGCCAATCCCTGGCACGACATTGCCAGCTACAGCAGATGCCAGGATGTTATCCTTCCTCAGCCAAGCTTCCCAGCAAAACGACAAAATAATGAAGCTTCACGATCAGTCTAAGTGTTTAAATTAACGTAAGTAGATTTCGAGGTAGTGATTTACGGACTAGGGGTACGGGACCTTAGAGACGTGGCAGCATTGTTATTTTCCGTATCAAAATGCTACTAATTACCTCCCAAAGCGCTCTATTTAAGGGCTAGGATTGTTGCTGTGAAGACTGATGCTGCTGCGATTGGCGGCTCGTATCATCTACATGCCTTGCAGTCAGGCAGCGAGGGAGGCGACGAGCGTTGCTCAATTGCCTGACGGAAAAACTGCGACGACGCGTCCATTGCCAGAAAAGAAATACTAAGCTTTGAAGAAATAAAACCGGACCAGAGAAATGCGACTAGAAGTAGCCCGACACTTAGGTCTCGTAATCAGGAATAGTGCCTAACAATTTCGGAGAGTGAAGAAAACCACGCTCAACTCAAGCTCTGGTGTCAACGAACGACACTAGACAGGAAAACCACGCGCGGGATGCGCTTCCCTACACAGTCCGTCTTGACGTCTCGGGTCCAGGTAGCTCGCCTACCTCGCCGAGGCACAGGAGTGACGTGGTGGAGTGGAAGGTAACGCTGGCTGTGGGGCAGAAGAGAGAGGAGGAACCCCGGCAAGTCCCAAAGAATGCGGAAACCCCGATGAACAGTCCCTCGAAATCCCAAGGTTGCGCGCGGTACGAAAGATGACCCGCGCGGTGCAGGATTGGCGGATGAGATAGCCCGGCCTCGGTTTCTCCGCGCGAGGGAAGGCGACAAGTGATTAGTCAATGCGTCGCGTTCTGATGTGGCATGTGTGTCCTGTGGTCAGCGCGAGGCTGCTGGCGAGACAAGTCTTCGATCTACACCCAGTCCCTTCCTGGCGATGCGCACTCGAGCGCCCGGTGTACCCAAGGTGGTTGAGGGTAACTTGGCAAAAAACTCGAGGGGAAAGTAGGCGAAACGCGTTCCAGCGACAGCAGGGGATGGAATGCTCATTCCGAAGTGCCCTTCGACATCCATCCGTCATTCATCCGTCATCGGACGGATGTCTGTGGCGGATGACGGGGGATGACGGATGGATGTCGGATGGATGTCGAGGCACTTCGGACACACTGCCGGCGACATAACTGCCCGAAACAATGCCGTCCGGCACTGTTGGCGCCAGCAAGGGCAGACCAGAGAGAATATTGAAGGTTCAATTTTGAATCTAACGAATTTCGCGAACTTTTCGTCACCCCGTGCAAGTCACAAGGGCTGTCGTTTACCCACTGTTACTTTCGCCAGGTTTCCCCCTCAAATTTTGCTATCAAAAATTGGGCTCGTTGACTTCCTCGTTGACCAGCCCGATATCACTGTTGGCGGCACCCTTGACTGTAATGATTACGCAGGGCTGGATGTCGGATGGATGTCGGATGGATGTCGGATGGATGTCGAATCACTTCGGACACAACGCCGGCCTGAAAATTCTCACCTACCTACCCAGACATCCGTCGACATCCGTCGACATCCATCGACATGTCACTTCGGACATGCCCTTATCCGTCCCATTGTTGCCCGGGGCTTTCGAAAATTGTCAACGCTACGGCCAAAAGGCGTTTGCAAAAGGGACTCCCTCCCGACAAGAAAAGTGGACAGCGGAAAGCTGCAAGTTTCGGGGTGCCCAGTTTGCAGTTTAGCAACACCATAGCCACTGCCCTGGGGGTACGGTACCCCGTCCTCACAAACCTCCGTAGCTCGTTATTGCAGTTCAGTACAGCACATGCGAATGTATGTTAATATATGACCAGCATTCTTCCGTTTTGTACTCTCTATGGCTTCCTCTCAACATCTGACAAATATAACCCAAGGACAATACCAAGGAAACACTAATATCACAACTCCCGCCTTCGTAAACGAGCAGCAAATGCCCCGTCGATTGCGTGGCGGTGCGGTAGTGATGCAAAGCAACGAAGGCGTGAGATCATCGATTCGGGCAATACTGACGCATCTAGTGACTCCAAAACAAACTCCTGCAGGCATGGAAGAAAGATTTGGCTACCCCGCATGAGCACAAAAAATGAGACGATTTAACATTCAACTGAATGAAACGACAGACATGACTCAGTAAGACACCTCAGCATGCCACATGCTTGCTACTACTCAGCATGACGCACTGGCGACGAGTATGTAGGAAAAAAGAATCAAACCAGCAACAACACTTGGAAAAGTTTAGATCCCACACAGAATGATACCGGAGAGCGGGGATGAGCAAGAGTCATACATGGTGTGATTGCAGGAAGGTGGTGATCCTGTCCTCGTTCTCCGATGGCTCTATGGAGCATGTGGAATACACCAACAGCCCCCCCGGCCGCACCAAACTGGTCAACAAGGTGGCGGTCGAAGGAAGGGGGAGGGGGAGGGGGAGAATGGAGGGGAGGGGGTTGTTGTGTGTAGAAAAAGAGAAAGTTGGAGGGACACGGAGAGGGAGGATGGGGAGAGCGGGGGAAGTCACGTCACGTTAGTGTCGCCTCCCTCTGTGACATGCGCATCCTACATAGCAACAGCAGCAGCATCCATGTCAGCACCCCACCTGGCAGCAGCATCCACGTCAGCACCCCACCTGGCAGCAGCATCCACGTCAGCACCCCACCTGGCAGCAGCATCCACGTCAGCACCCCACATGGCAGCAGCATCCACGTCAGCACCCCACCTGGCAGCAGCATCCAGCAGGTCGTCCTGTAGGGCTGTGAGCTGCGCCTCCCCCTCCACTGTCCGCCTCCACCTCAGATCCGCCCTCTGTGAGGGGGGGGAAGGGGGTGGGGGGGGGGATGGCTGATGGTAACGGGGCACGAGATAAGGCCAGCAGTGTGAGAGGTGAAGGTAGAATCTGTTACCGTGTGTGGGGTAGAAACTGTCAGCATGTGTCGTGTGCTCAGTCCTGGTGGCCTGTGCTGTGTGCACCACTTCTGCCTTCTGCTTCAGTCACATTGTTAACATCTACCAGCTATCAGCTCAGCTTACACTCACCTTACATTACGAGCACCTCTCTCTCCCCCCATTCACCTCGCCGCGACTCATCTCGGCCCACCCACCTTGGCCAGCACCCCAAGGCCAGAGCATGGCGCATCCAGCAGCACTCCTTAAAATCACATATCCCCTCGCTCTCCTCCTCATACAATCACCACTGCTTACAGTCACCTCTCCCCATGCCCACCTTGGCCAGCACTCCAAGGCCGGAGCAGGGGGCATCCAGCAGCACTCGGTCTGCCGCCCCACGCAGGGGGGATGACACCTGGATGAAACGGTTGGGTGGGGTGGGGTGGGGTGGGGAGGTACCGGAGGAACGGAAGGGGATGAAGGAAGAAGTTTGAATGAATCACTTATGAGAGCTCTCAAGGGGGCATCCAGCAGCACTCGATCTGCCGCCCCACGCAGGGGGCATGCCGCCTGTTTGGGGGGGTTGCGTGGGGTGGGTGGGTAGGGTGGGGAAGGCGGGTGCCGGGACGGAAATGGAGGTGAGGACGTTGTTATAGTCACATTCGATAATTACAAAAGGTGCATACAGTAGCACTCTGTCTGCTGCCACATGCAGCGGTCATGCCGCTTGGATGGGGGCCTGGGCCTTGGTGGGGAAGGGGGGTGCGGGGGGTTGGGGGACGGGAAAGGGAGAATAGAGGAAATGGATTCTGCCCATGGTATCCATTTTTGAGTCGACTCAAAAATCGACTCAAAAATCGACTCACTACACACGGGAAAGGGAGAATAGAGGAAATGGATTCTGCCCATGGTATCCATGCGTTACACAGCGTTACAGAACAAGGCAGTGCAGTGGATACATGGGGCTCACCGCGTACGACCGTAGGTCAGCAACGACACACTGCACCGCACAGCACACCTCTACATCGTACACAACCCAGCACAGGTGTGTGGCTCACCGCATAGGACCGTAGGTCAGCAACGACACACTCCACTGTGCTTTGCAGCCCTTGCCGCTGTGCTGCCTGCGCCACCATGCGCACTCGCCCCTCGTTCACATCCACTGCCACCAGCCGCCCTGCCGGTGAGAGGGGAGAGATCGAGAGAGGGGAGGGATCGAGAGAGGGGAGGGGAAAGGGGAGACGGGAGACGTGAGAGGTGAGAGAGGGATGAGGTGAGATATAACGCTATGTGACAAGATGAGATGAAATGCGATGTACCAGTGGTGGTGAGTTATGGCAATGACGTGTAGCAAGCATGCACACACCCATGATCGCACACTTGCTTCCATGACCCACCTGTCCCCTGCATGAGCCCAGCGGCATACATAGCCTTGCCCCCCGGCGCAGCACAGCAGTCCACCACCGTCTCCCCTGGCTGGGGATCCAACACTCGCACCACCAACCCTGTAGTCACAGGGGGTAGCGGAGAGGGCGAGACAGGGGAGGGGAGGGTGGGGGGTTGAGACGTCTTGGAAGTTGGAGAGGCGGTGCCACAACCAGGAGAGGCGGTACCAGCAGTCCAGCACCGCCTCTCCTGGTTTCGGCACCAGCACCCCTCCACGGTTCCACCACCACTCCCCCACCTGCACTTTCATCCTGTGCTGCACTCTCATCCTCTATGGGCGCTATAGTGAGCACATGCTGCACTTTCTCCTGGTTACATGGTTACATGCACCCATCACACTCCCACCTGCACTCTCATCCTGCACGTTGCACGACCCATCTTCTATAAGCCCTGCTGTGAACACACATGCTGCATTACCTAATTACCATAATTTCCCCACCTGCACTCCCCCACCCGTCATCCCCACCTGGTTACTTGGTTACCTGGTTACCTGCACCCCACCTGCACTCTCATCCTGCACGTTGCACGAGCCGTCCTCTATGAGCCCCGCTGTGAGCACATGCTGCATGCCCGCTTTCACACGGATGAAATCGTCCAGGTACGGTGAATCCTCCACCTCCACCTGTGGTTGGTTGTTGAGAGTGGTACGAAAACACACACAGACACAGACACACACACACACACACACACACACACACACACACACACACACACACACACACACACACACACACACACACACACGTAGACGCACATGGACACAGACAGACCCTATGAGCCCTGCTGTAAGAACATGCTGCATGCCCGCACGCACGCGGACGAGATCGTCCAGGTATGATGAATCCTCCATCTCCACCTGTGGTTGGTTGGTGAGAGAGGCGGGCAGGTGAACACACACACATGTAGACACATGAAAGCACTCGCAAGAGCATGCATGAGCTGGCACGAGCTGGCATGGTTGTGGCATGAGGTGGCACGAGCTGGCATAGTGATGACATGAGGTGGCACGAGACGGAATGAGCTGGCACGGAGAAGGCATCAGGTGAAGCAGTTTACCTCAGGGAGCGCCAGCAGCAAGGAGTGCAGATCGGATCGCGATACCCCTTTGGCAGTGTTGGCCCTGATGCATGGTCGTGGTGGTGATGGGGGAGAGGGGGAGAGGGGGAGAGGGGGAGAGGGGGAGAGGGGGAGAGGGGGGAGAGGGGGAGAGGGGGGAGAGGGGGAGAGGGTGGAGAGGGGGAGAGGGGGAGAGGGGGGAGAGGGGGAGAGGGGGAGAGAGAGCAACTTGCATAGACTAGGTCCTAGGCGCTGCAGTCCTAGGTGCTGTTGTCCAATGACCTCTGGCAGCGTTGGCCCTGACGCCATGGTCATGGTGGTAATGGACCATGGACTTCTGGAAACTGCAGCACTCTGGTGCTCTGTCTGATGACTTCTTGCACTGTTGGCCCTCATGCATGGCCATGGCAGTGTTGGGAGAGAAGGGGGGGACGGGGGTGGGATTAATATGCTGGTAGAAGGGGCAGAGAGGAAAATTAGAACGGGAGGGGGAGGGAGCTGAGGTGAGAGAGGGGGAAAAAAAATCACAAGTGTCATGGTTTAGAAGCCTGCAAAACGAGTGGGAGCATAGCTTTGGAACGGAAGTCTACAAAGCTTAGAGGCTGGGCACCTGAGGGAGAAGACAGGGCGGAGCGTTGAGGGGTTGCTCTCCATCAGCCGCTCTGCTCTTCGTCACCCCAGCCTGTCGGCTTTTGAGGCGCCTCTAAGCAAGACGTTCTATAGATGCACCACAGAAGTAGCTTTTGAGTCGACTCAAAAGTCATCTCGTTTTGAGTCGACTCAAAAGTCTGTCGGCTTTTGAGGCGCCTCTAAAGCAAGACGTTCTATAGGGGCACCACAGAAGTAGTCTCACCTGAGGGAGAAGACGGGGCGAGCGTTGTTGCTTTCCATGAGCCGCTCTGCCTCGCGCCACCCCAGCCTGTCGGCCCAACCGCCGCACCATCCACTGCAGCGGGGAAGGGGGAGTGGGAGAGAAGGAGGTGAAAGTGCAGGGTGGCGAGGGAGCGTGCCTTGTGTGCATGCGTGCATCCCGTGCATGCATGTGTATAACCACACAGACACACCACCATACCAACGGGGTGTGAGAGTGCAGGGTAGCGAGCGCCGCGCGCCTTGTCTCGGTCTGTCATTGCGTCGTGCAGCGATGGGGCTGGCAGTGGCCCTTGCTCCTGGTGTGGTACAGGCGAGAGGGGGGGTGGGGGGGAGGCTTTTCAGTCAACTCAAAAGTCAGGGCGCGCGCCTTGTCCCGGTCTGTCATCGCATCATGCAGCGATGGGGCTGGCAGTGGCCCTTGCTCCTGGTGCCGTGCCGGGGGGAACGGGGAGGGGGGGAGGAGGCAGGAGGAGCAGGAAGATATGTCATTGAACAAGGCCATCCGCACAATTAGCGCATCCCGGCTACAGCTGGGTTGTGCAATTATCGAGCCCAGTGGGTTTGAGGCACCCCAAGCACCTCCTCAGCCCCAAAATCATGCCATGAAAGCGGGGCGAGCTGCCATCACCCCCTCCCCCCTTTCTACTGCAGAATGCCACCCCCTTCCCCCTTCTTCCTTTTCGCCCCGGCACCCCGCACAACTTACATTCGCTCACGTATTCTCGCAGCCCAACCTTTGTGTTTTGTGACGCACCTGTGCCCGAACAGCTGCCCGCAAAATAGCATTAGCCAATGAGGCGGCTCCTGGCCGTAAGGCTGCCCGAGCGAGCTTGACTGCCTGCAAAGAATTAGAGTGAATCATTGGTGAATGATGAGTGTACATGTGTGGATTAGAGTGATCACTGACTCTTTTGCACACCTGCACTCACCTCGTTGACTGCCGCATGTGGGGGTGTGTCCATCTTTGCAAGCTCAAACATCCCCAAACGGAGAATCTACAAACGAGGAGAACAGGAGATGCAGGGGAGAGGGGAAGGAGGAAGGAACAATGATTTGGTAATAGTACACTTCTTGTCGCCTCTATCGCAGCATCCCCAATTCAAGAAGGAAGGTCCCTCTCAGCATAATAGACCACAGCACATGGCTCTCGAGGCAGGATAAACTGACTGCCTTAAGCACACCACACGCAGGTGACGGCAATGTAAAGCACAGCACAGGCTACCAACCTGCTTCAGCAGCGGCTCCATCCTATCCAGCTCGCTCGGGCTGCCCGAAAAAAACTCTGAGAGTAGAAAATCCAGATAGCGCCTCCACCGGGTGACACCTGCCACGAGCTCAGTCACATGCCGCCTTCCCCGCCCCTCCAAAGGCAAAACGGCAAAGCCCAGCGTCCGCCGTACATACTGCATCTCCAGCTCCCACCCCCCTGCTCCCTCCCCTGCTGCTGCCCCTGAGAGAATGTCGGCATAGGCTCCTCCTTGCTCCACTCGTAGGAGCCGGACGACAGCAGCTGGGGATTGCAGTGGGGGCAGCGATCGGGGGGAGAGGGACAGCAGGAAAGATTTGAATTATGCCCCTCCCCTCCCCTGCTGCTGCCCCTGAGAGGATGTCGGCATAGGCGCCCCTTGCTCCACTCGTAGCACACGGACGACAGCCGCTGGGAGTGGCAGTGGCAGTGGTGGCAGAGGGAGAGAGGGGAAGGGGAAGGGGGGGGGAATAAATCAATCAACCCCTCCCCTGCTGCCGCGCATGAGAGAATGACGGCATAGGCTCCTCCTTGCTCCACTCGTAGCAGACGGACGACAGCAGCTGGGAATGGAGAGGAGGGTGGGAGAGGGGTGCGGAGCGGGGGTGGAAGGGATTGCATTAGCCTCCTTCCCTGGTGCTGCGTCGTCCAACCGAATGTCCTCATAATCCCCACCCTCCAGCAACAACAGCTAAAAATTAAGCATTGTCAGGCAATGAGACATTTTCAGGCAATGAGGCATTTTCAGGCAATGAGGCATTTTCAGGCAATGAGACATTTTCAGGCAATGAGGCATTTTCAGGCAATGAGCATTTTCAGGCAATGAGACATTTTCAGGCAATGAGGCATTGTGAGGCAATGAGGCATTGTGAGGCAATGAGGCATTGTGAGGCAATGAGGCATTGTGGCCATGAGACAGCTGCAAAACCCCCGACCCGAAGCCCCTTCCCACAAAACCCCAACCTGCAACCTCCAAACCTCAATCTTTGTGTTGACCGAGAAAGTCAATGCTCACCGTCCAACAACACCTCGCACCTGCTCTGTGCGGGAGATTTCCTCTCGAATCACCTCCTGCCTCCTCCTCCTTCCCCTGCTGCTCCCCCTCCCCCGCCTCCCCTACCAACCCACCC